CTAACACTCATATTTTTTAAACTCTAAAAACTTTTTTTTTTAAATCAGGAAACTTTTTAAAGTAATTTTATGAACTAAAATATTATAAATATATTGAAACAGATGAGCTCATAAATAAACAAAAATTATTATACCATATAAAGACGATATTAAATTGCTCTATAGGTGAAATGAGGGTTCAAGGTGTTTTTTACACCCAGATTATGTTGTAAACCACGACTGGAAAAATAATAACAATCTTAGCCCAAATGAACTTCCTGCTACATTTTATCAAATAAATATTTTTGAAAATAAATTGAAACAGCCTTATAGTCGCCTGGGACAACCCAGCGAAAACAACGATTTCATTGAAACAAAGACACGTTTTATCAATGAGATGAAGGTTCAATGTGTTTTTTTACTCCCAGATTATTTTGAAAACTACCAAGAACTAAATATCGGGTTGTCCGGAAAATAATGCAGGATTTTAAGTTTTCATTAAAAAAAATCTATATAAAATATTCTGTTTACGTTTACAGGATTACTCATTTGTATGAATGTCAACACTTATTAATCCTCTTCCAAATGATATTGTTTGTTTACCTCTGTAGCATTCCGCTACTTGGAAATAATTCAGTCATCCTTATAATGTCAAAGCGAGAATTTCGTACGATTTTCTTTTACGAGTTTAAACTCGGCCGAAGCGGAGCCCAAACGGCTAGAAACATTAACCAAGTCTGGGGCGAGGGTTGTGTTAATGAGTGCACTGTGCAAAGGTGGTTTAAAAAATTTCGGGAGGGAGATTTCAGCCTTGAAGATGAAGAAGGTCGTGGAAGGCCTTCCTCTCTTAATGATGATGTTCTGCGATCAGTGGTGGAAGAAAACCCCAAAACAACTGTTCGAGAACTTGCAGAGCAACTCAAAGTCAGTAAAACGACCGTCGCTGACCACCTCAAGGCGATTGGAAAAGTGAAAAAACTCGAAAATTGGGTTCCACACTCATTAAACGATCGCCAAAAAATCAGCGCTTTGATGTTTGTGCATCACTTCTTTGTCGAAACAAAAATGACCCATTTCTGGCCAGAATTGTTACATGTGACGAAAAGTGGATTCTCTACGATAACACTAGACGTTCTGGACAGTGGCTCGACAAAGGAGAAGCTCCAAAGCCCCCAACTCATCAAAAAAAGGTAATGGTTACGGTATGGTGGGCTTCATTTGGTTTAATACACTACAGCTTCTTAAATCCTGGCGAAACCATCAATGCTGAATCATACTGTAACCAAATTAATACCATGCATCAGAAATTGGCAGTAATGAAGCCCTCTTTGGTCAATCGGAAAGGGCCCATTTTGTTGCATGACAACGCTCGACCACATGTGTCACGTGTAACGTCACAAAAATTATTGGAGCTTGGCTATGAAACTTTGCCTCACCCACCCTACTCTCCGGACCTCTCGCCTACTGACTACCATTTTTTTAGACACCTGGACCACTACTTACAACACATAATATTCAAAAATCAAACGGAACTGGAAAATGCATTTATTGACTTTATCAATTCTAAAAATTCTGAATTCTACTCAGACGGAATTAATAAGTTACCAACACGTTGGGAGAAATGTATTGAGAGTATGGGAAATTATTTTGATTAAAGAACATTGCTTTAAAGTAACTAGTTTCTTTTTTTTTGTTTAATACCAAAATCCTGCATTATTTTCCGGACAACCCAATAGAAAGAGGGAAAATCTCAGCATAAAAGGACATAAACGTGGAACATCCAGGTTAATTACTTTATGGACAATGGTTTATTCATAAAAGCTAATTTAACTTTCTTTAAAGCGATTTTATAAGCGAAAACTACTATAAATAAATTTGTTAAAAAAAATTAAAACCAACCGAAACAACCCAGCACAATGAAACAATAACAATGATTTTACAGAAACAAAGACATTTTTTACACATCGATGAATTGTTTGTTAAAGGAGTTTTTTTTACACCTAGATTGTATTGAAAACCATGAAATTTTGTATTATAGGAAATACAACATTAATTTAAAATTTATTATTTTATCGTTAACATTCTTCAGAAACAAATGTTTTAACTTTTTTTAAGAAATATTATAAGCAAAGAATATAAATAAATGGAAACGACCTGACACAACACACACTAATCAACAAGAGCACAATGAAACAATGATTTCATTGAAACAAAGGCATTCTTTACCCGATTTATCAACAGAATGAGAGTTAAGGGTGTTTTTCAGATGGAGATTTTTGTTGAAAACCTTGAAACAATTTCAACATGTCGATCACAAAGTAACTGTATGTGACAAATATCAGCCGACTGTTAATTACTGCCGATAAAATTACATTTAACTTATTCTAAAGCGATTTTATAGGCGAAAGAAAATTATTATTAATTTGAAAACAACAATATAAAGAGTGATACAACCCAGTGTGCGAATAAACAGCACAATTCACCATTGATTTTATGGAAACAAAGTCATTAAACAATAAAATTACGATTTAAGATTACTTAAGTCAAGATAATATTAAAAACGAGAAAAAATGCATTACTACAGGCTAAGTACAAGAGAAACGTGGTAAATTTAAATTAACAGGTTTAAACAAGAAAAGCATTATGTTTTTAAGTATAAAAATATAATTCTAAATTAATTAAATGGAAACCTAACAACAAATAAACACACTAATAAACAAGACCACAATGAAACAATGATTCTATGAAACAAATCATTATTTACACGGTTTGTCAATAAAATTAGGGTTCGTGAGTTTTTATACACCTGGATTATGTTAAAAACTACGAAAACAAAAGCAATATAGGAAAATCTCAACACACAAGTTAAAATAACTGTACTGACAATAGACCTATCTAGATAACTTCTAGATAATAGATAACTGAAAAGTGGCAAATTATTTTGCGATGGATTATTTATATAAAAGCAAGATTTAAATATTTTTAAAGTGATTTTATAAGAATAAATATAAATAATAGAAACAAACAACCTCAAGTTTTAATCACTGCCCAGTCCACGAATAAACAACAGAACAAAGAAACAATGCTTTTTATCGAAACAAAGAAATTTTTTGGTTTTATCAGTGTGATGAGGTTCAATGTGTTCTCTACTCTAAAATTATTTAGAAAATTTAATAAACTGAAGGAAAAATAGTAACAAGCCAGCATGAATCGAGACGTGACAAATAAAAATTTCATTATGTTATCTACAATAGATTATTGATAAAAGCAGATTTAACTGTTTTTTAAAGTGATTTTATGATACAAGGGGAAAATATAAATGAATAGAAACAACCTAAAGTTTCAAACACTACCCAGTTCATGAATAAACAATAAACCAGGAAACAAAGTCATTTTTTTACGTTTTATCAGTGGAATGAGGGGGTTCAATGTGTCCTTCACTACAAATTACCTAGAAAATTTAATACATTCATGGAAAAAAAATAGTAATAAAAATAAACACAAAAGAACCGAAACGTGGCAAGTAGAAATTATATTATTGTATCTACAATAGATTATTGATAAAAAAAAAGATTTATTAATTTTTAAAGTGTTTTTATAATGGGGAAAATATGAATAAATAGAAATAACCTGAAGTTTCATCAAACACTGCGAATAAACAACAGAACAAAGAAAGAATATTTTTTATCGAAACACGACTTTTTTTAGGTATTATCAGTTGAATTAGAGGGTTCAAGGTTTTCTTTCCTACAAAATTATCTAAAAAATTTAATAAATTGAAGGAAAGATAGTCAAAAAATCAGCACAAAAGAACCAAAATACAAATTAATTACTTGTATCTACAATAGTTCCTGGGTTCTTAACTTTTCCTTTGTTGTTCTGAATACGATATAAAGACAGAAACAACAACAGCAGAACGACAGAAAGACAAAATTACTGAAGAGGCAGACGAAACAAAGATCGTATCATAATAAACACACATATTAACTAAGGTTAATGTTGAAATCTGTTTTACAGGATTTATTTCAATGTTTCATCGATATTTTTAGATCCGGAGGTATTTTTTTCGCCCAGAAAGGCAGTCACATGCCCCACGTCCGAACTGCCTTTTACCTGTTGTCGGAGCCCGCGGGGATCAATCAATGGGGAGAAGCGAGAAGCCATTTCCACACCCCCGACACGACCTTGCGACAGGGGGGAAAAGGAAGAAAGGAAACAAAAATGGGGGGGAAACAGTTCACGACACAGCGAGCCTGGACGGACCCAGGGGCCCCCACGAGTACGTTCGACGCCACGGATAAATAAATAGAAACACGTGCCCAGGCCGTCGGAAAAGCAACACTTAACAACAAAAAAGTGAAAGTGACCAAAACGTCGAGTTGCACAATAAATCCCTGTTCGGAGTTCAATGACACCTACTTTTTTAATTAAAACAATAAATAAATCTATTTGTTTACAAAATTAAAACAGAGATAGGGTTTGTTTTTTAAAGCTAAATTATAATGTATTTTTGCTTTTAAGTATTGTTTTTTTTGTTTTTAAATAACGAAAAATGAACGCTCTATCGCCTGAATACTGAGTCAATGATAAAAAACAGCTAAAAAATCTTTGAGATAACGAACTTAATATTTACATCAACCCCCTTTGTGTTTTTTTTTTAAGTATATTTTCTTTTTTTTATTAAAAACTTGTGGGACTTTAATATTGATATTGTTCATTTTTTCCATAGAAATTTCCCATTTTTTTTGTCGTAGTGGCTGGTCAATCGGTGAAGCCAGCTGGCACTGTTTCATTGCCCACGACTCACAAATAGCTCGACGATACGAGAAGTACACGTTCATTTGCAACTTAACCTCCAATCTTTATTTTACTTTACAAGGTCGCGTTTTTTTTTCACAGGGGCCAGGCGGGGGCGGGGATGTGTTTTTCTATAGCACCCACACACAAGGGGTTGTTTTCCAGTTTTCCTGAGGGGTGGGAGTTGTGAGAAAGAAGAGAAATTAAAAAAACTTGGTACTCACCTATTTTTTTCGAGCTCGTTGTGGGTCGTCCTGTAAAAAATACGACGAAGGTTAACTTTCGGTCAATTCAACATGTAATTAATCATGATAGGAGGGGGGTTAGAGAAGAATTTTTCGTTTATTAACGGGGATTAAAATATTGATATTTGTTGTTTTTTTTGTGTTTTTTTATGATAATAGAACACAGACCTGCTTCCCTGGGATTTTTTTGTCTTTGGCCTTTTAATCACGTTTCTTAGATCGTCGGGTGGAAGTGTCGAGGCGTAACCGTGTTCGGCCTCTGAAAAATGAAACAGAAATTGCAAATTGTTAAGAGAAGACGAGAGAATATCCGTGAAAAATCAGCTGACGAATCCGAGAGAAATGACAAGAGTCAGCCATGTTGACGTGGAAACGAAACGGGACGAAAACACTGTAAACCACTCCGATTCTCACCTCTCTCTCGCCGTTCCAAGTACTCTGCCGCCCTTAATAACGCAGCGATGCTCATTTCCGAGTCTTTGAAATGATAAAAAGTCACGGTTTAATAAGAAAAACGTGTTAGTCCGACTGGGAAACGGGCTGAAACCTGGAGTAGTCCGCGCCCTCCAAACTCACTGCTGCATTTATTGATGTCAAACGCGTAGTGAGCGGGGCTCTGCAACGAAGCTTTGTAACGGGCTCCGTTATTGGCCGGCCGGGCCTTGACTACGATCCCTCGACCAATCCCGTCTCTCGTCTCTCCCACGTCCCAGAACCTGGATAGTCACGTGAATCTCATGCCTTGCAACCAAACAAAACAAACAGCTGTGAAGTGAGCTGTTGTGAGCAGCTACACCTCGGCCAAGCTCCGACCTTTCCCTACACACTCACAATCCCTTTTTTTAACTTTATCGCCCTTCAGGAAAATACACCTTTCCGCGCAGACCTACACAGAAAATGACCCAGCCCTCACGATCCAAACATTTTTCTCTATAAACACAAATTGCGCTATAACCCCTATTCAATAATAATAAGGGGGAGTACTGTCTAAAGGGCCAACTACAATTGTCAGTTTTTAACGTCCATAAATGTACTGCAGGATAATTTAAAAATATTTTTCAATAATGAAATAAATTAACCACAAAAAAAGTTAATTTTCCACCAAAAAAATTCTATCCTTTAGTGCTAAACTGTAAATTTAATAAGTCGAACACAGTACGGTAAATTATGAACATAAATAAAGGAATCTTAAAAAAATTAACGTTTTTCCATACTCACTAATAAATTTACTGAATCTTACAAACAAAACTGATAATTCAATTTTGCCCAAAACTTGTATCCTTTAATGTTAAACTGCACATACGAGACAAAGACTTAGGGTAGCAAAATTATGAAAAGGAACAAAACATCCAAAGTTTAGTTATTGTATATAGAATAAATTCATTAACTGTCACAGTGAAACAGATTATTGTAACTGCCAAATAGTTTAGTTAATTTAGACCTTTAGTGCTAAACTATAAATTAAAAAGTCTAACAGAGTAGGGTAACAAAATTATGAACAGAAACAAAGGAATAAACATTTAATGTTTTGACAAACATACTAATAAATTTACTGAATCTTACAAGGAAAGATTCAATTTCTATCATAAATTTTAACTACCTATCCCGAAATAAAATGTTTTACCCAAAAATTATATCCTATAGTGTTAAACTGCAAATATGACAAAAAAACTATAGATTAGGGTAGCAAATTGTGAAAAGGAACAAAACCTACAAAGTTTTGTTATTGTATATAGAATACATTTATTAACTGTCACAGTGAAACAGTTATTGAAATTGCCAAATAGTTTAGTTAATTTAGACCTTAGAGCTAGACTATACATTTAAAAAGTCTAACAGAGTAGGGTAACAAAATTATGAACAGAAACAAAGGAATAAATATTTAATGTTTGGACATACATACTAATAAATTTACTGAATCTGTGTTAAACTGCAAATATGTCAAAGACTACAGATTAGGAACAAAACCTCCAAAGTTTTCATATTGTATATAGAAATAAATTTATTAATCATCACACTGAAACAAACTATTGAAATTGCCTAATAGTTTAATTAGTTTAGACCTATAGTGCTAAACTGTAAATTTAAAAAGTCTAACAGAGTAAGGTAACAAAATTATGAACAGAAACAAAAGAATAAATCAAACTTTTGATATATTACATACAATAATTCTAATAAAGAAACTGACATTCAATTACAGAATATTACAGAATTACCATCGACTCCAAAGTAAAATGTGCCCAAAAATTGTAACATTTGTGTTTACTACAAATTTAAACAAAGACTAATAGAGTAGGGTTACAAAATTATGAACAGAAACAAAGGAATAAACATCTAAAGTTGTGATATATTATATACACATGAAATTACTGATTCTTATTTTTAAAAAACTGATAATTGAAATAGAGTAGCAAAATTATGAACAGAAGCAAATGATCAAACCTCCAAACTTTTGAAATAGCACATACAAATAAATTTACTAATTCCTATAGTTCAACAGATTATTGATTTTCCCCAATTATTTAGTCCTTTAGGGTTAATCTCCAAAAATAACTATGACTATACAGAAGGTAGCACAATTATGGAAGTGAAACAAGGAATATATTACCTACAAATAAATTTACTAATTTTGGACGGAAGGAAATTTTTTTAACTATTTTAATAAATGCATACACTCAATAATCCTGCATTCAGACATTTTTTTAAGAGATTAAATTTTTACTGAACAAATTATCCTATATAATTACCCCCAATTCTTTAATTGTATGCATCAAATAAACTAAACACAAAACATTATGTCAATGTGGAAAATTAGACTAATTAGGGTAACTGAAGTTATTAATTATTTTATTGTCTTCAGTAATGTATTTAGTGCCAAAGTTTAGCACAATTTAAATTTAATGTAATCTTTGATTGGATTCTTTAACTTATTTTAATAAAATTAAGACCAATTATGACTACACTGCCTCGAAAAATTGTTGTAGAAGAGATAAAATTTTCTGAACAAATCAACTAGCAGAATATTTTTTAACCCCATATTTTTTCCCATTCATCAATTAAAGAACATATATAATGGAAACATTATGTCAATGTTATATTCAAAGTAAGACTTGTTAGGGTAACTAAATGTACAGAGTAATCTTTAAAAGGACCATTTCAAAATGTTTTAAATAATTATGCTTAACCTATACAATCTATCTTTGGACAAGTTTATATAATAAAAGATTAAATTTTTCTGGGAAAAACACAAATTATGGCTACTTAATGCATAACATAACTTTTTTTTTAATTTCAGAAGAAAACAATGGACCCTTGATAAATCTCATTTTTGTTATTGTATATATTCAATAAGAAATTTGGAGAAAATTATGCTAAATTGTGTGTAAGTTACGTTCGTGGCAAGTCTAAACTTGGTAACTTAATTTTCATCGAAACAAAGGAATAAAACATCCAACTTTGACATATTAAAACCAATAAACTTTATAACTTTATTAATAGTCCAATTGAAAATGTAAGCATAATGTGTTTAGCTCCACAGTTAAGTGTACATTTTATTATATATAAATATTATCCATAAAAATTTTTTTAAGTGTTTTAAGAACAAGCAATGGAATGAAATAATGCCTTGACTTTTAAATCCAGGTTTTTGAAATATTTCAAATCAAGCATATATTTACAAGTGATTATATTTTTCAGCAAATTACAAATATTGCAAAGCAATTATGCTTGGGCTCTTAAAAATAACTAAATTGTCAATAGAAAGAAATAACCAATGTTTTGAAATAGACTTAAAATCGCCAAGTTTAAGTTCCCCTTTGTTGCCAACAAAATGTCACCTGCCAAAGATACTGACTTATTTAGATTGAAGCGTAAAATCATTTTTGATAGGGCAATTTTATGATGAATAAATTACGATAAACTTCTTAATAATCCTATTTTTGAGCAAGTGCATTTTTATAAGATTGTTGAAACTGAACAAGTCCATTGCTCCGTTAAGATGCAATATTTGCACAACCTTTGTACTTTTTAATTCTAGAGATAAAATTTCTTTTCAGCAGTGTTTTGTGCTACTATTTAACAAGTTTAAGAGAAATGTGTACTGTTATATAACAATTTTACATTTAATCATATCCTGACGTACCAACAACTGTAATTTTATAAATGTGTTTAAATATTATTTGTATTTTTATCATAAATTGAACCAAAATAACAAAATCTTAACTAAAATTATCTGAACTGAAACAATACAATTTATACTATTTTAATCAAAATTTAATATGCAAAAATCTTGCTGAGAAATTAAGACTGGGAAGAAAGTTTATTACAAAACATCTATTATATACAGAAACAAAGGCCCAATCTGATACTACACAACACAAATTGTTTACATACAACCTGAATAAACGAATAGATGGAAATTAGCTTAGCTTCTATATAAAATTTTCCACTCCAAATTTTGTTTAACCAATGTACAATACCCACTATTTTTTTTTTATTTATTTATTTATTTTTTTTTAAATATAGTTCAGAATGTACCATGTTTAGCTTCTTAACTACTACACATTTTTAGACAAGTACATATATGAGGTTAAATTGTTATTGGTCAAGTATTTTGAATTTTTAAGATCAGACATTTGCACAACTTTTGTATTCTTCAATTCAAGAGATAAAATTTCTGTTCAACAGTAACTAATTGTCGAAGATAAATTTATAATTTTATTTATTTATTTTATATATATCGACTATATTTTAATAAGAAATTCGAGCAAATTAATAAAATTCATCCGAGAAATGTCTGACCTTTTTCAGTAAGATGAGCTTAACTACGGTTTTTAATCAAACAATTCCCTTTTTGTCTTTTGTATTGAACAAGGCAATGAACAGAAATTATGCATACACCCCTTTAAAAGAATAAAATAAAATTCAATTTAAAAAATGAACACCCAGTTGGTTTTTCTTTTATGGGCTGTTACATATGTATTAAGTTTTTCTTCAATTCCTAAAATTTTCTGGCAAACTATTTCTAATATAAAAGATGCAATTCTTACAACAAAAGAATTTTACTTTTTTCACTGGGTGATGATCATGTTTGTACAACCTTTGTACTCTTCAATTCAGATAAAATTTCTGATCAACGGTGTTTTTTCGCTTCCATTAAATGTAATAGTAAAGATAAATGCAGTCTTTTAACAATTTTTGCAAACAAACATTTTTAACAAGCACTCAATTGCCTATTTAAAAAAAATCTACAGGTTGGGTGGGTAGCTGAATTATTTGTAGAAACAAGGGAATTATTAAAACATCAATGTTTTGACCCATTATAAATAGATTAAATTATTAATTGTTCTGTTGAAAATTCGAGTAGATCATTTTGGGTATTAAATGTGTTTATTGTCACCGTGTACACAGACGTTGTTAAATATAAATGGCACTATTGACTAAATCTATTGCCCTATCGAGACCCAATATTTCACAACCTTTATAGTCTTCAATTCAAGAAATAAAATTTCTGTTCACAAGTATTTTTTGATAATCTTAAAATCATTTAAACTAAATTTTGATTTAAACAAAAACAATGACACGTCAAGAAATTATGGTAGTCTCTTAATAATCAAATTAGCTAAGAGAATAAATAAAATTGACTTGGTCTATAGCTATATAGCTCTTAGGATGAAATATTTGCACGACCTTTGTACTTATAAATTCAAAAGATAACATTTCTGTGTTGAACACATTTAGGCCAATACATTTGCATTTTTTTGAAGTAATAGAAGAAATTACACCCCACTCTTAGATTCGATATACTTAGATAAAGTAAAACAAATACTTTAATTTTATATATCAAATACATTATTTTTCATAGCAAAGTAAGTGGAAACTGTATCGGGCAATTTAAAAGAAATAAAAGAATCTGCCTTGAATGACCTCTATTTTCAACCTGCACCCAGACACCATAACAAAGAGATTCATAGATATGTGCATTATTTCATATTATTCTTATTCTTATTAAGTTTTAATATACTAGTATTGATAAAGAAGTAAGTACGTAACAGAGTTAGCAAAAATAAAGACAGTTTTATAAAGGACATTGGAAAATCTCAAAACCTTGAGTTTAAACGTATTATCTACAATGAAAATGTATACCGATCAAACGTTTTCAGCGCAAATAAGATATATGATATTCTATACAAACTTGTTTTGATTTAGATCCTAATAATTTCAATATAATATTTAAATTATATACTAGGCGTGATTGCTCCTAACATATGTAAATTTTTGATATATTATAAAATAGTTTAATTCAAAGAACAAACAATAAAAATTTAAAAAAGAACTAGCCAAATATAAACGATTTAATTATTCAAAACAGCTGAAATAGACACAAGTCATCATTTTCGCTATATTTATAATTCCTATAAAAAATCTGAAATTTGATCCTTACCGATCTCTTTATTCTGCCTATTCTCGCTGGGTTGGTCTGTCAGATGCATTTCAGCATTGTGCAAGGATACGCTAAAGTGGCGAAATGCCGAAACGTGTCTGACAGAACAACCCAGTGAAGGGAGGAAGAACAAAATGATCAGGAGGATTAAATTACAGGTTTATAACACAAAACAATCACTGAAGTTGGCCAAATGCTGAGACATGCCTGATAGCCAATGCCAGCAAAAATCACCAAGATGATCTAGCTCAAAATTAACAAAATGAATCCCTCATTCTTCATATTGACAAGACTAGATAGGTGGAAAGTATATTTTTTCATTAGCAAAATTGAGTTTCAACCCTTAAAAAGGACAATTATTTTTGGAGACATTGTAACACTCAAATTTAAAGCAAGCTCCAAAAAAATACATCCTCTTTCAAGAAAGAAACAATGGTGACATATCAACTTGAATTACTATAACTGAACTTGCAAATTACCTTAATTACTGCATAACATAAATTGATTGAAAGATTTTTAATTAGAAAATTCATGGCAAACAGCAAACATTAAAATTAAGAACGAACGGACAAAAAAAAATCAAATCCCATTTAGATTTATACATGTTCAACACCAATAAATTGTCAGTTACAATTTAAACTTTTTTTTTCTTTTTTTTTTTCAAAAATTCTGATTAAATAAAATATATAATTTGCAGAAGAACAAGCCAACAATTTTTTAAACTGGACAATATTACATTTATCTTCGGAAATTTGTCTACTACATAATTATTTCCAGCCACAATGACTGCAAGTTTCTGTTTGAATATCAACTTAAAATATAAAAATGTGTAGTATTTAGAGATCGTTAATTATTACTTAGAGATCTAAGATGAGGTCTGGTGTGATGTAGGTCTGCATCTCACGATTTCTAAATAATTAAAATTATTAAAATGTAAGTAAAGTATTTTCCGTAATAGAGGAGGGCTTTTCGTCCAAATATCAGGTGTCGCAGATGAGGTAAGATTACTGACTTGACAGCTCATTCAAATTATAAAACAAAATCCTAAAGCAATGTCTGGAATTAAACCCTGTTCATGGCACATGAGAATCTAATGGCTTTGATCCTCAGTGACAACCTAGTAATTTTCTATGCTGAATCAAACTCTGTGGAAATGAACAGGGATTACTAGTACGCGAGAACTAACTATTGTTTTACGTAAAAAAATTTATTTTAAAATTAGGTTGTTATTAATTACATATGATTCAAAGGTTGTAGACAGATTACGTTGAAAGCGTTTTTCACAACTTGCAACAAACCTAACATCAAGTGTACCCTGGCATGTAGGACTGGAATTAAATGGGGCCTGGGTTCCTGAAAGAAAAGAATAAGAGTGAAAGAATGTTTTTTTTTTTTCTTTTTCTCTTTAAGATTTCATCAATTTAACACAGAAAAATTCTACTAACTGTTAGGATCTTGATCCGATGATAGTACAGGCTAAAAGTTGTAGAAAAATCTGTGAGGTATTTGAACAAAAGGTGAATTTTGGGCTTTCCAATTTCCAATCCTTCAACCACCTCTTTTACGACTACAGGCCAGTATAGTATAAAATCCAACATAATTTTCCACTCTTCCTGTAAATTGAAATGGAATATACGAAAATTCTTTAAGGAGAATATTTAATTCTGATTTAAAACGGACATACTTTACTTACATTTTGGGTCAAGAGGGATAAGTCGGTATTGTCCAACTCAGGCAAAGTTGGATACACAGACGATTTTACTAAATCTTGATATTTTGAAACTAAAGTTGACAATCTGACAAAATTATACATTACGAATAAAGCACCTGCGAAATAAAAATCATTACTTGTACTGATCTTTTATCAATTTAGCTATAACGACCTTTGCAAGAAGATGTCTCGGAATTTTTTGCCTCTTGTAAATTGAGTATGACAGGTTTCCTAAGATTTGTTTGAATCAAATCAAAGGATATTGTAGTATGGACGAGATCACTTACATTTTTAAAAGTACAATTTCTTTCCAATTTATTATCACACATAGACTTTATATCCTTCGTCCTCGACCTACAATTCAGTAAAATATCATGACACTCAACAGACATACTGTATATTAATGCCAAAGCAAAAAAAATCTCACTTTTCATAATCATCGGGGGTTGTATTGGACTTCGGTGATTTCTTCGAACCATTTACGGTTCCTATTAACATCAAATTTTGTACCTCGTTCTTTGAGAGTGTACTCTTGTAAGTTAGAATAAGATTTACGTCAGGACTGATATCATGATCGACACTATCGGCAACAATGGTCCCTCCACAATAACTGACAAGGCGAGACACTACATCGAATACCTTCAGGATTCTCAACTCGGTGAGTGACGTGGCAGTCATTCTCACATCTTTCTTCAGACAAACAATCTAAAAAAATGATTACAAAATGCACCTGGAAATAGTTAATTTGTTTTATAATTTTAAACCTTTTAAGTGCTGAATGCCAAAATCATTTCTGTATAATAATATTAATATTTTATATCAAAAAAGCCTTTTGGAAAGAGAAAAATAATTAAGATAAAAATATAATATAAATACAGTCAACCCTCCTATAACGCGGTACTCTCAGAACGCGGTTTCTATATAACGCGGAGCTGAAACTGTGACAGCCCTCCCATAACGCGGTACTCTTACAGCGCGGTTTCCGTTTAACAGAATCCCATAAGTCCCTTCCACACAGCCTATGAATGACTCTAGTAACTAGATATTGTAAGAGGTTTTAATGTAAGTTTTATTTTCCACGCAAAAGCACAGCCAAAATACATAAACAATATGTTTATATAAACATGCCAGCTTATCTCATAGCCGTTTACGACATCGGTTTCAGTCATCTCAGAGATCTTTCATAGTACATATGTTTTGTTGGTGACCAAGTCTTTCTAAAAATTTTTCTACACCTTCCGTTCGTTCAGCTTTTAGCTGCTTAATTTGTGATTTATAATTGGACAACATTACACAATACGATAAGTAATATTCTTAAGTTGTACTAATATAATAATAATAAAGTAATTAATTTTATTAAAATAATTAATTACCCTAGATTTGCATCATGTCAAACACAAAAGAAACAAGGAAAGGATTAAAAAGAAAGTTTATATCGCTTGAAGATAAAATCCAAATTTTAAATCGTTTAGAAGGCTTAGCTCCCTATAGAGAGGTTTTAGTGGAGTTAGAAAAAAAAGCTACGATCAAAAACCAATGTGAAGAAGAACCAAGTGAGGAAGACATTTTGCCCATTAAAAGAAGACGAGTTAGGCGACTCATATCTGACAGCGAGGATGAGTGTTGAAAAATAAATAATTTTACAAAAGTCTTTCTTGTTTTTGTTGGAAAACAGTCTTTTAGTTTAGTTTTTGTTTCATTTTTTTTTTATCAATCCTTATATGAACTCTTCAATTCAATAAAAATAATTCATAATTTATCTTGTCTTTTGTATTTATTGGTCTCCATATAACGCGGTACGAATGATGTGATTTGTACTAATTCCGAGTTTCTTATAGTGCAGTTTCCATACAACACGGTAGACGGTTTCCATAGAACACACTACGAATTAGCCTGGTTTGTACGATTAAATCCGAGTTTCTTATAGCGCGGTTTCCATATAACGCGGTACGCACTCACCGTGTTATAGGAGGGCTGACTGTATTATGTTTAAAATTTATTTTATTAGCTAGCACTATTTCTAACCGTCCCAGCCATTTAAAATATCTATGCACCTAACTATGAAATATATTGTCAAATATAAAAGTCTTTTCCTGTTTATTTACAGAAAGTCACCAATGCAGCATACTATAACTGACAATATTTAAACAGCATTTCCACCCCATTTAGAAATTATGGCCTTTAAGGTATTAACAATTTTAGGTTTAACAATTTTCTTGTGGCATCATTGACAAGCCCTTATCCTGTTTTATTTTAGTAAATTTTCAATTAAGCTTTTTACGTACAAAAGATACCTTGAGGTTCGTTTCTTGTGCAACCACCTGCCAATTGATGTGTTGTGTCAAATGATCAGGGTTAACATTCAGGACCCAAACCCGTCAAGTGTTCCATTTGGGCAGGGTTTTTAGACTCAAACACTACCAACTAAATGAGCAAACCCTCCCTCCCTCTCACTTATCGCCAGCTTTCTCCCATATTATTGGGTTGTCCGGAAAATAATGCAGGATTTTGGTATTAAACAAAAAAAAAGAAACTAGTTACTTTAAAGCAATGTTCTTTAATCAAAATAATTTCCCATACTCTCAATACATTTCTCCCAACGTGTTGGTAACTTATTAATTCCGTCTGAGTAGAATTCAGAATTTTTAGAATTGATAAAGTCAATAAATGCATTTTCCAGTTCCGTTTGATTTTTGAATATTATGTGTTGTAAGTAGTGGTCCAGGTGTCTAAAAAAATGGTAGTCAGTAGGCGAGAGGTCCGGAGAGTAGGGTGGGTGAGGCAAAGTTTCATAGCCAAGCTCCAATAATTTTTGTGACGTTACACGTGACACATGTGGTCGAGCGTTGTCATGCAACAAAATGGGCCCTTTCCGATTGACCAAAGAGGGCTTCATTACTGCCAATTTCTGATGCATGGTATTAATTTGGTTACAGTATGATTCAGCATTGATGGTTTCGCCAGGATTTAAGAAGCTGTAGTGTATTAAACCAAATGAAGCCCACCATACCGTAACCATTACCTTTTTTTGATGAGTTGGGGGCTTTGGAGCTTCTCCTTTGTCGAGCCACTGTCCAGAACGTCTAGTGTTATCGTAGAGAATCCACTTTTCGTCACATGTAACAATTCTGGCCAGAAATGGGTCATTTTTGTTTCGACAAAGAAGTGATGCACAAACATCAAAGCGCTGATTTTTTGGCGATCGTTTAATGAGTGTGGAACCCAATTTTCGAGTTTTTTCACTTTTCCAATCGCCTTGAGGTGGTCAGCGACGGTCGTTTTACTGACTTTGAGTTGCTCTGCAAGTTCTCGAACAGTTGTTTTGGGGTTTTCTTCCACCACTGATCGCAGAACATCATCATTAAGAGAGGAAGGCCTTCCACGACCTTCTTCATCTTCAAGGCTGAAATCTCCCTCCCGAAATTTTTTAAACCACCTTTGCACAGTGCACTCATTAACACAACCCTCGCCCCAGACTTGGTTAATGTTTCTAGCCGTTTGGGCTCCGCTTCGGCCGAGTTTAAACTCGTAAAAGAAAATCGTACGAAATTCTCGCTTTGACATTATAAGGATGACTGAATTATTTCCAAGTAGCGGAATGCTACAGAGGTAAACAAACAATATCATTTGGAAGAGGATTAATAAGTGTTGACATTCATACAAATGAGTAATCCTGTAAACGTAAACAGAATATTTTATATAGATTTTTTTTAATGAAAACTTAAAATCCTGCATTATTTTCCGGACAACCCAATATTTTCAAATATAGATTGTAGTACAAAAACTGAACGGTCCAAATGGTTCTCAGCAATCTTTCGTGGAGCCTAGTTGATCGCACAGTTCAATGAAAATGTACAAGTGATGAACTTTTGTGGTAATACGTTTAGGTCACCATTTAACACGTTAATAACAAACATGAGCTAAAGCATGCTTTACACTACAGTCTAATTTGTCTAAAATATTTGTTTGGCATCTGGATAGGAGCCAATAGTATTGACTAGCTAGAAATTGAAAGAATTGATATCACTAAATCACCTACTCTCCTCATTCTCAATTAACAATCAGGTTTCCTTGTGCCAAGGAAATGGCAATCTGTGGAAATGGTTTTTGGTTTTTAATATGTCAATTATGGGCAAATTGTAGACAAACAAAAAATAAGGATTTTGTCAGCTTCAGTGCAGGGTCTGGGTGAGATTTCCCCTGCGAAATCGAGTTGAATGACTATAAATCACTTGGATATGGCACTGAAGAAGCCGAAACATATTTGGGTAGGCTAAACCAACAAGACTAAGGAGACCAGATTTTTAGAACAAGGTAACCCTTATTTGGACACCAGCACAAAAAGGACACCATGACAATGAAGAGGCGGACATCCTGGCCAAAGAAGGCTCTAATACTGCGTTTGTCAGGCCACAACCGGTATTACCTCACTCTATGAGTACAGCGAAAGAGAGTATTAAAAACTGGGGCATGTAACAATTCCTTAAGGAGTGGAATACATCCCCCAGACACTTATAAGAGGCTTATAAGTATCCTGACGGGCCACTGCCCACTGAAAAGACTCTCCAGATCCTTTTTGCCGTTTTTGTGAAATAAAAGAAGAAACGGCAAGGCACTACCTCGCAGAGTGTGATAGGTAAGCTAGGTCTAGATTTGAAATCTTTGAAGGAGCGGACATCACCAAACCACTCCCCGAGATAAAATGGTCCAAAATCTTGGGGTTTGAGAACAAGTCCAAGAGATTATGCAGAACACATGAGCCGACCAAGTCCCAGACCTTTTAGGGATGGGGTACGAGTCTACCCAGGCATTTAACCCCTCGGGTCTTGGTCACCCACCCTGCATAATATATATAGGGAGACCAAATGATCGAAAACATTCATCAACACACAGATCCCACAGACAAATCTAACAAATCCATCTGGAGGAAACATTAAAGCATGTGTGAACGAGTGCCTAACTAAATAAGAAGCCAGTGGTTGATGATATCATTTTCTCTATGATTATTCAAAAACAACTGAATGATATATTCTGACTGTATGTGCACACTCAGAAAAAGCGAGCAGTTTTATGTCCTTAACCTGAGTTAGGGTGAGCAACTCTGTTATTAGGCCAGATGCATACATCCAACACTCAGACTGGACATACAATGGGTGACATGAAATCATCATCACTACGATCATGCAGACAAGCTGCTCCTTCTGGCTAAATATTTATTCTAGATTAGACTGATACTGCAGCTGAAACAGTATGAGCTGCAGGAGCCTTCAAGCGTACAGATCTAGCAGCTGAACAACACTAGTAGAAATGAAATCAATCAGTTTGATCATAAGACAAAATTCAACTTATTATTCAACATTGAGGAATAATTTAGCTGAAAATGTATGATGAAGTATATGGAGAAACTTCTAATGTCGACAGAATCCTGCATTTTGACCCAAACGTACTTAAAAAAATGTTAAATCACCAGCACCCCGAGAGTTCACATAACCTTGTAACGTTGAAATGCCCTCATTAAAAAATAAAATAAAATAAAAATAAATAAATGAACTATCGGATCTGGCAGATGGATGACTACTTGATTAAATGAAATTAATGTCATCCTAATCGTGCAAAAACAAGCGGTAACCATAATTATTCTAGATTGTCCAATACAGCAGCTGAAACAGTAGTAGTGCCGTGCCAATGAAGAAACTACTAATGACAACATCGGTGTATACAGAGCTGGCTGGCATCATTGACTTCAGACAAACAGATCAAGTGGCCAAACGACACTGGTTAAAATAAAATCATAGTCAATCTGGTCATGAAAAGACAAAATTCAACTTCCTATTATTCAAGATTGAGCAATAATGTGTGGTGATTAGTGACCGTTAGCCGATGATTATTCAGAGATCGTGAGATGCAGTCTGGTGTGACGTAGGTTTTAGAAAAACATTTTCTTTATCGTGCCAACGTTTCAATCTTTAATGAGATCCGTAATTGTGCCATTCTTGGGTGTCGTGTTGAGAGGGCACTCAGAAAACTGGCGCTTTGAGCCCTGAAGATGGTCTCAATAAAGATCGAAACATTGGCACGATAAAGAAAATGTTTTTCTAAAACCTACGTCACACCAGACCGCATCTCACGATCTCTGAATAATCATTGAGCAATAATTTAAGAAAAACAGTATGATGTTCAATACGTAGAAACTTCCGCCTAAATCAGCATATTGAAGGTTTTAACCATTTAAGAATAAAAAACATCACCGAAATGCCCTACCTAAACTATCAGACTGGGGGTCGGTGGCCGCAATGGTTTAGGCGTAGACACGGTGTCATAACTGTAAGGTAAAGGTCCCAGGTTGGAATCCAACAGCCCTGCATTTGGACCCACACAAAATTAGTTTTTTTCCACAAACTCCAGCTCCCCAAGGTTCATATAACCTTGTAGTTGAAATACTCTCATAAAAAAATTAAACTATTGGATCTAGCTGATCGATGATCATTCGATTAAATGAAATTATTGTCGTCCTTATCGTGCAAAAACAATTTGGTGACTATAATTATTCGGGATTGACCAATACTGCAGCTGAAACAATATTTTGCCCCGTTTATGAAGAAATTTCTAACGCCAACATCAGCATATCGAGCACTGGTTGAAATGAAATCATAGTCATGAGAAGACAAAATTCAACTCCTATTATTCAAGATTGAGCAATAATTGAATGGTATGATGTTGAATACATAGAAACTTTTGTCTACATCACCTTATTGAAAGTTTTTAACCATTTAAGGTCACAAAACATTTCTGAAATGCCCTACCTAAACTAGCGGACCTGGCAGCTGGATGAAAAGTCGCACTTATTCGCAATCTTTAGAAATACATAGTAAGAAGACAATCATGACAGTCGGAAGCGGCTGGCCTTAATCATGATCCAGTATGTTAACATATACAACATTGTTGTACAAATATTAAAAAGCTCTATACAAATAAAATGAAAAGCCTGGACGGGTTTGATGGTTTAAAATCGAGTTTACATGTTATTGTGTTTATAACGACATATTTCTCATGGACTAGATTAATTAAAAAGTTGTATAAAGTTCGTGGGCGGTTTTTATAAAAACTGATGTAAAAGGCAAATCGTGTTGTTAAAAGATTGAAGGAATAATGTTATAATAAGAGAAATGATGTGAAATGGGCAAAACGTGGTGAAAGGACCACGAGGCGGCAACAACTGGCAATCCGTGAAAGTACGATAAATAACATGTTGATTTACCTTTCCGGCGAGGAGATCGTTGGTCCCGTACTTTTCGCCGAGGTCTCCGACTGCTTTCAGGCCGGATCTGAACGAAAGCTCCCTCCTGAGAGAGACGAGCACTTCCGAGTCGGTCACGTCAAACCGGACGAATTCCACCAGACGGGGCTTCGCCTCTTTCAGCCGGCCGTCGAAATCCTTCAAAAGAGGACAAGCAATGGTGAGATATGGTGAGAGCGCGGAGGATCCGGCGTCGGATCAACGGCGAGGACGTCGGCAGACCTTCGGCTCGGGACGGGAGTTTCTCGAGTCGGGAGGCAGGACGGCGATGAAGTCACGCGTCGAACTCTCCCGCTTCGCCCTCGTGAAGCACAACCGCTCGCCGGCCGGGATGCCAACGAGGCCATCGTCGAAAAACTCGAACAATTCACACAGCAGGAGACACATTTTCACATCAAGCACATGTTTGAAGTAACCTCAAATTTTTGACACTAAGAATAAGAAAATCTAGGGCGGGACGGGCAGGAGCCGACGGACCGCATTCCGCCTTCACGCCCCCCACCCCGGAAATTTCTGACATTCCTCCTTTTTCAACTGACCAACAGCAACTATTCCCGCCTAACTACAAAACGTCAAACACAAATTACAGTAAATTAAGATTATTTCGAGATTGCGAGATGTTTAGAAAACCATTTTCTTTATCGTGACGTTTCGATCTTTATTGAGATCATTTTCAGGGCCTGGGATTTATAAATATTTCCACATCTTACAAGTATTTGTATAATTTAAACAATGTTTATAAATCCCAGGCCCTGAAGATGATCTCAATAAAGATCGAAACGTTGTCATGATAAAGGAAATGTTTTTCCAAAACTACATCACACCAGACCGCATCTCACGATCTCTAAATAATCATTAATTAACCGTCACTAAATGCCACACACGTAAATAATTACATAAAGCAAATAATACAACTAGTTGTTAGGGGATAATCTAAATGTATCAACATAAAAACTAAAAACTTCTATATTTTTTTGCAGCATGTAAATGGCAATATCGTCCAGACCCTAATAAAAAGATTCCTTTCAATCAAATAACAAATTACTTAAATGGACTTTTTTGGAAACGGTATATTTAGACGATAAATAATGAAATAAGTTTTTTAAGATATTAGATTTTTAGGGTAGTTTAAAAAAATACTTTTTCGTTTTTTCCCTATGTTTCGGCCTTTATTCCGGTCATCTTCAGGGCCTGGGTGAATTACAAAACATATGTTGATTGGAAAAGATACAATACAGATGTAAATGTAAACTTTGAACCAAGTATTTTATACTCACAGAAATGTGGTGCCATTCTTTTGAGTATGAAATATTGGTTCTAAGTTTATACTTACATCTGTGAGTATTTTTTTCAATCAACATAAAATACTTTTATTTGAATGAATAATCAAGGACAGCACGCCAAAGAAATTTCCTTGTTCTTCTTTTTGGCCTTTTGCTCCCTAAGGGTTTTTTTGTTTGGTACATTTTTTATTCCTAATATATTATTCCTAAATAATTAGTATATATATTATTTACGTATTTTGTAAATAATTATTAATAAGTAGTATATATTGAAATAATTACTGAATTTGTAAAAAGTCGTAATTTTTTACTGCACATTCAAATTTCATTTATTTTAATAATATGCTTTAAAAAAATAGTCTATGTATAAATATGAAATAATCGGTTAACAATTATGTTTATTTATAATTATCACAATAAATTAGATGTATAAATAATAAATTGCAAGTAAATGCAATGTAAAATTTTAATTTTAAATTTAAAATGACCCGAATAAAGGCCGAAACCAAAAAAATGAGAAGGTGTTTTTCTAAGTGACCTCATTTTTGACCTCTCCTCACGAATTCTACAAATTAATAAATATAATAAATTTTGATTTGCCTCTTAGTTTAAACATGTACTTAATATTTGACATACGCATTAATCACTAATTTAAAATTACTTTCTAACAGTATTTATTAGGATAATTTTTACCTGAACAAAAATGTACATAAGGTTCCATTGCAAAGAAGCAATCTTGAGTGCAGCTGTATTAGGCGTTCACACGACGCTCATAGCTGTAAGGTAAAGGTCCCGGGTTCGAATCCAACGACCCTGCATTCGAACCCGACATACTTACAAATGGGTTGGTTTTCAAAAACACCGGCACCCGAGGGTTCATATAACCTTGTAGTTGAAATACCATCGTTAAAAAAAGAAGTCTAAACTTTAAAAAAATATTAATATTTAGTTGTGTTGTAATTGTTTTCTTTTTTTCTTTCAAAATTGAGCGGCATTAAAAAGTAACTTCTCATTGGGACTTCGCATTGGCGGTGGATTCCTTACAATTCATGTCGAGCGACTTGTTTATGACTTCTTTTAACCTGATGATGAACTTTAAGCTTGAAATCCGGACGTGTAAACAACAAATCATTTACAAGTGAATCTACATACTCACCCCACCTTCATTTCCAGAAAGGGGTGTTGTCTCTAGAGTCTAAACGACATAACGGTAAGGTCAAGCAGCTCATTTCGGTCAAGCCCTAGACCAGCGGTTTTTGACATTTTAATCCAAGGATTTTCTCAAATTCTTATACCGATTGGTTTCTGCCTGTGGGACCATTCCGCGAAAGATTAATCGCATGAAATATCAATCAAGTTTCGGATTGACGTGAAAAAACTGACTGTTGATTAAAATAGTTAATTACAGACGAAATATAAATTTGAATTCCTTAACTGTCCGCAAAAGGGGAAAGTTTACTCAGTGTTGCAATGCCTAACCCTATAAAAATTGCAAATTATTACAAACTACAAACAATTAGCCTGAAGCGAATTATTATCTTTTACGAAAAGATTGTAACGTTGGCCTGTTAAGCTGTTAACTCTTTATAAAATCTGTTTTTAGTTAATAGTTCCTTGCCATTTTTCTGCGCTAGTAATTATGCGCAGAGTTGAGATTAGAGAAGGGCAGACGCCATTTGTTTGGCGAAGTCGTCCGCTGATACTTGCTTTTTTCGTTCGTCTGCCATTATTTTTGTGTTTTCCTTTAAGTTAAATCACGTTTTCTCTTGTTCCCCCGTCGAGGACGTAGATATTTTTCTTTTCAGCCGGATTCTTTAGATTTTCTTATTTGAAAGTTAGAAACAGGATAAGTAACGTTAACACCATGGAGTACCGCGTAAGTCCTGTTTTATCCCATTGTCTGTATTTTGTTTTTATCACCTGCCAAGCACTTCGTACGGCCTGTTTCTCATTTCTCGCTAATTAACGAACATTTCCTTTCAAGCTGGGATCCATGTCTTTATGGACGAAGGCCCAACAACTCCAAGGGGAAGCCCTCCAGCAGGTCCAGGCTGTTTACGGGGAGCACTTTCCGATCGAAGTCCGTCACTTTTTGGCCCCTTGGATCGAAGACAAGATGTGGTGAGTTAAGTCGATGCTTTGAAAACGACTAAACTTGCTCCTGTTCAGCACATTTCTTATGACACTTCTTTCAAATGATAAGCAGGTGGTTCATTTATCATGTTTTTAATTTTTATCAGTCAAACTTCATCTGAAAGAAATGTCTCCTTTTAAGTACAAAATTTTGATCTCCTATCCTTTGAAATCAAAGATTCAGATCAAATTAACACAATAAATTCTGTTGAATCAGGGCGGAAATAGAGCCTGACAATCCTCAACATGAACAGTACGCGACGACTTTATTCACATCACTTGTCCAGGAACTTCAAGTCAGGGCAAACAGCCTGGTTTCCGAAGAACATTTCATAACTAAAATAAAGTTGATGGATGCCGCTAATTTTTTCCAGGTGCAAATTTTGACCTTTCTCAGCTTAAAACTAATTTTTATCACAACTTGATGTAATAACATTTTCCATTTCAGCAACGTTATGCGCACAACCCCTTGGCTTTGTTCGGTATCCTTAAGCATTGCTTGAATACAGAATTGAAATTAGTGCAACAGGCTGAAAACGTATGTAAATGGTAAATATCAAATATTTATTTGTATTTCTAAGAAATGATTTTTGTCAGGCTGGTGTGGACCTTGGCGGAGGTGGTATGAGCACTGTAGCTGCTGAAATTGCCCAGCAGTTGGAAATCTTAAGAGCTAGGACGCACGAAACCTCTGAAGATCTAAGGCGAATGGAGCAAGAGCAAGAATCTTTTGCCCTACAGTATCATGAATGCACAAAGCTCAATGGTAAGTTTACAACTTACTGGATACGCCATTTTGGCTTTGTAACTGTTTATTCTTGAAGTTCGAGGTGTAGTAAAACTGTAACAATTTCAGCTCATATCTCCCACTTGCAAAGTCAACCGCAAAATGCTCAGAACATTGAATTGGACAGAAAATTGAAGAGGCAAAAAGAGATGCTAGAACAGATCTTGAGTCAAAAAGTAAAGACAAAATTTTTAAAACTACCTGAAAATTGCCTTAAAAATTTTGTATTGTAAGTGTCGGTGTTTTTTAGGTTGGCGGATTGTTACAACAAAGAATTACATTGACAGACAAACTGAAATGCACTCTTAATTTGATACAATCCGTACAGTGTCGGATTCTAGACGACGAACTGATAAAATGGAAAAGGGAGCAACAATTGGCGGGGAACGGTGCCAAGTTCAACAACAATCTAGATTTGATACAGGAATGGTGTGAAACGCTCGCCGAGATCAATTGGCTGAACCGACAGCAGATCAAAGAGGCTGAAAGGCTTAAAGCGAAACTGCCGCTCGACAGCCAAGGTGTCGCCGACCTTCTTCCCCATCTCAATTCACAAATTACCCAACTGCTTTCGAGTCTTGTCACAAGGTAACATATCCATAGTATAAATTGCATTTTTTTGTGGTCAATATTCAGCTTTTTCGATGGGTAACATTGAGTTTTTATTTTGTAGCACGTTTGTCATCGAGAAACAACCCCCTCAGGTGATGAAAACTAACACGAGATTTACGGCGACTGTGAGGCTCTTAGTAGGAGGAAAGCTAAACGTTCATATGACTCCTCCTCATGTTAAAGTGACGATAATCAGCGAAGCTCAAGCAAATTCACTTTTAAAAAATGAAAAAGTCTCTAAAGGAGATGCCAGTGGTGAGATTTTGAATAACACCGGCACGATGGAATACCATGCTGCAACAAGACAATTGTCTGTCAGTTTTCGGTAATTAATTGATTTTTGGAAAACAAGTTAAAATTAATCGATGGTTGTTTCTAACAATGCATCACCTTGTACAGGAACATGCAGTTGAAAAAAATCAAACGGGCAGAAAAAAAGGGTACAGAATCCGTTATGGATGAGAAGTTTTCACTTTTGTTTTCTTCACAGTTTTCTGTTGGAGGCGGTGAACTAGTCTTCCAGGTAGGCTTCAACCAAATATACTTTTATATTTTTTACTCTTCTTTTTTGGTTGTTGACTTTATATATTTCTTGGGTTTCTTTTCAGGAACTAGACAATCATCAGACTCATTTACTTTGAAAAGAAAATGAGTTTGATGGATGTCTAGTTCCTGAAAAGAAACCCAAGAAATTCAATTATATTTTTGATTTCATAAGACATAAATTTTTTTTTTTTAATTATTTGTAACCATTCTCTTTTTGAAGGTATGGACTCTTTCTTTGCCAGTTGTTGTCATTGTTCACGGGAATCAAGAGCCACACGCTTGGGCCACGGTGACATGGGATAATGCATTTGCAGAAGCCGGTAGATCACCTTTTGCCGTCCCTGACAAAGTCCTTTGGCCTTATGTTGCCGAAGCTTTAAACATCAAGTTTTGCTCTCAAACTGGAAGACAGCTAAGCGAAGACAGCTTAAGGTTTCTTGCTGAAAAAGCATTTAGGTAAATAAACTAAAGAAAAACATTATTAAAAAAAATTTATTGAATAATAATTGAAGTTGCTTGTTTGGGTTTTTAAATGAGTAAATATTAAGTTACCTTTCTAATGTCTTAAGTGTGTATGAAGTAAGATTGAAACATTTTAGCCCTTTTTTATGTTCATTTGTGGATGTTTTTATTATTTTAAACATGCTTATGTTTTGTGTTTATTTTTTAGAACAAGCAATGTTAATGATTTCTCCGGTATGATGCTCAGTTGGTCGCAGTTTTGTAAAGAGCCTTTGCCCGAAAGAAACTTTACTTATTGGGAGTGGTTTTATGCAGTGATGAAACTGACGAGGGAACACCTCAAAGGACCCTGGGTTGATGGGTATGAGAAATATTTAATAAACCTTGTAATAGCAGCTCAAATTGATTTTTGTACTGTTTTAGTTGTATCCTCGGTTTTGTAAGGAAAAAGCAAGCCGAAGAAATGCTCTTGACTTGTGCCAATGGCACGTTTCTTCTTCGTTTTTCTGATTCAGAACTCGGTGGTGTTACGATAGCCTGGGTTGGCTGTACAGAAGATTCAAGTAAATACTTCTATATTTTATTTTTAAAAAAGTAATATATAATATTTTAATTGCAACAATTATTTCAGAACATTCTGAAGTCTTTATGCTGCAGCCTTTCACAAGTAAGGATTTTGCAATAAGGAGCCTGGCCGATCGAATATCCGATCTTCACCATTTGTTGTATCTCTATCCTGATGTTTGCAAACAGCAAGCATTTAGCAAATATTACACACCATTTACAGGTATGATTATCATATGTATTACATAGAAGATGTTAAAATATAACTTTTTCACTCTCAGATAACAATTCCACGACGACTAATGGATATGTGAAACCCATGCTGGTAACCCAGATTCCAAGGTTCAGCAATCCCAACAGCCTGCCACCCACACCACAAGCGATCTTTCAACCACAATCTCCAGAAAACAGCACAGTTGGAGATAATGTGAACAGGTATACTGATCTTTAATAACAGTCACGTTTAATCCCTTGGGTTTTGATTTAACTTATTAATTGTGCAATACTTTCTGTGTAACTACCTTTTAATAACTTTCATCAACTTAATTTAAATTAACAAGAAAAATCAAAGTTGTGGTGAGAGCTGATTTTACATTCAGTGTATACACTTTTCATTGCCTTTCAAAGAACGTGTATAGTAAGAGTTTTAGCTTTCTTTTTGAAATTTGTAGCTGGAGGAATTTTTTCAAATGTTTTCTGTGATTTTAATGTTGTCAGCTAGTATACAATCTATTGATACGTCAGATGATAATTTAATGACAATATTTTTGAAAAGCATTTCCATGATTTCAAGCTCTCCAGAAAGTAAGTGCAATAAAGTACTCGCCCAAATATTGCTTTAATACTTTAAATGTATTTATCATTGCAGTTCTCACTTTACAATAAAGTAAATCTCGTCATAATTTTGTCAAAACAAGTCATGAAAACAAAATCGATTTGACAAAATAAAAATCTTGGGCTTTCTGTTCCAAAGAAACCTGTGTTAAAAGTTACCAGTTCAGTTTTATTTGAGTATTTATTTGAAAAAGTCCTCTCGTTTTGCGTATTATTATTTGTTATTTTCAAATATTGTGTTGGCAGATATTCCATTATGTAATTCATTTCATTTCAATGTCTCATGTGACGTGAGGCCATGAAAACCTTCAGTATTCTCATAAGCTACTGCAAACATTACAGACATAAATTATTTCCGCATAATTTTTACATTCCAACTATGTATGTAAAAAAAAAAAACTAATGCTGTAGTTGTCTGTTTGAAACAAGACTTTTTGCTGACAAACTACACATTGTTTTATAGTAATTTATTTATCTTATTTATATGTATAAATTTCGTTTTTTTTGTATAATTTTTATTTTATGTTAATGTTCTTAGTCAGTATTGTTAAACTGTGTTCATAACATTTGTTTTGTTATTAAGGTTTTAATAATAATTCGTAAATTTTAAAATCAAGTATTACACTTCGGTAGATTTATTTACAATGTTCTCTATTTTATGCAAAGTTTTAAAGGGAATTTATTAGTGAAATTTGTTGAAACAAAGAAATGGTTATATGTAATTGGTTTAAAAAATGCATTCCATTATAGCAGTCTATGTTTTTTCATTTCTTGTATGTTATTTGATCTCTTAGATATATAAAACAATTTAATTATGAATGTACTTCATAAACCACTTATGGTGGTATATACAGAATTAGTCATTTTACTTAGATCAAAGAGAATTTGTTGTTAGAAAATCGATGTTTATATATTTATGTGCAATAGAGTCCGCTCTCTTTATTATTATTCTATTTAGATAAATGTTTTTAACATCATCTAAATGTTGCACATGTTTGTTAGGGTAGTTTTTGTCATTATACTGCTGTCTTTATATTCTTTTCATTACAAAAAGTTGAGTAGTCAGGCTCGTAACGAGTTTAGATAATATTTCAGTCGGAAAAAAAATGAAATACGTGACATTAAAGAGAAAAAGTAAGTTCCATCCTCTACTTCCATCCAGATTTATTCAAATAGAGACTTTGATTAAAAAGAAAAAAAAAACTATTTATCTAATTCCAAATATATTAAAAGAAACATATTAATTGACACTTGGTTATTTTTGTTTTCGTAAATCATTAATATGCTCAATTCTTATTATGCACAAATCCTTTGTGCTTTCAAAAATATTTTTAAAAGTAACATACACTGCAGTGATGTAAATAAGTTTATTTAATAAAAAAAAAGTATCGAAAATTATTCAATAATTGTTATTAATAAAAAATATATATATACTGATATTTTTATAAATTTCAAATATTTTGAAATGACATATATTTTATGTGAGAAAGACGAAAAAAGAAAAAAATGCTCAAAATTAGTTGACGATAAGAAAAATAATTAAATTTTATTATTCTAAAAACAAACTAACATTATACCTACATTCACCTTAAATATTTTGTGTGAATATACTTCACAGGGTCTTTTGCTTTATTTACGTTTTTAAATTTAATACATATGTAAGAAGAAAAAATTGTTGAGGTAATAGAAAAATAAAAATTCAAACGTTCCCTTTCAAATAGGTCCAAAATAATGAAAACCATCTGTTTTTATTTCTTTATTTTATTGTCAATATGTCAAGACTGAAATTGTCAGAGAATATAGGAATTGAATTTTTTTATAAGGAATTTGAAGCAGGGTCTTAAGTTTGAAGGGAAAACTCTAAGCCTGTCCTTTCAAATTTGGAAGTTAATCATTAACTTTGTAGAATAGTTGCTACGGCTTGAAGTTCTACATTATAAATGTTTTTTACCTCAAAGGTATCTTAGTAAGATAGGGAACAATTTATTAACCAAAAGTTGATTTGTTCACTTCTTTTTCCTATCTAATCAAATAGAAATGTTATAGACAATTTATCTGATTTATTCTTTAAAACAGTTTGAATATCACTAAAACATATAGTTCAGTCGAATCTCATGTTATATGTCCATTTTTGCTGTTTAAATTATGACTTTTTTTAGCATTTAAGAATTTCACATAGTTGTTTTTATGAATAACATTAATATAAACGACCTGTTAATGTTGATATAAATGTTTCCTTAATGTACAATTTTGAATTGTCAATATTTTGTGTTTACCAAAAAATTAACATTTCTGTATCAAATTGGATATTACAGATCGATGTTAAAGACTTGTTATTGACTTTTGTTGTGTACCCACACTAATTTCCTTTCTACTTTACATTTCTTCTGTTTTTTTTTTCTTTTTACATTAATAATTTTCTATTTCTTTCTTCTATTTATTTCTTTTTAACAATGAAATAACATTACTTAAATAGCAACCAGAGGCACAACAGTAGTCAATAGCAGATATTGCTTATACTTATGTTTATAATAATTAACATTTTTAAGAAAGTTAAAACAAAATCTGTATTGACTTTTGTTGTGTCTTTGTTGTAGCTACATAAACGCAACTGAAATGGATTACCTGCTTGGAGTCGAGTTGTCAGGCATCGACGACACTACCATCGACAACTTTCCTGATTTGATGCAGTATGCAAAATAGTGAGAAATTATTGTTTTACAATTTCCCACACCCGCAAGTACAAAAATAAGAATGTGACACGTTTTAATTAAAAGGAATGGAAACAATTTACATAAAAAAATTTCCTCAGGGTTGTTTGCTATCTTTACATTTGAGGCATTGGGTGTGAATCCCTTGATCAAGTCCTCCATTTTATTCAAACAATTTTTAATTAATATTTATTTGCGCCCACTCTATTAAGATTTTTATAAACTTGCATCATAAAACTGCTCTCTGCAACTGTTTTTAGCATTTCATAATTTCAATGCCTTAAAATAATAGAAGAGAAAGCCTTAAGATTTAGAATGTTAGGTCAAAAGTGCCATTGAAAGTTTAAATAGTTTAAGTAAATAAAGTATATTTAGAAGAAAAAATGTATTGTCAATTCATTGTAATGTTTAGAGTTTATATAGATTTTATTTTCTCAAATTATGTGATACCGTTCCAGGCAGATAGCGTAAGACCATAAAAATGGAAAAAATTGGCCTGTGTTGCCCCTTTGCAATATTTTTTATTTATAGTTTGTAAAGTTCTATATCTTGTTCTACTTGGATTGTTTTCTTGTTTGATGTTTTATGTATTTGTTAAGGGTGATAGAAAAGTGTGGATTATTTTCGCAATTGTGGCATCTGTGATATTTAAGGAATGGCGATATATTGAAGGATGGACTCGTTTGAAAGTTCAACTGCCTTTTAAACATTTTTTGTATTAATTTTAACATTTTATAAGCTTTCGTGAGCCTGCTATTTTGAAGATATGACTTCCATAATTACAGATTGAAATCAATGACTTTGTTTAGCATTAATAAACAAGAATTAATTTCTTATGCCCAATAGTTGCTTAGGTTACAAATTACTGCTTAATAATATGCCCCTAAACCGGTTACTATTTTTTAACGTTTTATAAAATTATTGTTCCATAATTTAAAAGAGTTATAATGTCCGTCTATTGACCCATCATGATTAAATGTGATTTATGATTAAATGTACTTATACAAATACTTCCTTCTACAATTTTTCTCACTTGATTTCTTCCAGTTTTTGTCTACTTCTTTTAAATTGTATACAATAAAAATTTTATTTGTTTACTCTTTTTTATACTTGTTGTTAAGAAATAATTAAATAAAGAAAAATGGGTTACATTAGCTTAGTTTTGATGTATTGCTGATGTTAATCAGGGAAATTGGATAAAGTGCAAATTTCTGTGAGAAGTTTGTTCTATTTTAATACTAAAAACCTGGTTTGTTTTACAGTTGTGTCAAACATAATTTTAAAAACTAATGATTGTCATAATTTTATAATTTCTTTAAACAGATCTATGTGATAAAAACTTTCAGAAATGTTAGTAAATCTAAATTGATTCTAAGGTGGTTTTATTATTTTGTAAAAGTATTATCTGGTCACTTGGATTCAGAATTAAAAAGCAATAATAATTATATGTGATGTGGAATATTATTTCAACATTTATCCTTTACCTCTGCTGAAGTGTCAAGTTTGTACGAATGCATTATTAAGTAAAAATCAAATTAAATAAAAAAGGCAATTAGGAGAACTGCTAACTTAGCAAATACTAACTGGACTGGTGGATTACAAGAAGACTACTCACAAAAATAACCAATGTAAAAAAGAGAAATCTATGCAACAGAAAGGAATTTCAAATTAGGAAACGTCAAATTAATTAAGTTAAATTGAATTGAAGGATGGACTCATTTGAATTATGGGGGGGGGCTCTTCACGGCAGGACACAATTAAAATACCACTTTTAAAAAATGGGATAGTCAACAGATGATCAAAAAGGCTATGGTACCTAGAAAAGTCATCCTGAGAATCCATTAAATTTCGTGGTCTGATTGACCAAATAACTTATTTCAATTAAATTCACTAGTTTTCGTGGCCCGCTTGACCAATTAATATTTTTCGATTAAGTAAGGTTTTTAGTTGAGATAAAAAAGACAATGCCACGAGCGGGATTCGAACCCACGACCTTTGGCTAGATACGCCGCTACTCTATACCACCTGAGCTATGGTAGAGTAGCGGCATATCTAGCCGAAGGTCGTGGGTTCGAATCCCGCTCGTGACGTCTTTTTTATCTCAACTAAAACCTTAATTAATTGGAAAATTATTTCAATTAATTATTCTTTATGTAAAGTATTGGTTGGGATAAAAAAAAGTGTCACGAGCGGGATTCGAACCCATGACCTTCAGCTATTTCTCAACCAATACCTTACATAAAGATTAATTAATTGAAATAAGTTATTTGGTCAATAAGACCACGAAATCTAATGGATTTAATATTTAAAATGAAGTATATCTTCACTAAAGCTCTCCGTGGCCATTTCATTTGTTGCCAAGAATCGAATAGATTATACAACATTTTAAAAATAGCAAAAAGGAGAGAAAATTCGAAAGGTGGGTTGTTGAGATGGGAAGTTAGTGTCTGAGTGGATCAAAGTCGCGATAGCTCAAGTGGTAGAGTAGCCGGCGTATTTAGCCGAAGGTCGTGGGTTTGAATCTCGCTCATGACACTGACTTTTTATCTCAACCAATACCTTACATAAATATCAATTAATTCCTGAGAATTTTGTACTTATCTATAGTAATATATTTTTTATCTTAATTAAAAAAATGGATTTCATTACACAAGAAAATATTTAGTATCGCTTGATTTGTCGATAAAAACATTTTATTGGCTGACTATTCACAATTATATACATGCATATATTTTCATTTAATGTACATTTTATTACATTTTTGAGATCATGAAAGTGCCAAACTTTGACATAATATTTAAAAAAGCACAAAAACAAACTAAAATTTCAAAAATCGAATATGAAAATAAAGTATGAATTACAAATGGAATAATATTTTTCTTATGTAATAGACGTACACTCAATGTGATGAGAAAAGAGATGAAAGAGTAGAACCTAAACAATCGAGTTTTTAAAAATCTCAAAATAAAGCTAAAAAATTAATGGTAATGACATAGAATGCTGGTACAATGAAATTAATAAAAGAAAAAAATCAATGTCTTTGACATTTTTTTTTTGGAAATTGTACTAACTAAATTTTTTGTAACAGTACTAAACACATTGAAATATATGAGGTAACAATTTCATATCAAATTATGAAGATTCTCTAAATATATACATAATTTTATTTTTACTGGACTTCCAGGTGAACAATTAGTAATTTATCACTTTCACATAATAAAAATTGAACACAAATTTATATAATTAAAAATTAAATGATAAAATATATATGATTATAAGCACTGAGCCATCTATTGATTCTTAACCATAAAATAGCAAGTCCAAATAATTTGGATTTATTCTCATTAACAAATGATCATATATTTTTAGGGAAAATTTGTTTTTTTAAATGGAACATAGCCATTTAAAAATATATCACTTATGAAAAACAAATCTTGTACAAGTTACCTTTACACAACAACAAAAAAACCATTTAACCGTATGACACATTCTCTTACATATTACTGTTGTTCTCGTTTACATTGGCATTAGAATTGTTTATGAAAATATTCAAATTAAAACTGTTCATTTCTGAATATTCTCCTGTCCTGCGTTTTTTATGTTTTGGCTCGGTGCTGAAATTCTGAACACCCATGTTCGTGGTATTGTTAGACGAACTGGATATGCTAGAAAATACATAATTGAATCAGAATTAACAATAATAAATTATTTTTAAAACCATCACTTACTCGGGTGAGGAAGAGATATTAGGACGTTCTGCAGAGATCATGGCAAACTGCCTTATTTCTTCACAACCAGAATTTCCTATAATCAAAACATTAATGAAATACACAATTATTACAATAGTAATAAAAATATACAGTAAGTAAATATTAAACTATTTATACGAAAGTTACCTGCTGGGTTTTCGCCCTCTTCCTGTTGTTCAGTTTCATCTCCTCTGAAAAGTTTACATAATTAATTTTAATCATTGCACTAAATTATAAAAAAACATCTCATTAAAGATTTTGTAGCAATAAAACTAATACATAAACAAACATTATTAAATATGGATTATGATTTTCTTGAAGCAATTTAAGAAAATGTGTAATGTTATGATAAAAGGTTATAAATGTACTATGTTGAGAAGTTTTTTCTTTAAATGCCAAAATATAACATGGGTCTACAGACAAATAAGATATGTAGGTATTATGTAATTCATTTGTTGAAAAATTAATTAACATTCTCAAAAAGTGGCAAATGAATTGTGCATGTTAGTTAGTGAAGCTCTTTTTTTATAAGCAGTGCTTACATGTCTGTAGATAAAATTTTAGTGTTTAATTCTCCCCCATGATATTCTTTTCTCCTCGCCTTGTTTAGGTGCCTACAACTTATACAAGTTAAACATAAGTTAAATATAAAGTAATTAGAACAGTTGTATAAAATGTTTACTTACTCGGCAACAGGTCGCCATGTACTAGGTTGAGTGGTGTCATCAAAGGTTTCCGGTAAGTGTTCTTCCTCTCGAGGAGCAGCTATTTAACAATTTAAAATTTTGAGTTTGATTTCAAATGGGTAACAGTGAGAAAAAATATTGAAAAAGTAAAATAAGTACCCATTATATGTTCCCCTTGTTCAGGTGCCAATGATCTAAAAAGAAAAAAAAATCAGTACTGATAATTGCAAATTAGTATATAACTTACTTACCCTTCGTTGACATAATATGGGAATTTATAACAATTGGCCTTTTGCCTCTTGTCAAATTCACAATCGATCTGATGTCTCACACCACCAGTAGTGTTGATTTCTATATCACTGCTAAATGGAAGATTAGATATAGGTTTAGCCTCGTGTTCAATATTGTGGCTTGTATGTTCTGATGCAGTATGATACGGTGGAGGAGGCGCACTTGGTGAAATGCAAAATCTCTCTGTTTCACTAATTATTGGCATGGATCCCTTGGTATTACCTGCATATAACGAATTACAAAATAATTTACATTAACTAATTAGACAATTCACTTTTTTCACCCCAAACAATGTATATCAATATACTGCTGTAGTAAATTTTTGCATACACAGTTTGTAAATACAATAATTTATTTAAGTTCACTAATTTCGTGGTCCGCTTGACCAATTAATATATTACAATTATTTAAGGTTTTTAGTTGAGATAAAAAAGTCAATGGCACGAGCGGTATTCGAACCCACGATCTTCGGCTTGATACACCGCTGCTCTACCACTTGAGGTCCACAATAGCTCAAGTGGTAGAGCAGCGGTGTATCAAGCTGAAGATCGTGGGTTCGAATCCCACTCGTGCCATTGACTTTTTTATCTCAACTAAAAACCTTAATTAATTGTAATTTATTTAAGTTTACATTTCTTTAAATTGTAAAAATAAAATACTTTGGAGATCCAGGATTATGTATCTTATTTTTTAATGTTAAATTATGTATATATGAATATTCATTTATCAAGTTGCAATGAACTCTCAGACCTCAAGTTTTACAATTTTTTTTTTTTTTACACAACAGCAGAGGTCATATCAATCCTCAGGGTGGGGGGGAAAGAAGAGCCCATTTGTAAGTATGTCGAGTTCGAATGCAGGGCCACTGGATTCGAACCCGGGATCTTTACCTTACAGTGATGAGCGCCGTGTCAACGCCTAAACCGTTGCGGCCACCGACGCCCCCAAATTACTTCATTAAGTTATGTCATGTGTGTACTTACATCTGTTACATTTTCTTCTTGCATAGAATGCTGCTACTGCTAAAGAAACAATGCAAATAATGCCAAGAAGTGCTACCCATAAATATGGATTTCCAAAACCTAAACATAATAAATAAATTATTTAAACAATAAAAAAAGGTATAAGTATGCATTAAAATAAAAGTACTTTCCTTTTTCTGTTTGTATATCAGGAGGTAGTGATTTGTTGATGTCTTCCATCGGTTGTATTATTTCCGAACTAATTGATATACAAGTGTTTGGTTCTGAGCCATCTATAAGCTTGGGTGAATGATAGCTGCAATTATGCAGGTGAATCATTGATTAACAATAAAATTTAAAAAAAAAAATTTAAAAAAAATTTAAAGTTTAAATTAAACAGAATTTAACAATAGTTCTTTTATAAGGAAAATTCTACCAGTGAAATTGAAAGAATGAAATATCTTGGATATTTAACTGAATTTAGCAAATAAAGGAAGATTGGTAGTAGAGTAGAGGAATAATTAGAATGTAACTTTTTTTTCCAAATAAACATCATGCAGCAGACTAACTTTGAAAAATGCATGTGCAAAACAAAATATTAAAAAAACAGGAAATGTAATTAAATTAAATATTGAAAAATATGATGATACATGACATCTATTTGTTTTTCTTGTATGCTATATCTGGAGCAAAAACTGAAATGTAAAATTGTTAACTGTTTAATTAGTTCTTCATAAGTAAATAAAAAAGCTCAAAATAAATCTGAATAAAAATACTGTTATGGATTTTTTATGACATGCACAATGATTTGTCTAGTTGCAATTATTCACATAGAAGAAGCAGTTATTTATCAATTATCAACAAGGCTAAATTGTGACATCTTTACAAGAACTCTTTTTTATTATTTGATCAAAAAGGATAATTTATTTTTTAACAATTAATAACTTATATTAATTTGCCATGTAAAAACTAATTAACTTTTAATCTACTTTGCAATTGTATAAAAATATAAATATTTTTTAAAATTTATTCAAGTACCACAGATTATTGTTATTAGTAACGGCCTTTAAACGACTATAAAAGCAACACTTCACAGATATTTGTAAAAACTTAACACTTTTTAAATAACTTTGCAACAAATTAGTACACTGAAGGATATAATTCTGGCTTAAAATTGTTCACGGAAAGATACACACACAAGAAAATATCAAATTAACTGAAAAAAATTAAAACTCCCTGAGTGGGTTGTGGACTCACCAGAATTATGATGAAGCCTTTGTTTTTATTGTTAAGGCAGCCACCGAATCACCTCCTCTCAAATATTTGACAACTAAATTTAATCATAACAAGAAAACATAACATGACAGATTGGAGGCTCCAGTCTCAGAGACGGGTTGCTAAAAGTCCTAGAATTGGATTTAGGGCATATTCATGATCAAATTTTTTGATCCGTAACAAAAAAAAAAAAACTTCAATCCGAGCGGGTATGAAGGGTACAATTTAGAAGAAAATTGAAGGCTAAATGGCAAAAATGAAAGTTAACGCTATAAAATTATTGTTTAGAATGATTTCATCGGACACAACATTAGGATTTTTTTTTGCTCACATAGCCTCCAACACTTTTGTAATAAATAAAAAATCAATTGAAAAGTAAACTCACCCGGCAATGCATTCACCACATTGTTCCGGCCTTTGAGGGCAGTCGTCAATCGTAGAATTTTTCCTAAAGAAGCGTATGCAGTTTGAGCATGGTGCACATTTGTAAAGTGCATTTTCCTTATAGCAATATGTGCCCTTGGGACAGTCCAGACTGCTGCCGCATTTAAACTGAAAAACATCACAGCAACATTGATTAATATTTTCTTTGGTGATTGATCAGCCTTCTTAGTTTAAATATATTTTTTCTTTCCAAAAGGTAGATCGGGGATGAGGCCAACAATGTTTGGCCTCATCCCCGATCTACCTTTTGTAAAGAAAAAAATATATTAGCAACATTGATATTAAACTTTTTTCTACACATTTATTAGGAATAAACTAATGGATACTTTCTCACCTCCCTTGTTGTTATATTATCAATAGAAATTGGTCATAACTAGTAGTATTATGTTATTTAGAAAATGAATTATTTATTGTTATCTGAATTAATCACTTAAGAAAATTTATTATATATATATTTTTTTTTCATCTTCAATTGTTTGAATGCAACTGTGTACATATTAATGTAAACCTGTTGTTTTAACTAATTTCTGTTTATATTTTGTCACATTAATAATATATTGTCAGTAGTATTATCCATGTAAGCAGTGTATATTCATACATCACTTGGTCCCAGACAGTGAGTGTAATGTGAAAATATTAAATTTTCTGGATGTCTGTTAATGTCTAATGATTGTATCACCTAAAATCTCCCAATCAATTGTAATAAAACTGTATGGTTTAAGGGAATTGTGACGATTATTGTCTCAAAAATGACCAAGAAACATTAAACGGCGACGTGTGATCTAAACTCTGTAATAAAATTAATCCATAATAAACTCCTTTAAAAAAAATCTTAGAAAAAATAAAACAATAGTACGCAAAGTGATTCTCTCTAGATTGCGAATAGGTCACATCAGGCTAATCCATAATAGGCTTTTAATAGGCAACGATGTATGCGAAGAGGAGAACGTATATGGCAGTAAAACATATTTTGGTCGACTGCCGCACTTTGCAACCCTTTAGGCAAAGGCTCAACCTTTCGAGTGATTTACAGGAGTTACTGGGTCCCCATTGTTCCTTTCGAAGAGCACTTTTCAGCTTTCTCAAATTTATAATGAGATTTAGTCCTTTTCCCAAATTGTTATACCATTGAATGTTTGCCTGCTAATGTTTGAATGAGAGTTGTGCGTGCAAGATTTCTTTCTTTTTTCAGAAATTTTTGAGGCTGCCGGAGCGGAAAAATGAAATGGAAGAAAATACAAATTGCGGGATTATAAACTGCAATGCCCATAAATCGCAATTTAAATAAGAAAGTTAGCTCCTCAAAAAAAATAAAAATAAAGAAAGAAAGAAAAAGAAGTGTTATTGTGTTTTTGTTTCTTATTATTGTTATGTAGCATTAGTTTATCTATCATATTTGAATGGAAGAATAAAAGGATAAGTATGAGCCTACACTCATGTTGGTACTGTTGCTAGTCTGACTCCATTATTATTATTATTATTATTATTAGCCATACAAGCCTATGGGAAATGTTTAAATTATGGAACAAAAATTCAAAATTCTAATAAAAAAACAGTAATAAATTTTATGTGTAATTTAAAAGGAGATTTTTCCATACATTTGGCATTCCAAATTAAGAATTTTAAAAAATCTATTAAAAGGATTATTCCTATTAAAAGTATAAATTAAAGCTTTGGATGGCAATAGGGTAAATTAGTTTATAAGTGAATGTTTGGAGTCAGAGCTGTAGCTAAGAAGGTTTGGATGTTAGGGCATGAAATACCTTAGCCGTTAAAACGCCCTTAAAAATTAATAATAATAACAGTACTCAAAAATTACAAAAGGTTTAATTCATTATCACAATATACTCTGGTACTACAATGATGTTTAAACCATATTTGCCTCGGATTTTTTAAATATGGTTTTATTATATTTGTCCATTATTCGACTATAAACTATAAATTTCATCAGTAAATTAGATACATTGTATTTTTCTACCTTAAAAAATTATATCTAAAAATTTGAATTGTTCTTCTTTAAATTATTGCATCATCTCATACTTTTATGTACAATTTTTCGATTTTTTCGGTTAAATTAGTTTTGTGATATTATATATAAATTATCATAATATAAAGTTTATGGTGTGTATTGTTGGTTTCTACATTCACAATTGCTATGTATATAATACGTATTTTAAAGTTGTTTTATTTTCAACATGGAATTTAATGACTAATTAGTCTTATTCAAATTTATTGGTTAATGACACACAAAATTTTCATTTTTTTTTTAAATAAAGGAAAAACATTATTTATTTACATTTACTTTGAAAGTTTTGCTAATGGGTTTAAATGCCCAAAACATCCAAAGTAAAAGTTATTAAATAATGTTTTTACTTTATTTTTTTTAAATATATGGAAATTTTGTCTGTCATTAACAAACGAATATGTAAATGTGCGTGAAGTCAAGATAGATCAGTGAAATTATTTGAGAGAGGATCAGATAAATGGTCAGTGGATAAAGAAAACACTAAAAATATGCAGAGCTTTTGTCATTCAACATCTTCAGTTAGATCTGGGGCCAGTAAATAATTCTTGTTAACTTCAACTTGTGTAAATTTTGATCTGGACCAGTACTACCTGATGTTATAATATATGACAAAAGCTCAGCACATTTTTGGTGTTTTCTTCATCCGATGGCCATTTACCTGATCCTCATTCAACAAATATGTATTTTAAGATATACCAAAATTAAACCCAATTAATTATGAGTCATCGTTGTGTATTTCGAAATATTACATTCTACTCATGTAATTATGTACCCATGCTGTTGTGTATTGCTTAATAATATACAAATTTGGAAATATTGTCGCACAACATGCCAATATTGCAATGTTGGTAATGTTATATGTTTAAACGATCATGAAAAAAATTATATTAAATAACTGAAGAAAATAAATAGATCAAGTGCTAAAAATTATGTCTCACCTCTTCACCACTGAGGGATTTCACGACCTGAAAAATAGAATAATAATAAATCCACAATTTCAATATTTAATATATCTATAATAATATAATAATTTCTGAGAAAAAAAAATGTTCCCACCTTCATAAAAGCGAGGAAGAAGAAAAGGCGATAAATTTTGATGCAAAACATATTTCTGACTGAGTCACACACGTGTTGGAAATGGAAAACCGTTTCTGAACTGTCACAAAACCGGTGTCGGGGGTGGCGAGAGGCGAATTTCCTTCTTAGTGTTCCGTCTTCTCCACGATTCCTGCTTTCAAGTCGACTTTACACCTTGCAGCAGTACCTGGTCCAAAGAGGGGATGAACATGCAAGTGCAAGTCTTTCCCCTACTCACGTCACATTCAGAAGATTTGCGCAAGGGTACACCGGCCCTCTGGGCTCTGAGTCTGGCTATTCGTCCGTCTTCGCGGGCTCACATTCTCGTAACATGCTTCAATTTTGCATGAATAAATTTTCACATTTCATTCATCTACACCGATTTAAATCCGTATCTATCTCCTATCACCTACGCCTTCATAATAACAGCTTCCCGGTGACAATTTCCAATGAAAGTTATCCCTGGGAGCGTAGTCACGATAGATTAAATTACAAGATTTGTGCATGAATAGCAATTTACAAGTTATATCCTTTTTTTCTTAAACCAATAAAATACACTGATACATTATTGGCTTAAATATATTGCAATAACAGCTGATAAATTGCGTTTCATTTTATAAATGCTCAAAAGGACTACATTTTCAAAATTTATTTCATAACCCTATGTATGATATGCTTTGTATTTTTACAGAATATTTGATTTTTTTTTTAAATTCATAAATGCTCAAAAGGACTACATTTTCAAAAAATTATTTCATAAGTCTATACTTTGTATTTTTACAGATATTTTTAATTTTAAATACTCAAAAGTACTACATTTTCAAAAATTATTTCATTACCCTATATATATATATGATGTGCTTTGTATTTTTACAGAATATCTGTTTGTTTTTTTAATTTATAAATGCTCAAAAGGACTACATTTTCAAAAAATATTTCATAAGCCAATATATGATGTTTTATATTTTTACAGATTTTTTATGTTTTTATTTATAAATGATCAAAAGGACAACATTTTTAAAAATAATATGATGTGCTTTGTATTTTTACAGGTTTTTTTTTTTTTTTTTTTTAATTTATAAATGCTCAAAGGGACTACATTTTCAAAAAATTATTTCATACACGTTATACTTTATATTTTTACAGCATTTTTTTTAATTTGTAAATGCTCAAAAGTACTACATTATTTATATATAAATATTTTCAAAAAATATTTCATAAGCCTATACTTTGTATTTTTACAGATTTTATTTTTTAATTCTAAATACTCAAAAGTATTACATTTTCACAAAAAAAAATTCATAAGTTTATACTTTGTATTTTTACAGAATTTTTTAAAAATTCTAAATGCTCAAAAGTATTTCATTTTGAAAAACATATTTCATAAGCTATTTATGTTTAGTGGTCTAATTGACCATATTAATTATTTAAATGAATATCTTACTCAAAAAGAATAATCAATTGAAATATTACATAAGCTTGGTCATAGAGTATATTTTTTTANCAAAACGACTACATTTTCAAAAAATTATTTCATAAGTCTATACTTTGTATTTTTACAGATTTTTTTAAATTTTAAATACTCAAAAGTACTACATTTAAAAAAAAATTTCATAAGCCTATATATCTTATGCTTTATATTTTTACAGAATATCTGTTTGTTTTTAAAATTTATAAATGCTCAAAAGGACTACATTTTCAAAAAATTATTTCATAAACCTATACTTTGTATTTTTACAGATTTTTTAAAATTTTAAATACTCAAAAGTACTACATTTTCAAAAAAATATTTCATAAGCCTATATATCTTATGCTTTATATTTTTACAGAATATTTGTTCATTTTTAAAATTTATAAATGCTCAAAAGGACTACATTTTCAAAAAAATATTTCATAAGCCAATATATGGTTTTATATTTTTACAGATTTTTTTTTATTTATTTATAAATGATCAAAAGGACAACATTTTTAAAAATATTTTCAAAAAATATTTCATAAGCCTATACTTTGTATTTTTACAGATTTTATTTTTTAATTCTAAATACTCAAAAGTATTACATTTTCACAAAAAAAAATTCATAAGTTTATACTTTGTATTTTTACAGAATTTTTTAAAAATTCTAAATGCTCAAAAGTATTTCATTTTGAAAAACATATTTCATAAGCTATTTATGTTTAGTGGCTAATTGACCATATTAATTATTTAAATGAATATCTTACTCAAAAAGAATAATCAATTGAAATATTACATAAGCTTGGTCATAGAGTATATTTTTTTAAAATTCATGTATATATGTATGCATGCAATTTGTGTTCACATTGTGATCTGTAAATAAATCTTTTTCATTTTTTAAATTTATAAAGACACAAAAGTACTACATTTTCAAATAATATTTCATAAGACTACACAATGTATACAATAATTTGCATTTTTACTGAATATTTTTATATTTATAATATTTATAAAACATTTTAAACAAATATTTTATAAGCCTACAAAAGATATACAATGGATGAACCACACTTTTCTTTGACTGGATTCCTCCTCCTTTTGCTTCTCTTCTGGGAGAAGAACAATCACAAAAAGAGCAGGTTCTAACATTGTACCGTCCTTCTGTTGGGAAAAGAAGTTGATTCCGTAAGTTTCCTGATAGGAAACAAGCCAAGAAAAGTCACGTTTAAGTAGTTTGAACATATCTTAGTGTTCAACTGGCACTTGATTATTTGTAAAAGTGGTTGTGACTTTACCTTGAAAATGATGTGTGGTGTTTAGTGACCGTTAATTAATGATTATTTGGAGATGTGGGCACTCCCAACATGTCAAATTAATGACACACCTACACAGAAAACAAACTCTTTGAGCCCTGAAGATGATCTCAATAAAGATTGAAACATTGGCACGATAAAGAAAATGTTTTTCTAAACCTATGTCACACCAGACCGCATCTTAAGGTATCTACACAATCTTGAAAATCATGTTTTTGTGTGTGTATGTGGTGTTTTTCAAATAAAATTTCATTTCGCAGGAAAAAGAGAAAAAAAAACAGATCAAAAGTTTTCTTGCTGAAGATTTTTATTTATACACAATTATATACATGCATATTTATTTTTTTTTAATGTACATTTTTTCAATATTAAATTTAGAGATCATAAAATTGTCAAACTTTTAAATTGACATAAAACAATGAAAGAACAAACATTTCAAAAATGAATATGAAAATTTAGTAAGGATTATAGCTGAAATAACAATTGACAATTATCATCAGTTTTCATATATTCACTCAAAAAGATTAAACTAATAGGATTTTTAAAAAAATATATAAAAATAAAAACAAATATAAATTTAAAGAGCAAAACCTTTTAACAATACATTTTTTTAAAATTATGAAATAAGACTATAATTGGTTTAATGGTAATGAGTAACTGACACATAAATATGCCAATTACTGGTATAATGAACACATTGAAACTGACTTGTGACATTCTTTATAACACTATCCTAAACAAAAAATCAGTATTGAAAATATGAGGTAATAACCATAATCTTTAAAATTTCATGGCAAATTTTTCAGATTACTCTAAATTATACTTTTTTTTTTTTACTGGACTTCCAGGTCTAGGTTTAGTTCTATCAGAATTTATCACTACTTTCATATAAGTAAAAATTGAACACAAATTATTTATCAAATTAAAAATTAAATGACTAAAATATTTTGGGTTATCAGGGTTAAAGCCATCCATTGGTTCTTAACCATAAAATACTGTCCAGACATATATTTATTCGCATCAATGTATGAAAACGTTCATTTTTAAATGTTAATCATTTAAAAACATATCACTTACAAAAAAGAAAGGTTCTTGTACAAAGTTACCTTTGTACAACAACAACCAATCATTAAGCTTGGGTAACAAAATTATCTTAAATATTATTGTTGTTCTCGTTTACATTGGCGTTAGCATTATTTATGCAAATATTCAAATTGAAACCATTAATTTCTGAATTGGCTGTCCTGTGTTTTTTATATGTAGGCCTGCTGAAATTCGTGATAATATTAGATGTGCTAGTCGTTCTAAAAAAAAAGTTAACAATTAACAAGAATTAAGAATCGTAAATTATAATTAAAAACATCACTTACTCAGGTGAAGATGAGAAATTAGAACGTTCTGCAGAGAACATGGCAAACTGTCTTTCTTCACAACCAGAATTTCCTATAATCAAAAGTTTAATAACATACAGAACTATTACAGAAGTAATAAAAACGTAAAATACGTGAATATTAAACTATTTATGTGAAAATTACCTGCTGGGTTTTCGCTCTCTTCCAGTTGTTCATTTTCATCACTTCTGAAAAATTTTACATTATTTTTAAAAGTTTTTAATTATTGCATGTAATTATGAAAAACTCATCAATAAAAGAATAAAATTAATTTAAAAAAATCTTTATCCGTGTATATGGAGATTTTCTTAAACAGAAAAAAAAGTTAGATAAATGTATAATAATGAGGTTTTTCAGTAAACGTCATAAAACATAACATAGGTCTACAGACAAATAAGACATATATAAATAATGTAATTGATTTTTTGAGAAATTCATAATCATGCTCAAAATGTGCCAAATGAATTGTGCATGTTAGTTATTGAAGCTTTTCTATTTTTTTACAAGCAGTGCTTACATGTCTGTAGATAAAATTTTAGTGTTTAATTCTCCCCAATAATATTCTTTTCTCCTCGCCTTGTTTAGGTGCCTACAACTTATACAAGTTAAACATAAGTTAAATATAAAGTAATTAGAACAGTTGTATAAAATGTTTACTTACTCGGCAACAGGTCGCCATGTACTAGGTTGAGTGGTGTCATCAAAGGTTTCCGGTAAGTGTTCTTCCTCTCGAGGAACAGCTATTTAACAATTTAAAATGTTATTTAGATATCGTGAGATGTGGTCTGGTGTAATGTAGGTTTAGACAAACAATTTCTTTATCGTGCCAACGTTTCGATCTTTATTGAGATCATCTTCAGGGCCTGGGATTTATAAACATTGTTTAGATTATACAAATACATGTAAGATGTAAATATGAATTTATACAATGATATACAATATAGAAATTTTAGGTTTAATCAAAGTATTGGTACTCAGTCAAAGTGTGTTTTTTGTGTACATGTGTTGTGTGTCGTGTTGAGAGTGTTAGTGAGAAATTAATGTTTTTTTTTTTAAATGCTGGCATAATAAAGAAAATGTTTTTCTAAACCAACACCACACCAGACCATAACTTATTTCTAAATAACCATTAATTAACAGTTACTAAATACAACATATTAAAATGTTATTGTGAGTATGATTTCAAATCGATAACACAGTGAGAAAAAAAATAAAAAAAATAAAATAAGTACCCATTGTCTGTTCCCCTTGTTCAGGTGCCAATGATCTGAAAAGAAAAAGAAATCAGTACTGATAATTGCAAATTAGTATATAACTTGTTTACCCTTCATTGACATAATATGGGAATTTATAACAATTGGCCTTTTGTCTCTTGTCGAATTCACAATCAATCTGATGCCTCACACCTCCAGTAGTGTTGATTTCTATATCACTGCTAAACGGAAGAGTAGATCGAATAGGCTTAGTTTCATGTTCAATTCTGTGGTTAGTGAGTTCAGGTGCGTTTTGATACGGAGGAGGAGGTGCACTTGGTGAAATGCAATATCTATCCGGTTCACTGATTATTTCATTCGATCCCTTGGTATTACCTGCACATTATAAATTATTTAAAAATAAACTGGAATAAACAAATTGTATTCTAAAAAAGTACAAATTAATTATTTCTTTCCTTTCTATTTGCTTTACTATGATTTTTATAAAAATGTATATTAGCATGAATAGAGGTTTAAACCTACACCTCTAGGGGAGTGAATGAGATCAGACTTGTATTGTGTCGGATTGTGATGTAGAATATACATTATCACTTGCGCTGAGGGATTGCGTTTTGGAATGTGAATATCAATTGATGGGTAGTAAATGAATTGTCTTTTCCACAAGAGGCATTTTGTTTTGTCAGACGCATTTCGGTCTAAAATATATGCCATTCTTGACAAACTACTTGCCAAATCCCTAGCCATTCAGATATCCACTTTTGAACTTATAACTATGTAAAAAAAATCAAACTACTTTATATAAAAAAAAAGTTACTGAAGATGGTCTGTATTATACTGAAATGCATATGGCAAAATAAATGCCTATTGTGGAAAAGACAATTTATTATTTAATTCCACAAAGGATGGACAGTACCAAAAAATTAATGTGAAAATCTTTGTTTGTATGTATATGTGTCTTCTTGTTCTTTTATTAGTAATTTGACAATTTGAGGTAACAAACAATAAAAGGTTAGGAAGTAAAGAAAAGGAGAAAAAAAATAGTCAGTGAGAAAAGTGCATGAAAGGAAAAATGCAGAATTTTCTGTTTTCTGAACAAAGGCCAGTAATTTGTTCTACTTGGGGGACTGCGGTGGCTGAGCGGTTAGAAGGGGTTTTTTTTTTTTTGCAACAGCAGAGGTCATATAAACCCTCAGGGTGCCGGTGTTTTTGAAAAAAAGCCCATTTGTAAGTATGTCGGGTTCGAATGCAGAGCCGCTGGATTCGAACCCCGGACCTTTACCTTACAGTGATGAGCGCCAGGTCAAAGACTAAACCTTGCGGCCACCGACGCCCCTCTCCAATTTGTATTTGTCACTAGCAGTTCTGGATTTGAATCCCAGCAGAGTCTTCGGATTTTTAGTGGATTATACAATTATAATGAAGAATATAAAGTGGTTTGACACCTCATCTGCGATACCCAAAGGGTAGTTGGAAGTTAAGCCTTCCCTATGACAGGAATTACTTCGAACTACTAGAATCGTATAAGTATGGATATATCTTATGTAGTCCAGCTTCTTCCCCATAATTTATCAACTTAATCAATAATCCATTTATGTTTAAGTGGTCAATTGACCAAGTTACTTCTTTCAATTAACTATTCTTTTTATGTAAGGTCTTGGTTGAGATAAAAAATTCAGTGTCACTAGCGGGATTTTATCAATAAAGTGTAAATTATTTTTGGCTTGATCGTCCCTGCTCATCCTTCGCTGCCTGTACTCTAGTCTTGACTGTCAGAAGAATTTTACAGCAGTTTCATTCACAAAAATGTTCATGGGCAATCAAGCTAAAAGTCACCCCTTAAACCTCACCACATTTTATTATTAATTTATATTTATTATAATTTTGTTTTAACTTACATCTGTTACACTTTCTCCTCGCATAGTACGCTGCTACTGCTAAAGCAACTATAGAAGTAACGCCAAAAATAGCTACCCATAAATGTAGATTTACAAAACCTAAATATAATAAATAAATAATTTAAACAATAAAAATGTGTACGTTTATGTAAAAACAATTTATATTAAAAAAAAATACTTTCCTTTCCCTGTTGATACATTTGGAGGTAATGATTTCTGGTTGGTGTATCCCATCGGTTGTAATATTTCTGCATTGATTAATATACAAGTGCTTGGTTCTGATCCGTCTACTAGCTTTGGTGAATGATAGCTGCAATTATGCAAGAGGTGAATAGATGAAAGTTTAGCAAAAATAAAATGAAATCCAAGCTGTCCAAACTTTTTAAAAATATTTTTTAGGAGCAATGACTGATGATTTTTTTTTATAAGGAGAATTGAATTACTTGAATTAAAAAGCTTGATAAATATCTTATATATTTTATTGAGAGATTGATCTATGTAGCCTGTAAAGTGATGAACCTGTACTTTGGTTGTTTGCGATCATTTTTGTCTCACAGGCGGCCCAAAATGATCACTAACGACCAAATTGCATATATTTAATTGAATTTAGCAAATGTAGTTTGGTACAATAGGAATAACAAAAATGTAAATAAAATTGTTCCAAGGAACATCATGCAATGCTAAGGCAAAATTTACAAAATGAGTGTGCATAACTAACTATTAAGGAACAGAAAGTCATTTAACAAAATTTAACAATGTGATTTAATTAGTCAATATGTTGTTATATACAACACCTAAATCTTTTTCTAGAAGAATTTCCAAAGGCTAAAAAATCAATGACAACATGAAACAAGATTTTTCTCAAATAACTTTCTTTATGAAGTAAAAAAAAAAAATATATATATATATATATAAATCTGCCAAAATTAAAGGATTGCTAAGGATTTTTAAAATTTTAATTTTATAACATGCACAATGATTTCTCTGATCACAAATGATTAAACCATTTGTTATGGTTTATCTTGTTGGATTTTCTGTTAATGCTAATCTTTGAACATTTGGGATAAAAAAATTCTTCCTTTGATAAAACAAATTGGGTTATTCCTATTATTATTCCACAGATCCGAACTGGTGCTTTAACAAATAAACAAAACTTAAAAGATAGGAAAATAATATTTAACAAATTCTATAATTTTCTATTGAAAACAAGCTTTTCAATTTTTTATTTATCAGTTATAAAATAATCTGAAATTTAGTACTAAGCCAAATAACAAAAAAATATATATACATAAATATATCAATAAAATTGAGTAATGAGTTTAGTAATAAACTTATGTAGTGGAGTTAGGCATTTTGAAAAAGATTTTTAGCAATGCGATAAATTATTTTCTCCATAAAATAAATAAATACTGTTTTCCAACACCACAGCGTTGTTATTAGTAACACAATTATGCACTTAAAAACTATAAAAGCAAATATATCACATCTACTTCAAAGAATGCACTCTTTAAATATAATTATAATAAATTAGTAAAACTAGCATATTTACATGAAAGGATAATCCTTTAAGGAAACCAACACACAAAACAATATCAAAATAAGACAGTGCACCAAAACTGAAAAAAATTAAAATTCCCTGTGTGGGTTGTGAACTCACCGGAATTATGATGAAGCCTTTGTTTTTATTATTAAGGCAGCCACCAAATCACCTCCTCTCACACATTTGACAACTAAATTTAATCACAACAAGAAAACATAACATGACAGATTGGAGGCTCCAGTCTCGGAGATCGCTATAGGTCCTAAAATTGGATTTAGGGCATATTCATGATCAAATAATGTTTTAACCCGTAATGAGGAGAAAAAAATCCGAATCGGTAAGAAAGGTATAATTTAAAAACAATTCAAGCTATATTACAAAAAAAAAAAAAAAAAAAAAAATGAGAGTTAACATTAGAAATTGACCAGAGTGAAAAGGTGTTATCAGACGTGAAAACTAACATTGCTGAATGAAGAAATCTCCAATACTTTAACAATACATCAAATTATTTTTACATTCTTATAACAATTATTGTTCAATAAAGTTGAGGTAAAATGACAATTGAAAAGCAAACTCACCCAGCAATGCATTCACCACATTGTTCTGGCTTTTGAGGGCAGTCATCAATTGTAGAATTTTTCCTAAAAAAGCGTATGCAGTTTGAGCACAGTGCACATTTGTAAAGTGCACTTTCCTTATAGCAATATGTGCCTTTGGGGCAGTCCAGATTGCTGCTGCATTTCAACTGAAAAACAAAAATATTAATAAATTTATTAAAATCCTAATAAATTAGTGGGGGGGTAACCCACCAACATTTTCATTATTAATAATTGGCAATTAACTATCTATTGTATGTAAATTGCATGATTTTAGCGAACTACACACTTTGACCTTGTTGGAAGAAAGTTCTCCAATTTATTTTTATTTTTTAAAAATATTAAGGTTTAGGGTTAAAGAGTTCAGCCTATTTACGGCCTAACACACCGTGATTGACATAGGTCTATTGCACAATCTCAATTACTATCTAGATTTGTTAGGCTTTTTATCAAATTACAAAACTTTGTTAAGGTGTGCCTTCAAATCTTGGCTTTTCCTTTTTGAGGAATATGAATCTCAGCCTGCATAGGACTTGGCACCAACAGAGGTTTGGTTGTTTTCTGTTGATTTCTGTTTCTCATTTTTCCTGAGAATTTGTTTCTTGTGCTCCAGTGTTGATACATTCGCCTCGGGAGTTTGCAGTGTCCAGTCAGCATCCTACTATCATTCTAGTCAAATTAGTACTCCTGCCGTTAGTTTCCGCGATGTATTTTAATGAACTTTGATGTCTCTGTCTTGGAATAAAATCCCATTGAACTGAGGACTTATTCTTAACCCATTGTCTGATAGATCTAAATTTTTGGCAATTTGATATGCCATGTAAGTACAATTCAGGGATAATAGGTGTCCTCATCAAACTTTCCATGGCCGACCTATAAATCCCATATGAAGTATGAAAAACTATAATTTCACTTTGTTATTTAACAAAAAACTAATACCTAGACCTTGTCCTTTTGAAATGAAAAGAAATGCTGTAGTTTGATGTACACACACCTGTCACGACAATCCAACAGATGTGAAATTTTGGACTTAAAATTTGGAAGATTAAATCTGGTGGTCTGGGTCAGCAAAGACAGGAATTTCCTGAATGTAAAATGAGATGTAAAAAGATGACCTTTTTTTGCGATTAGCCAATGAATTTTCTTGTTATGATGCATATTAATTTGTGTATAAAAAACAAAAACATCCAAAAAACTGTTTTGTATTAAAATTATTTAGAGTGAAAACTTTTTAATTTTTTTAAAAGAGCAAATTATTTTTTACTTTGCACGAACAGGAAAAAAAGATAAGTACTGACATTAAATGTAATGTGCACAAAATACAAACCAACAAAACAACCAAAGCCATGAATTTGTCAACTACTGTTACATTCTCTATGTTTTTTATTTCTGCCTAAAGGGTCATGACAAACAAGTAATTTTGTTCATTATTTTTTCAAGCAATTTAATAATTAAAAAGTTTTAAAAAATGTCATCAAGTAAAAATATTTCAACTCTGATAAAATAAGTTGTGATACTTTCTTTTAGTTTTTTTTATGATCTATAGGTCTATTTAAACAAATTTGTTTAAATAGGTCATCATGACCCTATTTCATTAAACAAAACGAGTTGTTTGCCATGGTCCTTTGAGCAGATATAAAATAGAATTACAATACTTGAAAAGTGGCTTTGGTTATTTTGTCAGTTTGAATTTAGTACACACTACATATAATGTCAATAGTGTCATTTTTTATATGTTTAAATTAATTACATAGTAATTTAAATTTATTTTTAGAATTATCCCATTGTTCTGTCATTTTGCAGTGGTCAGTGGTGCCGATATGTTTGCATTTGAATCCCTACTTCTTTTTTAAACATAACATGAAAATAATATTGCCACATATTTATTTGTTTATACACATTGGTGAGGGAAAGTAGGAATTAAAAAAAATACCAATAAAAAGGCGTTTTTGGACATTTTTACAACTGACATAACATTGTTGTCTATTGATCCTGAATTTCGATTACGTAAATTTAAACTGCATAATATTAATGTAAAATCTTTATTGCAATCCAATAAAAGCTTCAATTGAAAAACTAAGTACAAAGTTAAAAAAAAAGGTAAGAAAAATAAAATAAGCATTGCACATTAGATAAATCAGAAGTTATATTATTAATTAACTAATTATTCTTAATATACTTTCTAATCGAATTTTATTTATAATATACCAAAGTAATTAAAATTCAAAGAATCAGCTGTGATCAGGAATGAGGATTTTTTTAATTTTTTACCAAATGCAATTTAAAAAGCAACTGTCCGTATTTTAAAAGAGAACTCCTGCAAATAAACATTTTTTTTATGGAGCATGGAGATGGAATTACATCATCCATTTATGAGAAAAAAGTGTGGTGTGATCAGAAAAGGGGCTTGATTCTCGGAATAGGAATAATCTTCTTGCGAAAAATGTCCGATTTTTTTATGGACGATTTTAAATCCCTTCAAATCTGACAATTTCCTTTAAAAATTAAATGGCAGGCGACTTTAAATGGACAACTTGGGCTTTAAAATCTGTAAAGAAAACGCCGACAAAGTTGTATTAGACCTAGACGGCAACGTTTTAATTAACGTGTTAGCAGTTTTTTCTCTTCTGTTGCATGGAATTATCATCTACCACCACCTCCGTGACGTTTAAACATTTTGAATTTATGTATACTAAAAATTATACATACACAATAAATATTATGACTTAATAAAACGAAACATCTCTCAAAACAAAAACTGAGTTTAAGTATAGCAATAGTCACGCAATATACCGGCACCTAAAAAGTTAATTAAAGTTTTTTTTTAAAGTATATTTTTGTTCTATTCTTTACAATACAAAAAGTATCAAAAAATTATATTTGAAAGATGGCATTGTACTATGTTATGCTATTACATTGCAATGTTATGCTGTTGCATCATCATATTTCTAACAAGTTTCTTATAATGTTAATTGGATTTTTTTAAGTTTATTTTTTCTTTTTTCTTTCTTGTTTTCGATTGATATAGTTGATATACTGATTTTTTTTTTAGTATCTGCGTGTTTTTTATAGATACGCATATTAGAAACCATTACAATATAACAATATACATCAAAATATGACCCCACCATATTTTGAATATATGTATGCGTAATTATACATACACAAATAAATATTATGGCTTAATAAAATGAAACATATCTCAAAACAAAAAAATGGGTTTAAATATAGCAATAGTCACACAAAGTACGGCACTTAAAAACGTTGATTACTTTTTTAAAGTATATTTTTTCTATTCTTTACCAATTAAAAAAAAAGTCGCAAAAAATTATATTTGAACGATGGTATTGTACTATATTTGTTATTACAGTGCAACATTAATTTGTTGCAACATCGTCACATTTTTACTTTCTTACACTTTTATGTTGTTAATTAGATTTTTTTTAAAGTTTATTTTTTCTTTTTAATTCTTATTTTCGATTAATAATGTTGAAATACTGTATTTTTTTGGAGCATCTGTGTGCATTTTTTTATAGATATATATTATGCCCTTTTATAATATAACAATATACATGAAAATATGACCCGACGTATTATGGTCGTACAAGATAAATAGCAAAAATAAATAGATAAGTTCATAAAATTTATGAATTATCCTGAATACTGCTTGTTATTATTGTACATATTACGATTATAATATAAAAATATATATCGAAATGCCACTCTATATACATGTCCTTCAAGAAAAAAATTAGTATGTACGCGAAATATAAATAAAATACGAAAATTATGACTCACCTCTTCCCCGCTGATCATCACGACCTGAAAAATAAAACATAACTGTAAATCCACGGTTATAACTATCAAAATATAATTATTGCTGAGAGAAAAAAATATAAGTGCACACCTTCATAAGCGCGATGAAGCACAAAATGGGGAAAATTTTGACGCGGGACATTTTTTCAACTGAGTCGCGCACCTATTTGAAATGGAAAACTTTTTCCGAACTGTCACTGGTATACCGTGGACGACGTAAAGAATCAGAATCATCCGGCACAATCTGATCCCATTCCAACTTGCAAGTGCCAAGCTCACCTTCCACACTGTGGCAGCAGTACCTGATCCAAAGAGGGGGCGAACATGCAAGAACATGTCTTCCCCCTCTCACGACTCGTTTCTATTCCAATAATAAAAAAAAAAAAAACATATCTTTGCCATCCACTATTATGTGTCAAAAGAGTACATTATGGGAAAAAGAAATTGAATTAAACTGATTTTAACCAACCACAAAGTAATAAAATCCTTTCTCTCTGCCAAATTTACTAGTTAAAATTGGTCTCGTCTACATTTCTGTAAAATTATTAATTATGTTGAGCTTGTTTATTAAACATTAAAATAATTTATATATATATTAGTCATGCCTTATAATGTGCTCGTAATATTGAGTCTAGATTGATTTATATCTTATAATTTGTTAATTCTAGTTCGTAAAACTTGATTTTCTGTTTAATTTTTAAATAGACAGAAAAAGGGGGTCGCAACCCCGTTATTTTGCTTAGCTGATGGGAAAACATCCTTGAAAAATTGTTACCTGTTCTAAACTGATTAAGTTCTGGACTTCTGGAGCATGCAAAATCATGTTACAACCAAGTTTTCCTTGCTGCTGCTTTTTAACCCATTACACCAAATAAACATAATGCAATAAATTCCCACTCCAAGAATAAAAATGTTTGTTGTATCATTTTTTATTAATAACTTTTGATAAACAATATATGCTTTCGTTACATTAGGCAGTTTGTTCAGTTGGTTAACTTATTTTAAAATATGATAATAGTAAAGCGAGGTAAATGGTTTATATCCACATCTCACAAAAAAACAGCCTTAATCATAAGAGAGGACAAATCCTCAATAAGACGAGTGCTTACCCATTCGTCCTGATGGAGATGCTGGCTGGGATGGTGTTGCTCTCTGACAAGCCCTTCCTTTTCTCCTCCATGTTCAACCATTCGACAGCAACACCAACTTCTATCTGACCTGATTCTTCCTGATAGAAGCTATCCTAAATGACCCATAATGATCCATTTATTTAAAAAAAAAAAATAAATAAATAAAATAAAATAACCTGGAAAATGGTGCATCAACCACCATATGACATTCAACGTTAACAAAAGCAACATCACTACTTTTAATAGATTTAATCTGCACTATGCTTTCCTTATTAATATATATTAGTATTAATATATAATACCTTATTAAGTAGAGTAAAAACGAGCTAAGATATTGGTATTCACTTTGACCAATCTCTCTACTTTAATCACCATATCAACCTTCTAGCCAATAGAGCAAAGTTTAATTTCACTTGAATCTTGACGTTATTGTTTATTTGAGATCGTGAGATGCGGTTTGGTGTAACATAGGTTTCGACCTTTTTTGAGATCATCTTCAGGGCCTGGGATTTATCATCATTGTTTAAATTTTACAAATAGGATGTGGAAGTAGGATGTGAAGAAAAATGAATTTATACAATGCTAGACAATTTTAGATTTAAAAAAATGAATTTATATAATGCTAGAAAATTTTAGGTAAAAAAATGAATTTATACAATGCTAGATAATTTTAGATTCAATCAAAGTATTTGTACTCACTGAAAGTAAAGTTCAAAATACTTTGATTGAATCTAAAATTTTCTAGAATTGTATAAATTCATTTTTTTTTTAAATTTTCTAGCATTGTATAAATTCTTTTTTTTTTCACTCCTACATGTATTTGTAAAATTTAAACGTTTTTTATAAATCCCAGGCCCTGAAGATGATCTCAGTAAAGATCGAAACGTTGGCATGATAAAGAAAATGTTTTTGTAAAACTTACGTCACACCAGACTGCATCTCAAGATTTCTGAATAATCATTAACTAAATTTAAATTTTTAAATTTAATCATTAACTAAACGCTACACATTATTATTATTATTATGAGTGTTACTTTTATCAAAACAATTTGATCGTTAATTTCATATATTATTGTATTTTAATTATATTTTATTTTTATATTATTATGTCATTCTGAAGGATTATCACACCCCGATGTTCTGACCCTAGGGTCTATACATCAGGGAGTTCATTCAATTATTATTTCTTATACATTTTATTAATGTATTTTTCTATTCATTGTATATTTTCTATTATCATTTTAAATTGTACTTTACTTTTTAAACTTTTAAATATATATATATGTCGCTTGTCTGATGGTCTTTGATTAGTTTGCAGTTGTCTATCTCTATAAATATCAAATTAGCACATTGACAAATGATAATGTTATGTTTAATAAAGTTCACCTAATGTTTTTACATAAAACTATACATAAAAATATTAATAATTAGTAGCAATTAAATGAATAGCAAAACTTAAAGAAAAATTTACATTAGTATATTTTTTACATGTATGGTTTGTTTGTTCTTTTACGTTGATTATTGTTTAAATTCCTGCAATTTGATTGCAGTTGTCTGTGTAAATATTTAAATTGAGGTAAATAGGATTGCAAAACAAAATATTTTAACCGACTGATGAGAAAGGTAGTTAATGGGAAATTTGAATTTCTTTACTGCCTACATAAGAAGAATTAGCCTAACCCATAAACCTTGCAAATTAATATTGCGAACACCGTATCAATAATAATTCTAAAGCTAATTTACACACCATTTCAGGAGTTTGATGCATTTTTTTCATGGCCCGTCCTTCACTAATATTTAAGGGCTTAATTAATTAATTATTCTTCCTTATTTATCTGCGCTAGCAATTATGCGCAGAGTTGAGATTAGAGAAGGGCAGACGCCATTTGTTTGGCGAAGTCCTCTGCTGATAGTTGATCTTTCGTTCGTCTACCACTGTTTGTGTTGGGTTTAAGTTTAAATCGTGTTTTTTTTATTCTTCCGGCTAGGACGTTGATATTTTTCTTTTCCGCCGGAAATTCTGATTTGTTTAATTAAAGCAGGATAAGAAATATCGTTAACACCATGGAGTACCGCGTAAGTCCTGTTTTATCCCATTGTCTGTATTTTGTTTTTATCACCTGCCAAGCACTTCGTACGGCCTGTTTCTCATTTCTGGCTAATTAACGAACATTTCCTTTGAAGCTGGGATCCATGTCTTTATGGACGAAGGCCCAACAACTCCAAGGGGAAGCCCTCCAGCAGGTCCAGGCTGTTTACGGGGAGCACTTTCCGATCGAAGTCCGTCACTTTTTGGCCCCTTGGATCGAAGACAAGATGTGGTGAGTTAAGTCGATGCTTTGAAAACGACTAAACTTGCTCCTGTTCAGCACATTTCTTATGACACTTCTTTCAAATGATAAGCAGGTGGTTCATTTATCATGTTTTTAATTTTTATCAGTCAAACTTCATCTGAAAGAAATGTCTCCTTTTAAGTACAAAATTTTGATCTCCTATCCTTTGAAATCAAAGATTCAGATCAAATTAACACAATAAATTCTGTTGAATCAGGGCGGAAATAGAGCCTGACAATCCTCAACATGAACAGTACGCGACGACTTTATTCACATCACTTGTCCAGGAACTTCAAGTCAGGGCAAACAGCCTGGTTTCCGAAGAACATTTCATAACTAAAATAAAGTTGATGGATGCCGCTAATTTTTTCCAGGTGCAAATTTTGACCTTTCTCAGCTTAAAACTAATTTTTATCACAACTTGATGTAATAACATTTTCCATTTCAGCAACGTTATGCGCACAACCCCTTGGCTTTGTTTGGTATCCTTAAGCATTGCTTGAATACAGAATTGAAATTAGTGCAACAGGCTGAAAACGTATGTAAATGGTAAATATCAAATATTTATTTGTATTTCTAAGAAATGATTTTTGTCAGGCTGGTGTGGACCTTGGCGGAGGTGGTATGAGCACTGTAGCTGCTGAAATTGCCCAGCAGTTGGAAATCTTAAGAGCTAGGACGCACGAAACCTCTGAAGATCTAAGGCGAATGGAGCAAGAGCAAGAATCTTTTGCCCTACAGTATCATGAATGCACAAAGCTCAATGGTAAGTTTACAACTTACTGGATACGCCATTTTGGCTTTGTANTTGTAAAGAGCCTTTGCCCGAAAGAAACTTTACTTATTGGGAGTGGTTTTATGCAGTGATGAAACTGACGAGGGAACACCTCAAAGGACCCTGGGTTGATGGGTATGAGAAATATTTAATAAACCTTGCAATGGTAGTTCAAATTGATTTTTTATACTGTTTTAGTTGTATCCTCGGTTTTGTGAGAAAAAAGCAAGCTGAAGAAATGCTCTTGACTTGTGCCAATGGCACGTTTCTTCTTCGTTTTTCTGATTCAGAACTTGGCGGTGTTACGATAGCCTGGGTTGGCTGTACAGAAGATTCGAGTAAATACTTCTATATTTTATTTTTAAAAAAGTAATATATAATATTTTAATTGCAACAATTATTTCAGAACATTCTGAAGTCTTTATGCTGCAGCCTTTTACAAGTAAGGATTTCGCCATAAGGAGCTTGGCCGATCGAATATCAGATCTCCACCATTTGGTGTATCTCTATCCTGATATTTGCAAACAGCAAGCATTTAGCAAATATTACACACCATTTACAGGTACGATTGTCCTGTTATGTATACATCCCAGATGTTAAATATCACATTTTTTTCATTCTCAGATAACAATTCCACGACGACTAATGGATATGTGAAACCCATGCTGGTAACGCAGATTCCAAGGTTCAGCAATCCGAACAGCTTGCCACCCACACCGCAAGCAATCTTTCAACCGCAGTCCCCAGAAAATAGCACTGTTGGGGATAATGTGAACAGGTATACTGAACTTTAAAGTTTAACTTTTAAAATTAGCATGGGGAAGGGGAAGTTACCACATTTTATATATTTTAATTCACACATTGACCGGGCCCTCTGGCCGATATTGATACCCTGAATTTGATTTATTTAATATTTAAAATAACGGGCCAAGTCCACTCACGCACAAGGAAAGGAGGAGATGTCAGCACATAGTTGTCAACTGCAGTCAATGTGCTAAGAGGATTAGATGGCAAGTTTACTATATTCTTTATGTATGGCAAATTAAAAAAAAAAGAAGTCTTGTAGTATTTGATTTCATATGTTTAATGTGGTAACAATTTTCATTCTTCACAAGTTGCCAATTCACTTTTTTATTATTACTCTATCCAATTTTGGTTTTATCCTTTTTGTTTATACATTATTTTATTATTTTTCTCAAATGTTTTGGCAGCTTTCATTCCGTACTGGAACTGTAATTCAGTTCATTTCAAAGTCGCAAGTGACCTGGGGCCATGAAAACCTTCAGTATTCTCACAAGCTACTGTCAACATTACAAACATGAATTATTTACATAATCTTTACATTCCAACTATGTAAAAAAAAACTTTTATCCTGCCATTTACCATACAGAATTTTTGCTGACAAACAACATATTGCTTTACATTAATTTATTTTTATTATTTATATGTGTTTTTGTTTGCATTTATTTTTATGTATGCGTATTATTGTTTTTGTGTATAATTTTGACTTTTTAATGTACTATTAAGGTTCTTAGTCAGTATTTTTAAATTGTGTTCAGAAAGCATTTTGTAATTAAGAATTTAATTCTAGTTGGTAAATCTGGAAAAATTGAATTACATGTTTTATTGGCTGTTCGGTAGGTTTATTTAACACATTAAAGTTTTACACAAACTTTAAAGGGAATTTATTGTTGAAATTTTATATTTAAAGAAATTATAATTTGTTTAAGATGTACATTCCATGCAAGTTTAATTTAACTTTTTATTTTTATTTTTATTTCTTGTTTTATTTGATCTCTTAGATATACAAAGGAAACTTTAGATGCATTCACAGAGATGTCATTTTACTTTGATCAAATAAAATTTGTTGTTAGAAAGTCAATGTTTAAAATATTTATGTGCAATAGAGCTTACTCTCTTTATTATTATTCTATTTAGATAAATGTTTTTAACATCATCTAAATGTTGCACATGTTGTTTGTTAGGGTAGTTGTTTGATGTTATAATAGCTGTTTTTGTGTTATTTTCATTAAAAACCTATCATCAGGCTCGTAATGAGTTTGAAGATGACAAGTGATATTTCAGTCGGAGAAAAACGATGAAATTGAAAGGAAAAATACATTCCATCCTCTACTTCCATCCAAATTATTTAAATAGAGAAGTTTGATTAAAAAATCATTTAAAAAAACAACTTTATACATAGGTTCCAAATCTGTTAAAAGAATGTATTTAATGCTCAAATATTTTGTTTACGAATCTTTGATGAGCTCAATTCTTCAATTTGCACGAATCTTTTGTGCTTTCATAAAGATTTTAAAAGTAATGCACACTGCAAATATATGAACCAATTATGTTTAATATTAATTATATATACTGATATTTTTATAAATAAAAATATTTTCTGAAGGAAAGACAAAAAAATGCTCAAAAGTAAATTAGTTGTGTCGATAAGTAGCACAAAATAAACGGGCTGTACTTTTATTCATCTTAAATAGTCATTTGGATGTGTCACAGGGTGTTTGCTTTATTTGTATGTTTACAACGAAGATACCAAATTTCAGTTTAAGAACTTTTTTTTATAAGCGAACTCAAGAAAATATTTTAAAATGTTTACCTATCAAATAGGAGCAAATGAATAAAACTTAAGTTTTTAACTGTTTATCATATTTTATGTAGTATGTCAAGACTGAAATTTTCAGAGAATATAGGAATTAAATTTTCTTTCTTATTTGTTCTTGTTTTTAATTTAATTTTTTTTTTATAAATTTAAAGCAGGGTCTTAATTGTCAGGCTAAGGTTTGAAGGGAAAACTTGAAGCCTGTCCTTTCATATTTGGAAGTTGATAACTTTCTACTATTATAGATTTAAATTTTTTGACTTAAAACTCTACATTTTAAATGTTCTTTACCTCAAAGGTATTCTAATAAGATAGGGAACAATGATTAATTCATAACTGACTTGTTCACTTCCTTTTCCAATTTTTTAAATGAGATGTTATAGACAATGTTATGTGATGAAACGAATAAACTTTTATTGTAGGTAGAAAATTCATTCTAATCTCATGTTTAGAACTAATAGATTTAATTGTTCTTTCATGTTAGTCTAAGGAAAAACTCACAATTTTATTTTCTTAAAAAAAATCATTTGCCATTAAAACACATTTTTATATCTTATAATTTGTGAAAAATTTCTTGTGTCCATTTTCAATGGTTAAGAAGATAAAAAACATGTTTTTTTTAACAATTACAAAGTTCACATAGTTGTTTATTATTAATATCTTAATATAAGCAACCTGTTGATGTTAAATATAAATGTTTACTTCATGTGCAATTTTAAATTGTCAATGTTTTATGTTTACCAAAAAATATATATATAACGTTTCTGTATCAAATTTGATATTACAGATCGATGTTAAATACTTGTTATTGACTTTTGTTGTGTACCCATTTTCACACTTTCAATTTCCTTTATTCTTTGCGACATATTCTTCTTACTGTGATTTCATATTTCAATATTTATAATTTTCTGTTTCTCTCTCTCTCTCTCTACTGAAACACAAAATAACATTACACAAATAGCAACCGGAGGCACAACAGTAGTCAATAGCAGATATTGTTTATTCTTATGTTTGTTCCAAATTAACATTTTTAAGAATGTTTAAACAAAATCTGTATTGACTTGTGTTGTGTCTCTGTTGTAGCTACATAAACGCAACTGAAATGGATTACCTGCTTGGGGTCGAGTTGTCAGGCATCGATGAAACAACCATCGACAACTTTCCCGACTTGATGCAGTATACGAAGTAGTGAGATTTTATCATTTTACAACTTCCCACAGCCGAAAGTACAAAAATAAGAAATGTAATGTGTTTTAAGTTAACAGGAATGGAAACAATTTACATCATTGTGCCATTTTCCTCAGGGCTGTTTGTTATTTTTACTTCTGAGGGCTTTTAGGACTAAATCTCAAAAATAAGTCCACCATTTTATTTAAGCAATATTTACTGAATATGCATTTGCACATTATTACTCGCAGGACAAAATGGAAGCATTACACTGGTTTATTATAATAATACATTTCTTTCTGTTTTAAAATTATGAAATAATTTGGGAAAAAACTTTAAAAAAATTGCTTAAGCAAATTAAAGTTAAAATTGTTACGTACCATTCAAACTTTTTCTGATACTTTCTGTTTCATCTTCTACCTTTTATAAATGTTGACATTCTTGGTGGTATCCTTTAAATAATCCTGATGTCTAACGAAAGGTCAACCTTAACTTTGTCAAATAAAATGTCGAACTTCTTTAAATTTTGATAACTTGTAGGTCGTCAAGTCTTGGCATACCATCTAACCATAAATCACTTGCACTCTAACTTGTTCATATCAGGATTTTGAGCTAGCCGTGATAGAACATTACAATAAATATTAATTCACAATCTGAATGACTGGAGCCATGTAAGAGTCATCCATTTGCAAAAATTTGGTTCAAATGACTCCATAGGTGGTTCAAAAATTTTATTAATTTATATAGTGAAATTCCTTCCTGTGGTGTTGAACCTGTAATTTGGTCGTTACCGATCATGTTGGTCTAACTAACCTCGCTGTTTTGGTCTGTCAGATACGTTTCAGTATTTCGCCATCTTTAATGAACTGAAAATGGAAAATGCCAAAACGTGTCCGACAGACGAACCCAGCGATGAATTAAGTTGAATTAAAATTATCGGTAATGACCAAATTACAATGTCTTAATATACCTCTCGGCTGTAAGAGTTCTGCTGGATGACAAACTAAAAGTTATACAACTCCCAAGAATTGATCTGTGGAGAAAAATTGTATCACCTTCTACCAACCCCTTGTTCATTTAGTGACTGCTGAGAAGCACCTTCTAACAGTTTAGATTGAATTTTTTGCATCCCTTGTTGCTTTTGGGAGTCTGCTATACCAGCTCGGCATGTGCTTTTTTTTGTTCTTGAAGTTTCTTCAGAATCTGAAATCAATTGCTGTAAAAGTAGACCTTGGACAGCCTTGGCCTGGACAAAGAGAATAATTTTCTGTATCCTCATTTATTTGCATGATCAGATCCTCATCGCAAATTACAATTTTTCCTCCAAACTCCAAACTGAAAAACTTGACTACCGAGCAAATATGCATTAAAATTATTTTCATACTTTACTATCAAAAAGGCCTATGCCTTTCAAAAATTAAGTGATTTGTGATGCTTTAATTTTGCCTCGAGTGTATTAGAATTTTTTGTTTTATTAACTTGCACCATAAAACTGCTCTCTGCAACAATTTTTAGAATTTCATGTTATTATTGCCTTATGAGAATAGAAATGAAGCCTTATACGATTTAGAACGTTAGTTCAAAAGTGCCATTGAAAATTTAAATAGTTTAAAAATAAAATCTAGAGAAAAATAAAATATTTAAAGTACATTATATCGTTTAGAGTTTATAATAGATTTTATTTTCTAAAATTATGTGATATCATTCTAGACAGATAACATAGGATCTTACAAATTAAAATAACCTGTGTTGCTCCTTTGCAATATTTTTTTCTTTATAGTTTATAAAATTCTTTATCTTGTTTTATTTGGATTGTTTTCTTGTTCAATGTTTTATCTATCTGTTAAGAGTGAAAAGAAACTATGGATTACTTTGGCTATTGTGGCATCTGTGATATTTACGGAAAGGCTATATTTTGATGGATGGCTCGTCTGACAGCACAACTGTCTTTCAATATTTTTATAATTAATCACTTTTTGCAAATAAGTTGTCCATAAAGCCTACTATTTTTGAAGAAAATACTTCCAAAAGTACATAGAGAAATGTGCGACTTGTGTGTAAGTTTACGTTACGTTTAAGTTAACAAATTACTGCTTAACAAATTGCTTCTAAACGTGAGCTTCATTGTTTTTATTGAATTTTTAACACTTCTTTTCGTATATTTTATTAGAGAAGGTTTTTACACTCATGTGTTGGCCAAAATTTGTAATACTTTCATTAGAGTTTTGAAATTTTACCTTAGGAGGTGAGTTAGTTTATTAGAAAATTAAATGTGTTCAGACTTTTTTTAAAATTAGTATTTTAATTTATTTTCTTGATTCCTTCCAGTTTCAGTCTGCCATTTCCTAATTTGCTGCAATAAAATTNTCAAATATATATATATATATCCATTTACTGTTTTATATACTTTTTGTTAAACAAAAAAAAATTGTTAAAAATAAAACATACTTTTGTTATAATAACATTAATGTAAATTAGTGAAATCATAAAAAAGTACTAGAGCATAAATCATAGTTAAGTTTGTTCTTAGTTTAAAAAATGTTTTGTTGTTGTATGTCTTTACCAAAATAAAGGTTTTTTATATTACCAAAAAAAAAAAATTGAAACTGTTCATTTACAACTGAGGTATATTACTAAACTTTTCATAACACTGGATTACCTGTACCTGTTTCCATCTTAAAGATAAGATAAGCTTAAATTTTACAAAATACTTAGCAAGTCATAAATAGGTTTTATGGATTCAAAATTAACCACTTTACTGGGATCACCTGTTCTTAATGGTTTATGTCACACTTAAACGTAAGTGACTAGATTACAACCATTTACCATTCGCAGACCAAAAACATCATCAACTTAAATATGAATGTTGATTTTTAATTTGAAAACTGCTTCAACGTTTAATGAAGAAACCAACTAATTCTTGATTGACTTGATTTATTTTAAATTAACTATATACATTATATACTTATTTATTTTATCGATCACATAGTCACACTATAATTTGTTTAGTTTTACAAAGTTTTCCACTTGATCACATTTTAATTGTACAGTTTTTCCTCAAACTAAAAACTGAATAAATGCATAACTGCATAATGCACTAAAAATTGAATAAATGCATAATGACTGTAGCCATAAGATATTTTTTAGTCCCGTTTTCTCGATGATGGTCATTTAAGACATTATCCGTTGTTAGAATCACGATGGAATTAACAGCATGGAATTACACATAAAAATCGCACAATTGAAGAAAAGAAAATCTTGAGAATTCGCTTCATTCCTTCCATGTTTGTGTTCAATTTTTTATTATCTCTGTTACCTGAAATTTAAAAAAAATTGATCATTCTATAGTTTTATAAAATGTAAAGATATAAATAAAACAAATACCAACACTGATTCAGGAGAAGGAAGTTTTTCAGTTTCCTTGGAGATCACAGGAAAATGTCAAAATGATTCACTTTTCTTCAATTTTTTGATCTTGTTCGATTCTGAAAAAAAATCTTTAAATCTAATAATCTGTAATTAAAAAAGTATAATAACTTACTCGGGCGCAGGAATGGAATTAGAAGATTCGGCAGAGATCATGGCAAAATGTCGTATTTCTTCACCTCCAGAATTTGCTATCGGCAAAAGTTAAAAAAAAATCAATTATCGAAATAAGTATCTATTATATGCACACAAAAAATGGAAACATTCACAATTTTATAAAATTACCTGCAGTGCTTTCGCTCTCTCCCTGTTGTTGATCTTGATCACTTCTGAAGAATTGTATTTTACATAATTAGGTTAAAAAATTTAATATGTCGAATTATATGTTAGTGAAAATGAAGAAACAAAAGTAATGATGCTGGGTGTTGGTCTGCAAGTCGGTGAACATGCTGAACCAGCATTTGTTCACTTATCGGTCTGACTTCACCTGCAGTTTTGTTGAACTATTCAAACATGTTTTAGCTGCTAAGTTCCTCTCTGAAGATGGTACAATCCGAAACTTATTTAAATAGTGAGAAGGACCCAATAAGTGACCCAGTGCCAGTTCAGCATGAAACAAAAGTATTATTAATTAAATTATGAAATAAGCAATGTAATAATCCCCCTCATTTGAAAAGAAAGAAATTTCAGAGTATGTAGGCGGGATGGAACTTGGAATTTTAACAGGCCACTGCATACCCAATGTCATATGAAAAGGTTCAGTGACGATTAACATCATTTATGTGTATATTCAGCAATCAGGTAGACACATTTACTGTTAGACAGAGGAGCAAATGGTGAGAATGTTTTAAGGATTATGACACATCCTAAGAGGAAGTACAACAACAAGTACATTGCAACAAGAGAAAATTATAAAATTTGAAATTAATTAGAACTCACCCGAGTACATAACAAAAAAGCCACAGTATAAAAATAGCTCAAAACTTTGAATTAATCTTTCAATTTCATGGTGTATTAATTTAAATAGCATAAAATTATAGAAAAAAATAATGTTATGAAAGCTGCATAAATGTATGATAATATAAAAGAAGTTGTTTTTTCCAAGGAATATAAATAACAAGTTTAGGGGAGATTGTAGTAGTTGAGATTGTTAAAGAATTACGATTATATTATCTTGTTATATTATGTATATTTTATTAGGTTTCGTTGTCCGCTTGACCAAATAAATTATTTTCAATTAATTAAGATTTTGGTTGAGATAATAAAGACATTGTCACAAGCGGGATTCGAACCCACGACCTTCGGCGAAATACGCCGCTGCTCTACTACTTGAGCTATCGTGACTTTGATCCACTCGGTTGTCCAAAAGGTTGTGGGTTCGAATCCCGCTTGACACCGACTTTTTTATCTCAACCAAAACCTTAATTAATTGAAAATTATGTATATTATTATTTATTTATTTATATNAAAACCTTAATTAATTGAAAATTATGTATATTATTATTATTTATTTATTTTACATTTATTTATGCTATATTATTATATTATCCATGTATGTATTTAGTAGTTATTATTGACCGTATTAATTATTTTAATCAATTACACTTTTAATATGGTGTTTTGATTGAGATGAAAAAGCAAGTGTCACAAGTGGGATTAGAACCCTTAACCTTCCGCTCAATGCACCACTGCTCTAACCACTTGTCACGATTGCTCAAGTGGTTAGAGTAGAGGTGTATTGAGCCGAAGGTCGAGTGTTTGACACATCCCGCTTGTGACACTGGTTTTTTCATCTCACCAAGACCTTAGATTAAAAGTATAATAATTATGATTATATTTGCATGTAGCAGTTTCATGTTTTGACTCTTGCCATTGCACTCGGAATATTCTTTCAAAATTTTAAAGCAAATAAAATAACGGTAGTCTGATTTTTTCAGAACACCCAAGTCTTTCCTGACAATAATTATTTAAATAAGTCTACAGACAAATAAGATTGGTAACATTTTTATGTTTATCTATGGTGAAAGTGCAGTATATGAAATTTGTGTGTTATTGAAGCTTTCATTATAATTATTAATAATTATTTTTTTTATTTATAAGCAGTGCTTACATGTCTGTAGATAAAATGTAAGAATTTAAATCTCCCCCAATACATTCCTTTCGCCCTTCTTTGCTTAGATTCCTACAATTAATACAAGGTTAAGTTTATAAAGCATAATAAATAAAATAGGTTTTTTAACATTTTCTTACTCAGCGAAAGGTCTCCATGTGCTAGGTTGAGTATTATCGTCATATATTTCTGGTAAATTTTCTTCTTCGACTATAAAATCAAATAAAACACTTATTTGGAGTTTGAATTGTAAAAAAAAAAAAAATAAATAAATAAATACCTTGCTCTGCTTGCTCAGGCACTGACCTGTAAACAATTAAAATGAAAGTTTTAAATGAAAAATGTACATAGAAATAATAGAAACACTTTCTTACTCTTCATTCATATGAAGTGGGATCTTATAATTGCTGGCTTGAACTTTTCTGTCGAATTCGCATTGAACTTGAGTGTGCAATGCTCCTGTACTGACGATTTCTATTTCGCTGGCAAAAGGAAGACTAGATGTATTGGGTTGTATTTCATCTTCGTTATCGTCAATATTGTCCAGTGAAGCACTTTGATAAAAAGGAGGAGGCAACCTTGGTGAAATGAACAGTCTTTCCATTTCGGAAATAACTGGCATCGCTCCCTTCGTAGCACCTACGAATAATAAATTAAATAAATTTTAATTTGATAGGCAACGTATTTATCTAATTTCTTTTAACATATAAGAAGTTAAAGTACTTTTATCAAAGTTCATATTTAAAAATAAAAGAAAAATAAATAAATAAAAAAGCTAGACTTACATTTGAGGCATTTTTTTCTTGTAAAGAAAATAACTACTAGCAGAATGAGTATACAGGGGAATACAAGAAGTAGCAACCAAAAAAACAAGTTTTCAAATACTAAACATAAAATACATTAATTAATTTAATATTACAATTTTGAAAAAAAAAAATTAAAACACATACCTTTGTAATTTGAACTTGAAAGTGTAGATTTCTCATCTTCAATTGAATCAATTAATGTACAAGTGTTTGTTTCTGAGCCATCTGTAAGCTTTGGCGAATGGTATCTACAAATATGAACGATAAATAAATTAAAGCCATTAAAAAAATATTTAAAAAATTGTACATGTGACATCGAAAATCAAATAGAAAGTCTTGTGCAAACATTGATAATGTATGATGTTTCCTATTATTATTTTTTTCTTTTTTGGTAATCCAGCTGTTCATTGTAGACTGATGAAGTTTATTAAAAATAACAGCCTTGATGAATTCTGTGTGTTTAACTTTTTTATTCTTGGACTTTTTTTTTTAAGAGTATAAATTTGCTGAGAAGGGGCAACAGAAGAGCTGAAACCAGTGCAAGAATAAAAATGTTAAACACGCAAGAGTTCATCAAGGATATTAATAACCTCATCAGATTGCAATGAACAAATTGAAAACTTAAAAAAAAAAAATTCAAACCGACATCATTACTTTATCAATAACCAAACTAGCTAAAAATTAAAAAAGAAAAGAAAAGAACTTATTTAATATTTTTATTGAAAAGACAAAATTTAAATTACTGTGATTGCTTGTTCATTTAGTACGTACATTTTTTAAGATTAGGTTTCTCAATTGATGATTCAGTTGATTTAAAATAATGTTAAAACTGTTAGATCGGGGTAGAAAGTCAAATTAAAATTGAATCAAAACTGAATTTTTTTATAATAATCTGAAAATTTAAAACCAAATATGAAATCTTGAGAAAAGTTTTTTTATTATTTTTAATAATTTGAATATTTTGTTTATAATTAATTATTCAACAATAAAATTTCTTTATTTGTAAATTGTTGATGTTTAACAATTAAGCAGTTAGTCGATAATTTATCTTGTGAATTGTATTGTACGAGGTCTGCCAAGTGACAAACTCATAGCTTGATCATTCACGATCATCCTACTTTTCCTAGTTCCTCTAGTTTTACAGTTGAAAAGTCATTGCAAGTTGAGATCAAATGAAGGCAATGGCTGAAAATTTGGTTAACAATAATTTTTGAATATTTAATACAAAACAATTTTACTTTATTTTATATATGTATACATATATTTGACCTTTTAATAATTGATATTGGGGTGTTGGTGGCCACAACGATTAAGACTTTGACACAGTAGACTCATCACTGTAAGGTAAGGCCCTGGGTTCGAATCCAGCGGCCACCGGCTCCCGAGTGTTTATATATCCTCATAGTTGAATTACCCTCATTGAAAGAAAAAAGTGATATGAAACACCAAATTAAATTACTAGTACACATTCCATTCTTAGTGTTATTTTTTTAAAGAAAATGTTAGAACTTAGACAGAGAAAAATTAAATTATTCAACACCATCCCACTTTTTGTTTCTTTACAACACAATTTTTTGTGCAAATTGTACACAAAATTGATTAATTGCTTAAACCATTTAAAAATTAAAAATCGTTTCAAGGGAACAAACACAAAACATTGCCAGCATATCACAGGTTTAAACAAAAAATTAAATTTTTCTAAGTGGATAATGGACTCACCAGAATTACAAAGAAGTGTTTTAATGTTATGCCAGCCAAATCATCTCCTTTTACAATCGACAACAAAATTTATCTCAATAAGAAAAAAATAATATATTGGAGGCTCCAGTTTCTGAGATGAACTGCTTGTTTGTATTAAGCCCTAGAATTTGATTAGGGTATAATCATGTTCAAATAATCTGTCAAATGGGCAACTATGCAATCAAATGAGTTTTAATGATGTGTCTATCGCAAGAAAAATTTTTATAAGATAAAAAAATAATAGTAACAATTTTTTGTTCTTTAGTTTGAACATCATCATCAGAAAAATAATATTTTTTTCTATTAATTTTTCACAATTAGAATATGTAAAATATTATGTGCAATGCTAATTGATAAGCAAACTTACCCAGCAATGCATTCACCACACTGTTCTGGCCTTTGAGGACAGTCATCAAATGTAGAATTTTTCCTAAAGAAGCGTATACAGCTTGAACATGGTACACATTTGTAAAGCGCACTTTCCTTGTAGCAATATGTGCCCTTGGGGCAGTCCTGATTTTTTTCACATTCAACCTGAAAAACATTGTCACAATTAATAAAAATGTGTGGTGTTTAGTGACAGTAAGTTAATGATTATTTGGAGATCGTGAGATGTGGTCTGGTGCGATGTAGGTTTTAGAAAAATATAGATAACTTTTTTCTTTATCGTGCCAATGTTTTAATCTTTATTGAGATAGATCTTCAGGGCTCAGTGTTTGTTTTCTGTGTAGATGTGTCTTTATTGTGTGTTGTGTTGAGAGTGCCCTCCCATGTTCTTCGTTCGTGTATGGGCACTCTCAACACGACACACAATAAAGACACATCTACACAGAAAACAAACACTTTGAGCCCAGATTATGAGCAGTCTTCATAATTGTGAATATGTCAAGTTAAAATATTTCTGAACAATACATTTATTTGATCATAATCATTGTGCATAATAAATCAAGCTTTGGACTGATAAAGCGTCACATACATCAGACAATGGATAAGAAAGTTATTGAAGATTTATATGAAGAATTGAAGCAATATTGGCGATTGAACCACTGATTGGAATTGTACATGATTAGATATTTAAAAAAAATATATATTTAAAAAAATTAATTACAAAGAAAATATATTTGTAGTTGGTTGTTTCAGATCATTTGGTCTGCTTTTTAGATGTCTGATGTATCTTCGCTTTCTAGCATCTTCAGTGGTGGATCTTTGTGATCTAATATAGTCATTTTGTTACTGATAAACTTTTTATAAGCATTACTGAGAATCATGATTTAAAAATCTTAGGTGGGTCTTATTATTAAAAACGTAAATAGTCCATGTTGTTATTTATTTAAAATATAATAAATTCTACTACATTAATAGTATATTCTATTACATTAATAATCGAAAACCTTTATCATTAATTATATCACTTTATGAAAATTTTGAATTTGAAAACTTAGAGGGGGGCAATTTATTACAAAATCTAAATTTCACGGAAAAAATATTAAAAATTCCCCTTTTTTCATTATAACAAATAATGATTTTCATAATATATTTTTGAATTTTATGAATTTTCGTTTTTACATTGTATTTATTTTTTCCGGTCCTACGTTGATTTCATTTGTTGTTGACAACCAAAATTGTATATTAGAAAACGATCAGGGATGAGCTAAATCGTAAATTTTCTGATTGGCCACATCTCTAATAGTTTTTTAATGTATAATTACAATTTTGAAGGCTGAGTAGTAATTATATAGGAGATAATCTTATACATCGCGGTAATCGTTATACTTTTACAGAACAGAAGTTTCGACCCTGCAAGAGTTTCAAATTTTTTTCCCAGAAAACCAGATATTTAGGAAGAATTTTAGAGAAATTAACGTTAAATCGCAAAAATGCGGCTAAATTGAAAAAAAATTAAATTAAAATTGAAACAATTTTTTCGTCATATTTGAGATTTAAAAAAAAAAAATAAATAAATAAAACTTTCATTTCTAGTTCAGAAATAGATAAGACAACGAGGTATTTTTATCTTTCACAAATTAAAATGCAAATATATTTTTAATAGACTAATCGTCGAATCGTTTCTGACGATATTCAGCGATTTTTTTTTTAACTTAACCAAAAATAATGGACATGACGTGAAATTTATTTTTGAAATCGCCACAAATTAAACATTTTCCAAGCGGTCAAACGGAACAGCATGTAAATTAGTAGTTAAATCATTAATTAAATCCATTGTATTAGAAATTTATTCAGTAGCGTGCTTGCAACAAGCTTATACTTGCTTTTACAGCAAGCCCTGAAGAGAACACATGCAAAATTAAACCTGGTAGAACATGCTTTTACTTGCTTTTTACTGTAACGTGCAAGCAGCAAGTTGACACGTTTTATACCGCTTTCCTGAAATTCTACCAATAAAATATACAAATTGCACAAGGTCTAAATTACTGTTTGTTAGTTGTGGATCATTCGGGTCCGCCTATCCTCGCTGATTTGTGTTAATTCAGACATTTTTCGGCACTTCAAATACTGAAGATGATAAAATGCCGAAACGCGGCAGAATTAAAAAAAAAAAAAATCATCGAGTAGGCCAGAATGGTAGGTAAGCCCGCAGACCTCAGGAGGAAATCTTTAATGAATAAATTAGTTTTTAAATCATTAATTAAATCCACTGTCTTAGAAATTTATTTGACGGCGTGCGAACAAAGAGCTTATACTTGCTTTTGCACCTACAGCCCTGAACGTAAGTTAAACCTGGTTGAAGTATGTGCTTATACTTGCTTTTTACAGCAGGTGCAAGCAGCAAATTGACACGTTTTATACCGCTTTTCTAGTTCTATAAATTAAATACAAAAATTGATCCTAAGAATAAATGATTTTTTAAATCATTAATTAAGTCCATTGTATTAGAACTTTATTCAAGTGTGCGTACAACAAGCATATACTTGATTCTGCATCTACAACCCCAAAGAACTGATGAAATAAACCGTGGCTTTTGTTATGCTATGGAAAATTAATTAGAAATTTTTAAAATCACAGATCAACCTTAACTCTCTTGAGCTTATATTTAAAATAATAATAAGAATCTTAATATTAAAAACTTATTATTAAAATTAGTTTCGGTTGTCTCTGATCATTCTGCTTTTAAAACTAGACTCATCTAAATAAATAGATCGACCTAAAGCGTAATTTTCACTGGTATAAATTAAAAAAGTCAATGACCAACCAGTAGTCTTTTACAATGAAGTCATTTAACAAATTAATTAATAATTGACTGGTATGTGTGGGTGCGCGTACGTGTACTAATGTGCGACCGTTCATGTGTTTGTGTAGTTTGACATCTCCATCTTATCACATGACTAATTGTAAGTATAAAAAACCGGAAGTGAATTGCATCATACATATATCAGAAATCGTAATAATCTAAATGTTTATCGGTCGAAAAAAAAATTCTTTGTTATATTTAAATCAAAACGACTCAAAAAGTTTGACGTTCATGTCAAAATATTTCATTGTCCGGAGTAGGTGAAATTTTGCACATTTTGACCCTATTGCTAAGCTATAAACAAACATAATATTTGTATTCAAAATGTTAAAAAAAATTATGAAGTAACATATTTGTAAATTATATTTAGAAGATTTAGACGTTCTACTTTAAAATAATCGAGCAAAATTTCACTGCCATATTTTATTTTCTTGCAAACTTTTTTTTTCATATAATTAAAATAGGTACGTAACTATAGACAGATTATTATTTAATCTAAGTTAATAGATATTAATATTTATGATGTGTATAAAATGGTAAAGCTTTTTTTTTTTACTTTTAAAAAATCGTATAGAATTAACTTTATGACAAATATTTATAAAGAGGAAAATAACTAGGACTTACGTCGGTTTCTTCATTGGACAGAGCAATCTGAAAAAGTAATTAACAATTTAAAAAGTAATTAATTTACAACAGAAATTGCAGTGCATAAAAAACGCATCGAATTGAAAAATTTTATAAATGTACCTTCGTCAGAGCGATGAAGCATAATATGCCGTAGATTTTGTTGCAGGGCATTTTTCCAACCGAGACACGTGATGTAATTAAAACAAACAATAAATTAAAAAGAAAACAAACTTGCCCGCGGTACAGTGTCAAGTGTGAGATGACAGCAGAGTTGTTTTGTAGTGACTGATTCATAGGAAACTTATGCTGCCCCGCAACACCAGTTTAGAAAGAGGGGGATGGGCATGCTAGTGCATGAACGGACGTTTCCTACCCTCCCTTTAAAAAAATTCAAATCTATTTACATTCTTACAAATAAAATTTTAATTTTTGTAGCCTTTTACATGTGTATAAATTATAAACTTTTGCCGCGATTGTACTCTTTTTTGTGTTTTTTAAAAAGATAAATAAACTAAATACTGCTTTTTTTTGGCATATTTTAACAAACATTCTGTAAGTAGGTCAGACAATTTTTAAAACTTGAATTTGACCTCATAGTCAGATTCATGATTCTAACGTAATCTGTGTAAATTAATTTTTTGACTGATAATTTCGACGACCTTTCTGCCTGACTGACATTCCTACTGCAAGCTCTAACATCATTTTTCTCAAAAGCTTGTGGACCAATCATGGTTCATAATTCGTTTTAAAGAAATGTATAGTGCATTTTATGACTGAACCAAACATTAAAATCGGACTATTATTTCCATTTAAAAGAAACAAAAAGAGATGAATTTCTGACAATTAATTTTGCTATTTTGTCTATTTTCTTATTGAAATATTTTATATATTTGAATGGTACATACGTCGTTGAAAAGCTACGTTCCTCTCCTTTCAAATGGTTTGTTTGATGTTAAATTCCTTTTAGCCGTTTTTGGATTATAAAATAATAAAATAATAAATCGTAGGTGACAAATTTTCATGGTTGATAATCCATTTTAAACAAATTTTCAAGTGCATTTTATAACTGTATCAAACATTAAAATCGGACTATTATTTCCATTTAAAAAATGAGGTTAATTTCTGACAAATATTTTTTTTATTTTGTGTATTTTCTTATAGAAATCATTTGTACATTAAAATCGGACTATTATTTCTATATAAAAAAAAATTGTGTATTTTCTTGTAGAAATCATATAAAGCTGTTCCTCTTCTTTCAAAATTTCAAATGGTATGTTTGACTTTAAAATCCTTTTAGCCATTTTTGAATTATAGGCGTTTCAATAAATTTTCAAAATCGTAAACATTTTAGGAGTCGAAAAATTGAAAAAATTAAATTCAAACAAAAATTTAACGGGTCTCTAGATGTGCAAAAACGAAATTTCATATGTTTCACGAAAAAAAATTATGACCGTTTATTTGAAAAATATTTGGTTTTTAGAAATTTTTGGTTATTGATAAACTTTCATAGATTTTACTATATATTTTGTTGTAATATACATAAAATATGCTGTAAAATAATATATCATCATAGTTGATTTTAGCAAGCAGAATCGCAAAATAAAAATATTAAAAAAATGGAAAATTTCAATTTTCAAATTTTTTTTGGCAAAACCAGGGCACTATTCACAAGAAGTGGCAGATACTTGTCTGATATCTTGGGGTGTAGAATCAACAAAAAATATAGTCGCCCCTTTCATTTTGATGTATTTATTTCATGAACAGAAATTAAGTAATTTATACTCTTCCTAAATTTTCCATTTAATTAATTTCCATCAATTTTATAATGAGATTGGCATTACAATTACAGTAGTTAACAGTAAATTAGTTCATTTATATTGAACAAGGTTTGTAATTTGTCTTAAAATTTTTATTAATATTTGGATTTGTAATTTGTCTTAAAATTTTCATTAATATTGGGACTTTGCTTCCAAACTTCCTTAACTTAAGACTTGGAGTACTGTTTTGTTTCTATGAGTTTCTAGGTTTGTAATTCCAAAATTAGTCCAGTTTTCATTCACAGTAGTTTTTCAATTTAATTTAAACTTGTTCCATCTTAATTTTATGAAACTAGTTAGATTCTTGAGGCTTTGGTTTTTTTCTTCTCCATAAATTTGACAATTGGGTTTAAATTTCTCTAAAAAATTAAGTCTTTGATTCCAGTGTGTCCTTAACTTGACAATTGCGAGTGAACTACTTTTTTAAAACTTTTCTTATTGATTACCTAAATGATCAGAAATGACCAAACTGCAAAGTCAAATATGCTATTTTATAAACAATTAATTCCTTGTAGGGTTCAAGTTCCAAAAAATTAATTAGTGCCTCAAGAAATATTTTTGATTTCTTGCAGAATTTTAGTTTTGCCAGTTGCACCTGAAAAGTTTAGTATTTCTAACTAAAATAGTTCCAATCAAGCGTTCGTCACTGAAACTGGTGTGAAGCCAAAACTCGTTTAGGTGAAATGTAAACCAGTGAGAATAAACTGACCCAGTGAAGTGATAATTGTCGATCATTTCAACATGTTCTTTAAGTTGCAGACTTTAAAAACAAAATAACTATAAACATAAATAATATTTGTGTGGAGTTTAGTGACCTTAGTTAATGTTTATTTAGAAATCATGAGATGCGGTCTGGTGTGATGAAGGTTTAGAAAAACTTTTCTTTATCGTACTAACGTTTCGATCTTCATTGAGATCATCTTCAGGGCCTGGGATTTATAAACATTTTCCCACCTTACATATATTTGTATATGTTGAACAATTGTACAAACCATAAGTAATATTTTGTAAAAAATTGTCCACAAGGTAGTGAACCAGTAGTTTGAACATCTCTTGTCTGCCTTCTGCATTTTTATCATTTCACCATATCGATGAAGATAAGCAATACAGAACAAAAATGATTAAAAACAATCATTTGTTTTCTTATCGTTTGAGCCAGAAACAATGCATTAATGAAAATTATGACCTCACATGAAAACTGCCGTAATAGTTTTGGTCAGTGCGGTTCTCTGATCAGATGCATACAACCATCCCAAAACAGATGTATAACTAGGTAATAAATTTAATTTTTTTTTAAAGTAGGTCTATTATTTGTTTATTGAACGATAATAGTTACAATTTTTACAAGTTTAAAATCTTTAAAAAAAAAATACTTTACTCGTTATCAGGAATGTAATTACTATGAAGGAACTTCATCTTGAGAGCGAGTTGTGTGGGTAAATTTTGGAGCAAGGAGTTGGGGGATAAAGTGTTTTGCAGGTGGGCTCTCGCACAGACCGGGATGGATAGATAAGCCCATGCAAGATGGGAAATTTGATAGCATTTCCCGTTCATCTCTCTCCACCATTCGACTGGAGATTTTTGAAGCTCTGCTTGGCTTTCCCATTCGTATTGAACTAGCTCAAGGTCGGTTCTCTGACTTATGGGCATCTCATTCTTCGTCATGCAAAGTTCACCGAGTAAAAATTCCATACCTGTAAATATTGAGAAATTATTTACCGTTTTTTGTTTGCATTTTCCTAAACAAAATTTCAACTACTTGTAATTTTAGAAGTTTAGCTTGCATTAAAAGTTCAGTGTTATGTAAAAACTAAATCAAGTACTATTCACTTAATAGTCAGGAATCAATAATACCTCAGCATTAACACATTCACTTCGGATGGCCCTTGGAGGGTGTCATCAGTGAGTTGTTTTACCCCAGGCGGGAAGATAAAAAATATCTGCCTGATAAGTCAAAACGAAATCCATCCCACAGTGAATGTGTTAAACAAGGCTACTAACACATTTGTTACAGCACTGATTTGTAAAGACTCCCGAGATACAGCAACAAGTTTGATTAAAAACAATTTTTTTTCCCGAACAAATCGTAAAAAAATTCCAAAAAGTAAAAAAAAAAACAGCCTTCACAGACACATTGCAAAAGCGATACTAAAAGCCTTTGACACCGATTCAATTCCAAAAATAACTCCAACACCCTACAACAAACTTTGAATGTGGGGTTTTTCAAGAAGAGGTGCGTCGTACAGGAGGGTTTAGTGTGTCGTAGAACGATCATCATAATGAATGTGTTAAACAGTTCATTTAATTTCTATATTCAATACTTATTTACCTGATAATCTCTTTTTAGACATGTTCGTTTTTGAACTGTCATTTCCTTCTGCAGATACAACCTGGTGTTGTAAAAGTGTCTGCAGATTCTTTTTGATTTCTGCTTTCTCTTCTTCAGATAAAAATGGTAGGTTTTTAAACCTAGGGTCCAAAGCAGATGATAACTCCAAAATTTCATTTACTTTTGGATTTCGATACCTGTTATATAAAAATGAGTATTTTCAATATAAAGTCTTCAAATATAAAGTGAAAATATTTAAAAATTAAATACAAACCTTTCAATCAGTAGTTCCGATAAACTTGCCTTTAAATTCAAACAGAGATCTGAATCAGAGGGGCTTTTTTCTAAGTGTACGCTTAACAATTGCCTCATTATCGGTTTTAATATCGAAATCAAGGGGTTTTTCTCTTCGACCAAAGTAGATATTGTCAACTGGAAACCGATAAAAGTACATAGTAAAATAACATCAATAAAATAATTAAGACTATACCTTAAAAGGAGATAGTACGGAGACTACATCGTTTAAAACCTGCCAATCGTCTTCTGTCAGCTCTAAACTGTTTGTAAGGCAAATCGTAGATGTCAGGCAATCATATATCGACGATAACACCGTTCTTCTTGCTTGTAAATGCTCAATCATCGTCAGTGTCGACATCCAGCCATTGGCATTGTCAAGGGTAAGTGGCGAATCTTCCAATTGGTGAAGATTGTCTTGTAGACGGAGTTCAGCCATCGCTGTCGAGTTTCTTGAAATATGAGCTACTAAAGCTCTGCATTTCTTCAGTACTTCTAGGACATCATCTTTTTCAAAAATAGTCCTTGCACAAACCTGGAATTTTCAATAAATTGGTGAAAAAAAACAACCATATCCAATGTTGCTGTGCTTTCATAAATATATGAATATACATATTTGTTTTCTTTCTAGTCAGAAGAAGAAGGGAAAACTGTTTACCTGAAGTGTGTAACTAAAACAGGGTATGATCGTATATCCTCTTGCTACAAGAGAATCAATGGTGTCATCACGATCAGAAGCAACAACTATTGCTTTCACTTTGTCAACTTTTATATTGAATTCGTCCATAATGGCATCGAACTGAGCACCCCAGTGAAGTGTGTCAACATCAGAACAATATATCGTACTTAACACCCTAGTTTGTAACTCGTTTTCTTTATTCTACAAAAACAAAAAGAATACTTTTAACATTTAAACTATAAAATTAAATAAATAAATTTACAATAACACACTCACTGTAATAAAATGAATGGAAACGGTTGAATAACAATCACCACTTGACGAATACCAGTCTTCTACACTCAACGATATGTTTGACGTTAACGTTGAAACCTCAATATTCACCTGTTCTTTTACAACATCAAAGATTTTCGGTATTAAGTCATCCGTCAAAAGCGCTTTTGAAGGTATTTCACAAGGAGACTTTAATGTTCCAATCAATCTTTGAAAACCTGAAAATACGATTAGAAAATTTTTCACGAATAAAAATTAAAGAAATATATAAAATGTTATACCTTTTCCTTCAACTATGTCGGGGTTTTGCAAATCGAGTATGACAAATTCTGCGATAGCATCTGCAATTGCCTTTCCGTCGACAAGAGTATACGACTAAAACATGATGGAAATAATTTTAAAATGCATTTATAAGTAATTCATTTACCAACTTAAACATTTACCGAGTTAGAAGTCGCCTCTTTAACAATGACAGTTAGGGGGTTGAATTCATCAACGTCTGCAATGAACTGCGCCTGACTGTTCTCAGCAGACTGCGGAAATGATAAGCAGCCTTATAAACTCGAATTATGGTACATAAACGCAAAGATTGAGACTAATATTGAATTAACGCTGAATGTACGATTTATGATTACATAAATGTAAACAAACTATTTTTATTTTTTAGTTGAGAAGGTTTATCTCATTATTGGACCTTGAGCAAATAGATCTCTATTCTCCTACTTCTTACCTATTACTTTTTCCAAGTGAATTGATAAAATTTTGTTTATTTTTGTCTTGAATTTTAATTTAAAAATTCCAATAAAACAGTAATATATGTTCTATCATACAGGAGGGCTTTACAGGAAGTTTGGCATAGTAGATGAGGGTTCAAACACAGAACCCCTGGCAAATAAGAGTCTTGGTCACTCCAGCCCCTTAATAATAAAAGTACAAATGTATACAATAGAGAAGTTAGTTGAATTCTGCGAGATGGTGAACTTGAACAAATGGCTTGATTGTCGCCAATCATCATGTGTTATCTATTCTTGCTGGTTTCGTCTGTCAGATGTGTTTTGGCATTTCATCATCTTCAGTTGTTAGACAATGTTTCAATTGTTATTTTTCAACTCTACTACAATGTTATTAAAAACCTGGATATATCAACGTAAAGCATATTAGATGAAGAAGTTTTTGTAAAATTTGACAAGTTGTAGGTATTTTTTTGTAACCTCAGTAGAACATGCAATCATGACCAAAATTTTAAATTTTGTAATTTTGACCATGTTCCAACTGATATTGGCTAACATTTTTTGTCATTCAGATTATTGCAAAGAAGTATGTTACAGCAAATTTAACGTTCTTTCAAATGGTGTAATTGGATTTGTTGTAGACTCAACATTTTGGAAGTTGTAAGCGTTTTTATGTGGTAAGGTAGTGAAAAGTTGAAAAAACCTAAATTGACGAATATCTTCAAAATAGAGAACTTTCCGAAAATTATCTCCTGAGCATTTTTTGCTCCAAACGAAAAGTAGAATCGATTCCCTGAGTTTCGTCAGAAGGAACTGGGACACCCTGTATGTGTGTGTGTGTGTATATATATATTATTATTATTTTTTTTTTAATTCTAAGATATGGATATATCTATGTTCTAAGGCTATTGAGTGAAATTTATTACTTTTGAGAAATAAATGTAGAAAGTCTAGATTGTGTTTGATGAATTACAATTTTTTTCCATAAAAAATCTACACGATTGCACACATATTTTGAAATGTCTAAAGAGAAATATAAAACTTTTATTCAACAAATCATGACATCATGACAAAGAAACAATTTTGACCCCTCTCTTTCAAGTTGAACAAAATATTTAAAATATAACCCAGCGATTAATTATTTTGTTCTCGTTTTTTTTCTTTTTTTCTTTTAAGAGCTCTAACTGGACATCCATAGCATCTATTGGGCCGAGGTTTTATCCAATATTTTCTTTGGTGATTGATCAGCCTTCTCAGTTTAAATATATTTTTTTCCTTTCCAAAAGGTAGATCGGGGATGAGGCCAGGAAGACAGAAACAACATTTATTTTCTTGTCGAGCTTTCGGCTTCGAAAAAAATTGTTATGCTTTATGAACAGGTACATGTGTGATAACGATTTTTTTCAAAGTCCTGATGAAGGCGATATATTCTGCTGAAAGCTCGGCAAGAAAATAAATGTTGTTTCTGTCTTCCTGGCCTCATCCCCGATCTACCTTTTGGAAAGGAAAAAAATATGTTTTACCTAATGTGTACCAAAGCGCGTACGCATCTGTTGGACATCCTCATCATTAGCGAACCACTTTTCTCCCCTTCTGTTCTCTCTCTGGCCTCTCTTTCAAACTTTTGCGAAAATTGCACACAATCTTTTTTTCTGGATTTTCAGCCACAATATCAAATCATGGTCAACTCTCCCCTTCTCTATCACCAAGGGAGGACATACACACACAAGGACATACAAATTTCTAAATTTCTGCATTTTAAGAATTTTTTTAAAACAAGGATATTTTTAATTTTAGATCCCATTCTAAATTCTTAACACCCATCCCTCAACTTACACGAATATCCGTTCTATGGGGATGTGAATAAAAATTGTGTAAGTTGAGTCTGTCAGAATAAAAGGACAATGTCATCCTTGCAACATCTAAAGTCACACAGTTGTTCGCTTCCAAACTATGGCCCAGCAACAAAGTTTCTTTCTGCGTAATGCATACTGTCAACCTCTCATAATACTGACTGTATAAAACTATCAATTTTAAAACTTATAAGAAAAATATGTATGTACATATCATACCACATAAATCAATTCCATGTATAAATATTTCCATGTAAATTGAAGTAATTTGCCGCATAAAACAAATACTTGCACAATAAAAGTGTGGGGTAAATTGAGGGAAAGATGTATATATATATATATATATATAGATATGTTGCTTATAGGTACAAGGGAAAAATTTAGGAAATAAAATTTTAAATTTCACACCTGCTCACTTTGACTGCTGACTGGGAAAACTTGCACCACCGGCTGGGGCGATGTTTTCAGTGGTAGGACTTTCCTGGGCCGTTTCAATGAACGCTTATCCGCATCGCCCTTTTTATTGCTCGGCATCGGCTGTACCAGTTCCAAAGTTGCCAGTTCACTCTTGTGCTTATTTTGAAGATGCATCCTCAAATTTGTCGTATTCCTACAAAATCAGAATAACAATTAATTGTAAGTACAAAACAGTTTTGTTTTGAATATTGTCACCTGTTATAGGTCATGGTAGATTTGCAAAGAAGGCAGACTATTTTAGACCTCGTTAAAATTTCGTTGTCATCATTAGCTGGGAACCCGTAGCATTTCCAGTAGATCGACCTCATATTAGATGGGACGACTAAACGTTTGTAATGAAGGATCTGTGCCTGGGGCTGCTGGTTGCTGGCTCCAACAAGCTCAGCGCTGGAGTAATCATTCGGTTCCATCTTCATTATGTTAGCTACTTCAATGTCAAACACATAAAAATTAAATTCATGTATGTTTAACATGTATTAAAAATGACAAGTGTTTTTTATTACAGATTAAATTTAAATCATAAAAGATATAAATATATTTGCATTCCTAGGTCTACAACAAAAGTTGTTTAATGTTGAAATATTGTTTTACTGTTATTAGGTATAAATATGGTGGGAGCTAAATTTATTCTGAATAAAATAACAAATTGTATTTACTGTTTTGAAAAATCAAAGTAATAAAACTAGTTCATGCATTTTTAAATTCATCAATCTATTTTTATGGTTTCCCGCCACTATAGTTTTAAGCGTCATAGTGTGTTAATGAAACATGAAATAAGTCATGCAAATGTGGCCAAGTAGCTCCACATTCCCAAAACTGTTAAAAAAAGTGTTTTTCTAAACCCTCAACGCCTAGGAGTTCGAGATGACAATCATCAAGGTCTGCCTGACATGGAAAAGGCATTTGATATTTTTTGGCAGGACGGGATTGTGTATAAGCTAATTAACATGAACTTTCCAGGGTATATCATCAAATTAATATCCTCTTATCTAAAATCCAACTACTTCTGTGTCCATGCAACATAACCTCAACCCTATTGCCACTGGAGTCCCCCAAGGTTTTATTCTGGGACTAACACTTTTCCACCTACTTATAAATCCTATCCGTAAGTTAAGAAATTGCAAAATTGCACTTTATGCAGATGTTATAGCAATACAGTTCTGTTTGGAAACCTGAAACAATTATCAGGAGACTAACTGAGGCTGCAAACAGGAAGTTCAGGTTTTGAAACGGATGGAAGCTCAAAATAAGTCCCTAAAACTGAGGCAATATTTTTCACTAGATGACCCCCAACCTTCAGAGAAAAAGTGTCAATTAATGGTTTTCCGATTGCTTGGGCTTTGGAGCAATTTTGGACAGGAAGTTTAACTTCTGTAGTCACATAAGTGATATTATTAAAGAGGGAAAGGTGTAGCCCACTATTCCCGATTTTTTCTTACAACACAGGACTGAGTGTTAAAAAAACATCTTTATAAACTTATGTGTGTATGCTAGCCCTGCTTGGAACTACCCATGCCAGTAAAATTGGGTGGAGGTACAATGGACGCAAAATAAATTTTAGAGGCTAATTACCTCTTCTAACTGGCGCACAAGAATTAGCCTCCTAGATAGCTTGGAATTGGGTTATATAAAAAAGGATTTTTTAAATAAACTAATGGACCACAGTAATCCTACATGCTGTGAAATTAAAATCTACCCTATAAATACATTTAGGAAAAATAGGAGAATTAAACATCTAACAAATCGAAATGAACGTGACGGAGGCGATGGACTATGGAACTCATGGGAGACAAGAGTGCAGAAAGGCTAAAAGGCGGAGGACAGGGGTTTTTCCATTGGGAGTGTGCGAACAAACCACCTCAAACTTGGCTGCTTCAATTTTGCTTGTGAAAAATCATTGGATCAGAGAACATCAAGAAAACAGCATTCATCGTGTGAGTTTTCCCATTTCCATATTTCCTTAATTTTATTCCTTGGGGATTGCACAACCATAAATTTTAATTCATTTATTTTGAATACTAGTTTAAATGCTCGTTTATTATTTTAAGTTTTTTTATATTGGTTTAAGGAGAGTAGGTTTTATTTTTTTGTAAATTTTAAGTTCGAAGATTACAATTAAAAAGAAAAAATGGTGTAAATCTAATTTTAAAAAGAAATAATTGGAACGAATGAATTCTGTATCACTAACAGTGCCTTTTATTAAAATAATAATAGTAATAAAAATAATTATAATTGTATTTTATTTTTTTCATAAAAAAATACCCTAAGGCCTAACACATGTATTATTGGTATCAACTTAAACAATTCTATTTATGAGCAATAGTTTAATTTATTTAACTTATCTAATTAATTTAATTTGATAATCTTATCTGGCTTGTCGTTAGGATTGTTCAAAATTGTTACTAGATATTTATACAATTGTTACTGTGCCTATGTTATTTATTGTAATGAGTTTACAAACTAGAAATAATGCTAAGGTAAGTATTGTACTCTATGTACCTGACCTAAATTTTTTAAATTCTTTTTGTTTGTGGCGTTTTTCAAATAATTTACCACAAGTCACTTAATATTTATAAATTTCTACTTAATCCTTGGAATATAATTATGTTTTATTTGTATATACAGGATGTAATTGTGCCCCGCCACTTCCCTTGTTAATACAAAAATTTAATATTATATATTTATGTAAATTTTGTAACAATAAATAAAATCAAAAATCAATCCTGGGCCAAAGCTCGTGTGTGTCTGGCATGCAGAGAATGGTTGCTCGATGTATCCCACATAATAGAAGGGTGTGTTCCTTGGTTCCATATAGACAGCATGCAGGAATGCCTCCAGATATAAGAATTGTGCTTGAGCACGGCAGCGAGTATTTGGGTCCCCTGTCCCGATTCTTAGAGGAAGCGGGGTTGTTTTATTGTATATAGTAATAATAATTGTATATACCTAGTTTGTATTAAGTGAATTTATTATTGGCATGAATGGGTGATGTAAGATGGTCGATGAGTACCCCACCATCCTAATTGAATGAATGGTATGTAAATAGGAGTGAATGGATTTAAGAATGAATGTATGATTTGTATTGACCTAGCTGTTGAGAATACCCCCTCCCCCCAGAGGGCAACCTTGCGGCTGGACGGTTAAGACTAAGGTCTGCATCCGGATAGCCAACACCCGGGATGGGTGATTCTAGAGTCTGCCGGCAATTTACTGTAAATAGGAATAGCCGGAATTGCCAGCTGGACTACGAGAAGCAAATAGGCTACTTATTATATGTTTATATGTACATACATGTACGGATTTGCACCTATATAAATTCAAATATCAATCAATATTCCTTACTAGTCTATCCGAAACTTTATAAAATCAATATACACATCCATTACTGAATCATGCAGAATTGTAATTTAATTTGGTATTAACAATGTTTTGTTGAACCAGCACTGGGTCTGTATACTCGTGGAGTAGACGGACCCAGTGCCGGTTCAATATGTGAACACTGATTCGCAGACCAACACCCACTACCAACTTTAACAAATAATTTCTATATTTTATTCTCAATTTACCTTCTTCCAAATTCCACATTTTACATTAACTCTGGATACAGTTGAAATACAATAGTAATGTTTTGTATTTTTGTTTATAAGTAAAACAAGTAAACCAAAGGGCCTGTTGTTGCTTCAATTTGTTAAATATGTTACGTAAATGAATATTTTCATTGTTTGTTCCGGTTGTACCAAATAGGTGGAATTTCAGCTAGAATGATGCTAGAAGAAATCATTTAATTGATCATTGTACATATCCGTCTAAAGGTTGAACAAAATATCACAGGAATTCATAATATATACATTAAATATATAAACAGGTATAATAAGTTAGTGTTAAATAACATTTATTGAAACAAGCTGGTTTGTTTATAGTTTTAATCCTGTTCTTATTGGAGGAAACTGATAACACGGAACAGTAAGCATGGGTTTTTAATATGAAACACGCCTTTCCAGCTTTACAAGCAAGTCGATACTTATTGCCAGAATATTTGATACGGTTTTGAGCACTATTGACGTTTGGAAAACTGGGACAATCAAAGCTTCAAGTGTGAATAATACATGCGACTTTCAAGTCGGGAAGCTGGTTTCGGTTGTGCGTACATGGTGGGAAATGGCCAGTTACTGCAAGCAGCAACGGGATTTACTACGTAGTTTTTAAGTAAAAGGTATATTGTTTGGTAAGGACTTAGGTTGATTTTCCGGTCTTCTAACCTATTGATGTTGTTTACGTATTTTTATTTTATGAAAATTTGTCAATGGAATGGTTAAACGCGTAATCGTACTTCATAATCGTGAATAGAGGTTGGGCAGAAATGGGTTGGAATAGGCGCGTAAAGGTCGGCGATAAGCATCCCCTTTACTTTCCAAAGTCGAAATTGTCTATATAAGAAATAAAGTATTGAATAAAAGCGATTCCGTGTTCGCGAGTGAGAATCGAAACAATAAAACCGAATCACGCCACAACGGTCATCGATAATCCAAAAATAATCAATTAAAATACTCGATAATATCTAGAGAAGCGGGGAGAGCTAAGATTGCATTTACCTTTGTGTACGTAGACTTGTTTCACTTTGGCGTCCATAACTCAATTCGAGTCGAGGGCGTTTTCAGCCTCGGAAGTGGCACCTCCAGGCCGTCTGGAAAGCTCGTCGTTCGGCGGCGATCCTCTTCTTCCTCTTGTTTCCTATCAAATAACGAGCATCGAACGGCGATAAAGGCGAAAATCATGCGAAGACGGCTCGGTAGGACAGTCGTCGTCGGGAATTTGGTTAGAAATCGATCCAGACTATCGCCTATCGGCACACGGCGAATCAACTCAACAGTCAACTCAACTCAATAGCGGGCCGCTTCAACAGGGCGAGCCAGTGGCGAAGCGGAGACGACGTCCTCGCGTAAAAATAACTCGAAATCGACTCGAAACCTACTACAACAGCTCCCGCCTCCCGCCTCACGCATCCTCGCAGTGTCCTCCGTTCGATCCGTTACGCAACTCCTTCTCTCCCGCCCTGCACATCAAATGAAATCAACAACAAAATTTAATTATAAATACTAAGTATATAAAAGTTCGCCTACTCGTGTTACAAACTTTTCCCGTAGATTCTACTTTCAAAATGGAACCAAAAAGTCCTAATTAACTATAGTCCGAACCGAATCTCAGCAGTTTCGGAGTTATTCCAATTTTTTTGATTTTTTTAAGATTTCACGACCTTGCTTCAAATAAACAATGATAACTCCAAGACCAAAAGGTTGTGGACAAATCCGTTGATACCATTGAAAACTAGGTTAAATTTCCAATAAGATGTGACCAATACTAAACTTGAAAACCTTCGTGAAATAAGTGTTTTAGTTGCAAGAACTTTGAAAAAAAAAAAAAATTTTTAAGTTGAAAAACTTACTATGGTGATTCTAAACTACTATTTTGAAACCTAGAGACCAGCAAATTTCAAAAAACGTACACCATTTAATAACCTTTTTAGTGGTGTAATTTCTTTTTTAACGTTTAATAAATTCATTCAAAATTTCCTTAAGCTTTTTATTTTTTATTATTATTAATCTTTCCTCTTTACCAATCCTTCAACCACGGTTTTTTCTTTTCCTTCGTCAATTTCTTCATCTTTGAAAAAAGTAATTAAAAAAGCAATTGCACCACTAAAAAGGATACAAGTTACACATGGGACCTGGTTTTCTTGGTTGAATACTTTAAAATTAAAAAAAAAAAAAAATATCCTGCCTTTAATTTAATGAATGTACTGTTATTATTACATTCAATTAGTTAAGGTTGTAAGTTGAGATAAAAAAGTCAGTGTCACAAGTGGGATTCGAACTCACGACCTTCGGCTTGATCCGTCGCTACTCTACCACTTGAGCTATCATGACTCCCGTGGTCGTGGGTTCATCCCGCTCGTGACACTGACTTTTTTATCTCAACTTAAAACCGTAATTAATTGAATATTATTAATTGATCAAGCGGACCACGAAAAATAGTGAATTTAGTTATTATATATTTTTTTATTTTATTGTCTCACATTTATAAACGCATCATGGCTTCTCCACTTAAATTTCACACTTTAAGTTTTCATAGACAGTGGGTCAAAATATTATTTATTTGTTATTGTGTTATATTATTATTAGTTTTTGCCATTATTTTTTATTACCTTTCTTTTGAATTTCATGCTTGATTTGGCATCTCAAAAGGCTCCAACTTAGCTCCGCTCTTATTTATTAACAATATTTATTCTTCCTTTTCTTAGAGAGAACTTTCTGTTTGACTTTTAATGGAGGTTATGAAGGAAACAGTTGTGAGACTTGTTTACTTTGAGTGCCAGAAGATATTCGGACTGGTTTTAAACAGAATCAGGCTAGAATTATGTTATTGCTTGATTTTAAAAATTCTTTTGTTTCGATTCTGTAAGGGGCCTTGTTACAAAAACGTCAGCATTGTTTCTCTTTCTCCTTTGCTGTTTTTAAGCGCTTTATCATCCTTTCTTACTAAGTGATCACAGTTCACTACTGTGTATAGTAACTGGCGGGATTCGCTCTTCTTTTTGACCATCAACTTCTGAAGTTTCCACACGGCTCTGTATTGGACCTCTTACTTACTGATTTGCCCTTGATTCAAAGAATTTTCTGTCTTTCAATCAGGGTTCCGATGGAGACACAATTATAAAACTGGTTTTGTTCTTGTGGCTGAAGATATTCAAAGTTACTTATGGGATCTGATATTTCTTACATGGTTTCAAAACTACTTCAAAGTTAAAAAATAATATCCCACTTTTAATTCACCACATGTACCGTTACAGAAATGATGAATGATGGAGTGAGTGCGGTGTTCAATCCTTTTTAAAAAGATAGTTCTTACTGTGAGTAGGAACTATCATTTTAAAAATGAATGTACTGTTATTCCTATTATCTAATGTTTTATTTTATTGTCTAACATTTATAAACGCTTCTTGGCTTCTCCAGTTAACAATCATCAAAACAATCAAAAAATTATTTACACATTTAGTTTTTGCCATTGTTATTTATCACTTTATTTTGTTGAATTTCAAGTTGTTCTGGCATTATACAGGGCTCTCATTTAGGACCACTTTTCTTTATTGACTAGCTTTTACCTGCGACTGTCTCTTTTAATGAACCTTTCTAATACGATGTAGACTGCTAACATGGCTTTCTAATATAATGTCTCATTTCTCCAATTCTTCTCTTCTTTACTTCACTTTGGTCAGTACATTGTACAAAATTGCCCATATTATCCCCCTATTCATGTCTTTAGATTATTCATGGAAAATTTCAGCCCTTTAGATCCAGCGGTTTGGTCTTTGCGTTGTCTGTCGGTCAATCAGTTTTTTTTTTTCTTTTATAGATATTAATTTCCTTCTGTTTGCATATGATCTAAAATTTATCATGAAATTTCGAGTGCTCTTACTGTGCTTTATTGTTTTCTCACATAATGTCTGAGTTACACTCCATAATCAAAGTCTTTGTTCCATATTCTTCACATTCATCTTATTCATTCTATATTAGCCATCTACAGAAAATAGTTAATAACCTTATTCAGTAGTTTCCTCAGTTACTATATATTCAGTACAAACCATTACATCATATCTTCTAACTTTTCAAAATAATTAATTTTACTACTGAGAACTGTCTTTTTTATTATAATTGTAATATCTTTCAGAACTTTTCTAAACTAAAATGGTTGTCCTAGGTAGTTTCAAACAGCCTGGAGCAGTCTCGGGCTGTTTTTATTAATCTGGTGTGTTTTGGGTCTAAGCCTTCCTACAGTACAGTAATTACTTTATGATTTTCGGAAGAGGTCAAAACAGAGAAAACTTCCTTACGGTTTTCGCCGAGCTTTCGTTGACTTGTTGTGCTTGTTTTGATCTCTTCCGAAGATCCTCTGAAAAGACTTCTTGTATCCAGCAGGTCGATAATCTAGTTCATCGTTACTTTATGATTATTAAAGCAATCCATTTATTAAGGATTACAAGTTCTTACCCACCATCAATTTAAACTTGAACCTTAAGTGCCAATATTGATTTTATATAAAACTCCAATTTCAATCTAGGTCATATTGCATTTACACACAACATTTGGCCATATTTAATACAACTTAATTTTCCATTCAGTATTTGTAGTTCGTTAATTTCTGATCAGCATGGTCTGTCTGTTCTCAAAGTTTGGGCCAGATTTTAGCAACGATGAACACAATGTGAAGATGGTGAAATGACAAAAGAACAGAGCAGGAGGATTGGAAATGACCAAACGGAACTTCATTACTTTGAAGACCTCGGAGAATACCTGTATTTATCAAGTCATTAATTAGAAGGGATAAAACAATCCAAATAAAATGTGCAATTATTAAAATCACTATAAAAACATTCTTCTACAATATAAATTTATTTTCTGCATGATTAGATACAATTTAATTTCATATTATTAAATAACAAAGACAAAAATAAATACATTTTATATTTTCATGATATACATTTTTTTTTCTTTCAATAAATGACAAATATTGCATACACAATTTTGTCACGCGTCTAACAAATCTTTCAACATAATTACGTTTTTTTCACAAAAGTTAGTAGCAGAAAATATTAATAAAAGAGAAAGACGCAAGGCGCAATTGTGTACCACATCTATGTAGGGCGATTCTTTGGCTTCCATGAGTGTTGAAGATAAAAGGTTAAAAATCTTATTTAAAAAAAAAAAAAAATCTAATTGAAAGAAACAAAATTTCACAAAAGTTATACTGACGTTATTTAAATTAGAAACATTATGGGCATGTATTTTTTTTCTCATATAGAACATAAGTAATGATAATAAATCCTTATTAAGAAAATAAAATAATCTATATAGGAATGTTTGCTTAATGTGATTTTCCAACATTTCCATTAAAATTTAATATAGAATAATAAATTTGGTTCTTTTTGAGCATAATATGATTACATTAACAAAGTTTCATGGTTGTTTAACTATAAATAATACATATACTTTTTTGGATGCTGCATTAACGTAAAACAATAAAAATAATCTTTATTTCATATCACAGTCTAGTGTTTATCACGAAGGGTGACAACTATGATGGTTGTAAGGATGACACCAATTATGAGAGATAATGCAAGAAGAATGCATACTGTTTTTCTCCTTCCAGTCTGCAATACATTTGAAAGAAATTACCACAGAGCAAGTTTTACAATCGAGTAATTTTTAAACTTCCAAAGTAACACAAAAATTTCAGGGTTAAATTTGTTTGTTTGCTGTCTTGATTTGCTGATGTACTTACTTCTAACCTCCTATTGTCTTTAATGTCATTGTTATTGTTAAAATTACAATTTGGAATGTCAGAATCGTCATTCTTAACGAATGCAACATCCTCTTTTGTATCTTCGACTGAATTGGTCATCCCTGTAAGATTGATCTGGAAAAAACAATATCTAGAAGAAGAGAAGATATAATTATAAGAAGTTTTCTTCTTTCCTCCCAGAATTTCAATTTGTTCAATCTCGATAAATTCGGTTGGTAAAGACATTAAAGGGAATTCAGTTTTTATTTTAACTTTGAATAGAGTACGTTATATCTTTAATTTGTGTGTCGTGTGTGAAGTACAACCGTGAATGCTCTATTGGATTCGTTTAAAGGTGAAGACCATGAAAATTTTTATGTTAATTTGGAAGTTGCAGTATAATCTGACTCCATGCCTATGACAACTGGATTGTCATGAATGCCGAATACTTCTGCATGCCTTAGTTAACTAAATAAACAAAAATTTCAATACACCGTTTTCAACTCTTAACTATTTTTATTTTAAACTTACCTAATAATATGTGGTGATTAGCGACAGTTAGACGATGATTATTCGGAAATCATGAGATGCGGTCTGGTGTGATAAGGTTTTGAATAGAAATACTTTGATTGAAAATAAAAAATATTTTTTTTGCATTGTATAAATTCACTTTTTTCCACATCCTACATATATTTGTTAAATTTAAACAATGTTTGTGAATCCCAGGCTGTGAAGATAATCTCGATAAAGATCGAAACATTAGCACGATAAAGAAAATGTTTTTCTGAAAACTACGTCACACCAGACCACATCTCATGATTTCCGAATAATTACCTAATAATTATAATAATAGTTTGTCATAATGCTTACCTGATAAGTTGAGGCTTTTTCTAATTCTTCATTGGCTGCTGTCACATGAACATGTACATCTTCAATAGCATTTTCTATCCTATCTAAAATAAAAATTATATAAAACGAACTATTACAAAACTGCATTAATATTTATAAAATACTATTTACATAAAAATTTAGGCAAGTAAATCAGTACTACTGAAAATTAAAAAGGGATGTATAATAGATTTTAAAAAATTAGGAAAAATTATGAATTTTTAACCTCTTTGGGATTGATTTTTCGATGCTAAAACGCGCTCCCCTGCTTATAGCCCAGCCACTATGTGACCTCCCTGCAGTCTGATTTATTTTGTATTACACATCGAATTTCAAATCATTCACTTTGAATCACTGTTATTTATTTTATGTTGCACCAATTCCGTTCAAAATTAAGAGTACTGCTGAATTTTTTACATACATACACACAAATACAGCGTTGAAAAAAATCTAAAATATTTTTAAAAAATGTAATGAGTAGGTACAAAAGTAGGTATAGTGAGTATAAAAATGTAATTAATGAGGACAACAAAAACAAAAATATACTTGAAAATCTATGAATGTAATGATGCATAACTAAAAAGTGAGATTACATGGGAAACAAGAGACAATAAATCAAAAAGGCAATAGGGTAGATTCAGAAGGGCTGGAGCGAGAGGCAGATGAACGCTGCCGAGTTAACGGTTTAGACTTGATTTGCTGCTACTTCAAGCAGAATTGGCCAGGTGTTTTTGCAGTCTAGGTTTGTAGTTGAGAAACTTCAAAATATACAAGGTAAATGCAACCAAACAATAATTTTTTTACGACATATTAGAATCCACTATATTGAGTCAAATAACGCAAGAATTAAGCTTGTAAACTACAAAATAAGTGAGGTAAATGTTAAAAAAATTATGATAAGTGTTTTATAGAATCGACCTCCTAAGTCGATTACTGCACTGATTTTAGGTATAAATAAGAACTGTATAATCAAAGAGGAAATAAATACACCTTTCTTTATAAGGTCAGAAATCAACTGACTAGTATGAAAGTGTCACATTATTTACTCAGCTCAGCTTTGGTGTGAAAGCCGATTAGAGTATATGGAATGAACTTTAATAACACTTTCTAGGTTATTAGGTTATTATTGAATTACTTAGTACAATTTTGAAAATTGTTCGACTGTTTATTCTGGAAAAGGATTGATAAAATTGATTTAGGTAAAAATGTCACTGAAATGTGACGAGTTCTACAATGTGACAAAGCTGTAGTTTAACCTTCCCTATTCATCCTGAATCTATTCTAGTTTTTATCTATTTTTCCAGATTATTACCTGTCAACCTTTAAAAATGACTAAACACTGAACACAATAAATAGATAAAACCAGTATAAATAGGCAGAACAGGATTACTAGGCAAAATTTGAGCTATAAAAACATACTAAACCAACTTTGTGATAAATTAAGTAATTACCAATATCCTCTCCTTGATTATGAACCTGCGCTCCCAATTCCTTCATAATCTGATTAATATCGATTATTGTGTTGGCTATCTTTGCCATTTTCTCTTCTCTTTCTTTGAGCAATCCTGTTTCAAACTCTATGGCTTCTGTCACCTGTCTCATTTCCGATGTGGTTAGCTGATCAGAATCAGAAAACCTTTCTTGATTTTGCTCTAATATTGCCAACTCTGAGAGTAACATGTGACATCGCATTTTCGCAACTACAAGCTAAAACAATGGGATAGATAAAACAGACAAATTTATACAATTATAACGTTATTATTTAACCCATTGAAGATTTCTCCCAGTGAAGTACTGAGAGCCCACCCGTACCTTTACTCAGGTACAATGAGTGTGAATATTGCACTTGCTTTTTTCTTTTATACTTTAGTTCCAAAAAGCAGTGTGCTGTTTAAAACGGTCAACAGGATTATGATTTTTAAATTTAAAAATAAGAACTTAAACCGAACAATGTTTTGATGAACTCTAATCTAAAAGTGAAGTACAAGCATGATGTTTTTAGTACATGCATATGTGCGCAATATCTGCATGAAGAGTGCGATATCACACTGACTGTTCTGAATGGGTTAATGAAAATATTCACTAATTGTAATGAAACAAACTTGCTCTTAATTGTCAAATCATATTCAACTTGTATTTGTCAGTGGTTGTGGGTGGAGACCATGGCTTTTTAATTGATTATAATATGAAAAGCACCCAACTGATAGTTGAACGTTAAACCGAGTTACTACTAGTACTTCTAGTAGTATTATAAAGTGGTTTTGACACCTGTCTGTGACATCCAGCAATTGAGACCTCCAGTATGACAGGAAAGCTACTTTTACTGTAGTGAGATATTTTGTGGTTTGAAAGGTGAAAAATCTATACATAGGTAGTCTCCGATCATCTAAACCTGCTTACTTGCTCTTTTGGTCTATCACTTTGTATAATGGTAAAATAGATAATGACAACAAAAATAAATAAATTTATTCCTTAATTATTTCAGTGGGATGACTGTGCATTTAACAAAATTGAAAGACAAGCAAGTAATTTCAACGTAAGGCCACAGATTTTTTTTTAAAACAGAAATAACTTATCAGATGTTACACCTTTCATTCTTTATATGGAGCCTAGATGTAACACCATTCTATTACGTGGGAAACTTGAAGTGACCTTTATCAAAATGCCAGAGCCAAGTTGAACTTTGGCTTAAAAATTGTCTTTTTGTGAAGTGTGTAAGTTAAGCAGGTAGGAGAGATCTCTTTTTCTGACTTCTAGGATATTTTATTAATTAAGACCAACAAGTCCTTTATTTTTTTATAGTTTAAGTGGGCCAGATTGTGGTGGCCTGATTTGGAGGACTGCCTTATGACTACCATAGTCAGGATTTTTTTTTTGTCATACTTATCCAACAAGAGCATAAAATGGTCCACAATGTGACATACAACATATAATTTGTTCAGCTCTACAATAAGGTTTATTATCAATATTAACTTAGTTTTGGTGTGTATTTATTTTTAATTTAGCAATGGTTCTGTTTACTTTGGGAAGTATTAAATATTATACCATTAATAACATAATACAAACATACCTCTTCTACTGGTTTGCACATTTGTATCGATTCTTGAAACGTTTCTGTGATTTTTTGAATCTGGAGTTTTTGTTGCCATCCTCCCTTTCTCATTTTTTCTTTCAACAGTTTTATATCCAAAGTAACTCGTTTTACTTTATCATTAATACTCACTAAAGTGTTTTGCCTAAAATAAAATAAAACAAAGTGAAAAATAGAAAAACGAGTTTTATTTGTGGGAACAGTAGTAATTTTTTCTCTTTCGGTCATGCACGCACATCTTTTCCCTGAGTTCCTGTGAATCTTTGGGCGTTCCGATGAATTTGACAGACTTCTCCAAGCTCATCCTCTCGGTGTTAATGCTGTAAATGATTTTGCTCACATTTTCCGCGAGGGCGTCTGCTTCCTTTTGGTCGTATATACTGCCGCCACCGGAAAATCCGACCTCTGGGACCCTTTCTGCGGTAGAACCGTAATTCGTTGGGACAAACCCTGACATCCTACAAGAATAATTTCAATATTTCTAGTGAATAGTAATTTAATAACAACACTACAGCGCTATATTAAAAAAGTTAACAACTCTGAATGTTTCATAATTAGCAATGCAAATTATGAAGTTATAATTATATATACAATAAATTAAAATATGTGGTGTTTAGTGACTGTTAGTTAATGATTATTTGTAGATCATGAGGTGCAGTTTAGTGTGGCGTAGGTTTTAGAAAACATTTTCTTTATCATGCCAATGTTTCGATCCTTATTGAGATCATCTTCAGGGCCTGGTATTTACAAACATTGTTTAAATTTAACAAATACATGTAGGATGTGGAAAAAAAATGAATTTATACAATGCAAATTTTTTTTTAATATTCAATCAAAGTATTTGTACTCACTCAAAATGTTTGTTTTTTGCGTGTGTCATTCTTGTGTGTCGTGTTGAGAGTGCCAATGAGATGTTTTATGTCTATATTCGTTGGATTTTGAAGGGGGGTTGGAAGTTGGAATAGAAAGACATTTTTATATGAAGAGTTGGCTTCATTGAGGTGAAAGGAGCTGACAATGGGGAAAAACGTGGGTAATGGTTCAGCCTGATTATCCTTTCAGGATTACATAGACGGGGATAATTAGGGAAAGGAAAGTCAAATTGTTGAAGAATTAGACTATATAGAAATGTTTGATGTGTGGAATGTGACGATTGTTTTATGTGATATGATGATATATGTATGTTATCCTTCCCCACCCCTTCAAAATCCAGTGTATATAAACATAAAACAGCAATATCTCACTGGCACTCTCAACACGACACACAAGAATGACACAATTACGCAGAAAACAAACTCTTTGAGTGGATTTTTTTTTGCATTGTATAAATTCATTTTTTCCCCATATCCTACATGTATTTGTTAAATTTAAACAATGTTTGTAAATCCCAAGCCCTGAAGGTGATCTCAATAAAGATCGAAATGTTTGCACGATAAAGAAAATGTTTTTCTAAAACCTACGTCACACCAGACTGCATCTCAAGATCTCCGAATAATGATAAATTAAAATGGTGTACTATGAAATGTAAACTATAAATAAATATTAGTGTCATATTCAATGATATATTATCTCATGTATTTCACATGGTAGTTTTAAGAGGCTCTACAATTGTGATATCATATCCTATTATTAGTCGTTGGAATTTGTATGCAGTTTTTTCTTGAAAAAAAATTACTATTTTTGTTTTTTAGGTGTTAATGATTTTGTTAAGACTGCCTATATATATTTTTGTAATTAAAAAGTTCTTGTTTACCTATCCATACTGTAAGTTTTACAGGTGTGCCTTTCAGTTGTACGCCTCCTTTCAATCAGTAAATATCAAGTATGACAAGCAGTTAGTGGTACTTGTCAGTAGATCAGTCATTGATGATCATCTTTAGGTCGAAAAGGAAAACAAAAAATAAATCAACAACAGCAATCACTGAGAAGAAAGAACAATACATTTAATACTTGTTTATAAAATAGTTTAATTGTAAAAGCGCAATAATTGAACAACAAGGTAATTGTTTGTACAGGAAAAATAAATGAAAGGATTTTCAAACCAAAACCAATGCTGTTTAATTAAGATATGCGTTACACATGGTTCCAGTAAAATCATCATCATATTATTATTTTTTTCTTATTCAGCTGTCTTTCATTTTTAACATAAACTAATATAATTTATACTGAAAAAAGTGTAAAAGTTTTCCCTTCTTGTGGCTCGGTCTATAAAGGGATGAACCTGTAGTTTCATTTCCAAAATTCCTGTCTGCTTATTAGACCAAGTACTACAGAAGTAAAATGCCAAAGCATACCGGAAGGACTCTTTTTTTTTTTTTTTTTTTTTAATAGATCCATAATGTATGGATTATATCTGCAATTGAACTTTGTAAACCAAAAGCTCAAGATGAAAAATTGACCAAGTACATAGTAATACAATATAACACAATACAATTACTTAGTAAATTACATTTAATCATATGAACTCAGGTTTACTCAACTTATTTAAGGGAAAGAAAATGCTTGAATTTCACTGATCTGGACATATTTTTGTATTTTAAAATCCTTTTTAAAAACTGTTAAAAAGTGAAATAAAGGAACAGATGAAACTAATAATGGAGTATATAATTATAAATTGAAAAAGAAATAAATATATTCTGTTGGAATTTTATTACATAATTTGATATTAGGCATTAGCTGTTTCCTACTGAATTACACTTATGATGTATATATATTTCTCAAAAGTTTTCAGTAAAATTGATCAGTTCAGGGCTATTAACTGTCAATGTCTGATTTTTCAATTGACCAATTTAACTTAAATGAGTACAGATTCAAAAGACTGCACCTAATAGTATGTCTTTGTTTTAAGGGCAAAGAAAGTGTGTCATTTTTAATTTAGAATACAACAATAGAAACAGAACAATAGATTGATCTATTGTTATACCTTTATATAACTAATTCCATGACTATGCCGAGTGTGACAGAGAAGGCTTGGTTCAGTGCATGTTTTAATATGATTCATAAATATGAATTAAATCTCAAGTTAAATCTTATCAAGAAGTGATGTTTCTTATTTATGAATTTGCCAGTTTCACTCAAATAAAAAAAAGCTCAAAAGCAGATAATAGTCTTTTTCTGACTACGAACAGTAAATATTTGTGAGCAAAGAAAAAGTTTTGATTAATTAGAACATTTGCAATCGCATTCTTATTTGAATTGCAGTGCTGTCATATTCAGAATCGCAGCTCCCGCTTCACTGAGGGATTTGGACCTGTCTGTGACCAGTACCATTGCTGAGGGGCAACACCCTATTCGTAAAACAACATTTGAACGAATCAGGCAAATGAGAACAAATGTGCTATATCTGCTATATCAGCTGAGGGCTTAGCTACACTTAAGGCCACAAAGTACTTAGTGAAATACATCCACAGTGTCCATAGATTCTGTGTACTTTCTGCAGCTAAATGCAACAGCAGTAAGGACTCGCTGATTACAGCAATTAAACAGCACTTGATTCATTTAAGTAAAAAGGGTTTTCCTGGGATGCTGTACTGAGTGGTTTTCTGACTGCTTTGAGCACTTTGATCCCTGGGTGGAATTTTCTACATTCTTTAAGTGATGTCCTCGTCCCTCTGAAATGTCTGTAGCAAGAAAGAGGATACATGCCACCAGTAGGACAAGTGCCTGGTATCTGTCTGCGTCTGCGTTTACCTTTAATGTACGTCACAGGTGTGATATTCACAAGGCCAATTAAAAAGAAAAAAAATTAGGTAAACTATTAAATATTTATGCTAGTTGTACTTTTCCATTGTTTTTATCACTAAAAAATCTTGGAGTACAAAATCCAACAAGTTGGTTTATGCAAGACGAGTTAGGTTCAGAGCAATTTTTGATATAGGGACTATGATTAATAACATACATGCTCAACTTAACAAATAATAATAATTAAGAATTGGAAACTTTTTGGTCATAGAAAATCCACCAAGAAGTATATGTAAAAACATGTTCCTGACTTTTCAATCACCTATTTTACTTGGCTAGCTTAATTTTAAGTATCACACGAAGTTCAAAATAAGATAGTCATTGTTCTTACTATGAACAGTAATTTTTCTTTCTTTTGTGTTAAAAGTTTTAATTTAGAACATAATTTTAAAGTTAAATAAAACTATACATTGACCTATTGACATAAAAACGCTTATATTTTAACTAAAATATTAACAAGTTATATGTATTTTTGTTGGACCGACTTTGTCGTTGTTTTTATTGTTGTCAGAAAGAGAAAAGTCTTGAACAATCTAGGGTGGGTCTTTATAAATGCGCAATTTGTCGAAAATGTCTTGTTTAGTCAAATAACATTTCGGGAATTTCTTACCTCGTATGTTTTAAAATATGTGGAACTTGGTAGTTACGATTGCAACATTAAAAGCTTACAACCTCCTATGCACTGCGTTAAGTACCGAGCATCGGAGCCCGGAGGTTGATATATAAAAAAAATAAAACTGAGCAAGTCACATGACTCATGCAACCTTGATAAAACTTTTCCCCCTTCTTAAAACAATTTACTTTGCTGAAAACGCACAGATTCTGTAAAGGCTAGGTTTTTGCTTTATTTAAAGAAGCTTATTGTTTAATAATTTAATAACCGGTCGCTTGATTTTTGTTTGTAATTCACTTTTTTTTTGGTATAAAATTCATTCTTGAAAGTGGTACAAAACCTATTTGTTTTTATACTTCCTCTCTTTTTTTTTTGTATTAAAAAATTTTAAGTTAATTTTGTTTTTAGTCCGTCATGTTTTTTTTTATCGCGTGTTACAATGGAAAAAAATTCTGACTAAAACAGGATCCAAAAGATTAGGAATTTTTGTTTGTGGGCGAACTACTCGGATCACACTGCGAGGAAGCGGCGTTTGTGGATAGAACGATCTAGTCCTTCGTGGAATCTTGCGGTTACGTTCTCCCCTTCGACAGACATTGAACGATTTGTAAGTAGACAATTTAAAAAAAAATTATATCAAAAAGTTTACAACGGTTCGCACCCGTGGTTGAATTTGGTATTGTGGCTTGTCTAATTTTCAACGATTGTCTTTTGTTCGGGGAAAATCATTTTTCGAGGGTAATAAAAAAAAGACCAACGGGTCATGCTAGTAAAACATTCTCTAGCAGTTAACTTTGTAAAAAAAAATATTAAAATTTATTTATTTATTAAACGACGACACTACAGTTTTAGTAAATAAGCCTTAGCCAAATTTCTAATTGGTCTTACCATCAAATAGCAAGTAGTTTTTTAGGTTATAAACGTCTGATACTTAGCTTCCACTTACAACAAATTGAAATTTATTTTATCAGAAACAATGACGATTTGTACACTAGTCATTCGATGAAATGTGATATAGCAATAAATGTTCGATCTGTAACAGTTTTTTCCCCACTGCATAACAAATTTTAATATTTTTGCAAGTATTCCATTACAACAATGTTACAAAGTTAAAAGTTACAATGTGCATAAACGACACAAGTGGTGTCTATATTTCTTACATATAAATTCTGAAGAATGTTTACGTTTATGAAATGTTTATGAATAAACATCCACTTTAAGAACGTCTGCAGGGATATTATGTTTTAAGTAAAATAATAAATTCTTAAAATAAATGTTGCAAATATGATTATTTGGAAATTGTGAGATGCGGTTAGGTGTGATCTCCAAATAATCATTAACTAACGGTTGCAAGTATGTTAAAATTGCTTTGATTCCACCAGATCTTCTGTGTTTATCCAGTTCTTTTTTTCTTCCTTCATATGACTTATTTTCTATGTTGGATCGATGTCATACATTAACATACGATTATTTGGAGATCGTGAGATGCGGTCTGGAGTGACGTAGATTTAGAAAAACATTTTCTTTATTGTGCCAATTCTTTATTGAGATCATCTTCAGGGCCTGGGATTTATAAACATTGTTTAAATTATACAAATATATGTAGGATGTGGAAAAAAAATGAATATATATAATGGTAGAAATTTTTGACTCAATCAAAGTATTTGTACCACTTTTACAAAGAAAACAAACACTTTGAGTCAGTACAAATAGTTTGATTGAGTCTAAAATTTCTAGCATTGTATAAACACTTTTTTTCACATACTACATGTATTTGTATAATTTAAACAATGTTTATAAATCCCAGGCCCTGAAGATGGTCTCAATAAAGATCGAAACGTTGGCACGATAAAGAAAATGTTTTTCTAAACCTACGTCATACCAGACTGCATCTCACGATCTCCAAATAATCATTAATGAGCCGTCACTAAACACCACACATTAACATGCAAGCATCATCATCCCTGATGATTTTATCTGCCTATTCTTGCTGGCTATGTCTGTCAGATGGCAAATTGCTGAAACGTAAGAGTGCCAAAAGAATGCTCTGGCTCATGGTATTGAAGATGAAAGCAAATTTAGTTGCTACTGCCAAGTTTTCGACCTATTTTAAGGTCATTATCAGGGCAAAACAACCTTGAAAATGTCAATATGTAGACATATTTAAGGATGGTTTGCCGTGATAATGACCTTAAAATAAGTTGAAAATTTGGCAATAGCAGCTAAATTTGCTTTCATCTTCAAGATCATACCTAGATCGAGAGTGTTCGAAAGTGAAAAAGTGGTCGATACTTCTAATAGTGAAAACAGAAACTTCATAAGGTAACTAACGTTATGTCGGTCTTCAAGGAAATTTGAGGTTGCCTGTAAAAGCTGTCAATCTGTTAGGCATATTTAATGTTATTTTGGCCTGATGATGACCTTAATATATGTCGAAAGCTTGACACTTGGTCTTCCAGATCATACCTTGATCCAGAGGTGTTGTATTCGATACTTCTAATACTAAAAATAAGACTGCTAAAGCGAGAGTGGCCAGAACAGGATTAGGCTACAGATCATCTTGCCGACTTTAGTCACTCTAACATTGTTAATTTTCACATAATGTAAATAAAACTTTACACTTTTTCAATTTCATATCCTTTCATAGGATTTATTCTCTGTTCTTTGCTGATGTCAGTGTTTTATTTTTTTAATTGGATCGTCCCTGATCTTGGATTTGACTGTTGCTAATTCAGTAGTGTGAATTGCTCCATACATGTTTCATCTATGTTTGATGCTGCTAAAAAATTTGAAAAAAATGCTTTAGGACTGATGTTGAGAACCACTTCTGGTTTGTCTTCTTCACTTTTATTTACATCATTTATTTCAGTTAAAATGTTATCGTTAAGCATTTCAGTAACTGCAACGTCATTATTAAAACTAGCAAAGTTCTTGAAAGTGATGGAATTTTCTTCATTTTGTGACAAGAAATGATGAGCCCTGATGGGGGCTTGGTTTCATTTTCCAGTTTCATGGCTGATATATCCTCCTTCAGGAAACTGCAAGTTCTGAAGGAATTTTTTTGTGGTTGCAGTTACCTTTTCCATACTTTCTATTTTCATTGCACTAAGCAATGTGGTTTATCTTGAGCCAGTGGTATTGGGTGTATCAAACATAATCCTGGAAACACTGGACACAATAGACCCTTCTGGTGTCTCGTGACATGGAGCTCGGTCCATTTTTATAAGTAAACTCAAACCATTCTATTCATATGTTTAATCAGGAGTTCAATACTAAAATGTGAATTAGATGTTTTGTCGATCTTGAGATGGAAAAAAAAGTTACACCAAGGGGACTTAAATTCATTGATTTTTATGATTTAACGCGATTTTTTTGAAGGAATCAGCAGTTTGTTAAAATATACATTTAGATACGAAATATTGAGATTTTACTATATATATGTATAGGTATCTGATGATGAACGTTTAATGCTTGAAATCCGGATCATTGTAAACAACAAAACTGAGTAGAACCATCATTTACAAAAAGTGAGTATACATACTCACCCCACCTTCATCATTTATATTAATTCTAACAATATTTGTGTAATATTTAGTGACAGTTAATTAATGACTATTTAGAGATTGTGAGATGTGGTCTAGTGTGATGTGGGTTTAAAAAAAAACCTTTTATTTATTGTACCAACGTTTCGATCTTTTTGAGATCATCTTCAGAGCTCAAAGTGTGTGTTTTCTGTGCAGTTATCATAGTTGTGTGTCGTGTTGAGCTGGGGCACTGATCCAGAGGTTGTGGGTTCGAGTCCCGCTTGTGACACCAATTTTTTAACTCAACCATACTTTCTAAGTGCTATGTTAAGGTTTTTTAACTTCCATTTTGATCATTTTTGTTTGCATATTCTGCTGGCTTTTTCTCACAGATGGCAGTTTGCTGGATCATCAGACTCTTAAAGTGAGAATATAGAGAACAGGTTCAAGCTACAGGTCCACCTCACACACTTTGTTGTTCCAACATAAATTGCTAAATAATGTAAAAAATCTTTTACAAATAGGTACAGCTCATGTTTATTGTGTTGAGATTTCATTGGTGAATGATTTTTTTTCAGCTTTTTGTTCTTTGTTAGGGATAATTCTGGGTGCTGTGTCGATGTCAGTGTTAATTCTGCTTGCTTGATCATCCTTGATCATTTTTGTCAGCTTGGTTCAACTCATAGACGTACAACCATTCTGTTTTCAACTGTTAGGTTTGGTAGTTATGCAAGTATTTTTGTATTTTTCTTTTCATTTGTTAGAACTTATTCTTTGTTCTATGGTTTTCTTAATGTATTATTGGGTTGTCCGGAAAATAATGCAGGATTTTGGTATTAAACAAAAAAAAGAAACTAGTTACTTTAAAGCAATGTTCTTTAATCAAAATAATTTCCCATACTCTCAATACATTTCTCCCAACGTGTTGGTAACTTATTAATTCCGTCTGAGTAGAATTCAGAATTTTTAGAATTGATAAAGTCAATAAATGCATTTTCCAGTTCCGTTTGATTTTTGAATATTATGTGTTGTAAGTAGTGGTCCAGGTGTCTAAAAAAATGGTAGTCAGTAGGCGAGAGGTCCGGAGAGTAGGGTGGGTGAGGCAAAGTTTCATAGCCAAGCTCCAATAATTTTTGTGACGTTACACGTGACACATGTGGTCGAGCGTTGTCATGCAACAAAATGGGCCCTTTCCGATTGACCAAAGAGGGCTTCATTACTGCCAATTTCTGATGCATGGTATTAATTTGGTTACAGTATGATTCAGCATTGATGGTTTCGCCAGGATTTAAGAAGCTGTAGTGTATTAAACCAAATGAAGCCCACCATACCGTAACCATTACCTTTTTTTGATGAGTTGGGGGCTTTGGAAAATGTATTGGAGCTTCTCCTTTGTCGAGCCACTGTCCAGAACGTCTAGTGTTATCGTAGAGAATCCACTTTTCGTCACATGTAACAATTCTGGCCAGAAATGGGTCATTTTTGTTTCGACAAAGAAGTGATGCACAAACATCAAAGCGCTGATTTTTTTGGCGATCGTTTAATGAGTGTGGAACCCAATTTTCGAGTTTTTTCACTTTTCCAATCGCCTTGAGGTGGTCAGCGACGGTCGTTTTACTGACTTTGAGTTGCTCTGCAAGTTCTCGAACAGTTGTTTTGGGGTTTTCTTCCACCACTGATCGCAGAACATCATCATTAAGAGAGGAAGGCCTTCCACGACCTTCTTCATCTTCAAGGCTGAAATCTCCCTCCCGAAATTTTTTAAACCACCTTTGCACAGTGCACTCATTAACACAACCCTCGCCCCAGACTTGGTTAATGTTTCTAGCCGTTTGGGCTCCGCTTCGGCCGAGTTTAAACTCGTAAAAGAAAATCGTACGAAATTCTCGCTTTGACATTATAAGGATGACTGAATTATTTCCAAGTAGCGGAATGCTACAGAGGTAAACAAACAATATCATTTGGAAGAGGATTAATAAGTGTTGACATTCATACAAATGAGTAATCCTGTAAACGTAAACAGAATATTTTATATAGATTTTTTTTAATAAAAACTTAAAATCCTGCATTATTTTCCGGACAA